AAGGAAAGGGTTATCCTTACCTTAAAATTAGTATTAATCTTAAAAGTTATAAATAAAGCTAAATTAGTAAAGTAAAGATAATTATAAATTATATAAATGCTAGGTTATATAACTAGTAAATTAAAATTACTTTAGGTTTCTAATAGTAATAATAAAAATATAATTCTATAATAATACCCTTAACAGGGCAATACAGGAGGTATAATTTTATAATTTTATAATACCTATTAAGTTTATGGACAGTGCCCCCTACAGACTTCTGTACAACCGGGTTAACTGTCATCCCGCATGACTTCAAGCTGTCCATATCTGCCTTTGCCAGGTTTCATCGCGAGCAAACATATAAATATCAATACTGGTCAAAGAGTCTATCATTCTAAACACCTTTTCATTCTAGACCACGAAATGAGCTACTAACGAACCATCCAACCGCAAATTTCGTGCCTTCAGCTCTTTGAGGCCTGTAGCCCGATGAGTCATATGTAGGGCGCGCCTCAGCTCGATTGGGACTGCTTATACGATAGCTGCTTAAAGTATCCACTGGGCTTGCATACAATTCGCTTTCCTGCCTGGTACCACAAGCAAGTGTAACGTTGCTGTACTGATTTCATGTACAGGTGTCAAGTAATGGCATGGTCGCCTCGAGTAACCTCAGGTAACATAACAAGGCTCTCAAAGCCATTGGGAAGTCATCAGATCCAAGGCTATCTGCGCGACATATAACAATAGCTACTATAATCCGTAGTCGCAAGTTCAGGTCAAGAAACTCGGATATCAAGGCCTGCTACACAAACCCACTATCAGCTATGTCTCAACTCAAGATTGCCTCAGTTCAGTTCGAGAACTGGTCCGGAAGCAAGGATAAAAACCTAGCCATCATCCGCCGAATGGCAAGCGATGCGGCAAATCGCGGCTGCAATGTTGTTGCATTTCATGAATGCTCGGTTACCGGCTATACCTTCGCTAGCCGTCTCTCTAAAGAAGAGCTCCTTCATCTTGCCGAAGAAGTCCCCGCCGGGCCAAGCAGTGGCTCTTTGATTGAAATAGCCCGCGAGTTGGGCATTGCTATCCTGGCAGGCCTCTTCGAAAAAGATGAAAATGGCCGCATTTACAATACCTACATATGCGTTGACAGCACCAGAGGCTTTGTGGCCAAGTTTCGCAAATTGCACCCTTTCATCAGCCCTCATCTGAGTCCAGGCAATGAGTATGTGGTTTTTGACCTTCTTGGTTGGAAATGTGGTATTCTGATATGCTACGATAACAACGTTGTCGAAAACGTTCGGGCAACAGCTCTTCTCGGTGCAGAGATCATATTCATGCCACATGTTACAATGTGCACTCCGTCAACTCGCCCAGGCGCTGGCTTCGTGGATCCGTCGCTTTGGACTAATCGAGATCAAGATCCAACTTCTCTACGGGCCGAGTTCAACGGTTTGAAAGGCAGGCAATGGCTGATGAAATGGCTACCCGCAAGAGCCTACGATAACGCAGTATACGTCGTCTTCTCAAATCCTATCGGTATGGATGATGATCAATTGAAGAACGGGTGCTCCATGATTCTTGATCCATTCGGGGATATCTTGAGTGAGTGCTCTCTGTTTGGAGAGGATATGGCTGTTGCGACTTGCAGCAAAGAGAAGCTTCAACTGGCTGGCGGATTTCGGTATAAACAAGCCAGAAGACCCGAGCTATACCAAAGCATCATAGGCTCGGATCATAACTCCTCTCTGAATGTTTCCTGGTTGGGCAAGTAGGACTTCCTGGAAGTCTAGGCTGGCGATGATGAGTCCTGGCTGGCGACTGGTTACTTCATCAACTAGCAACGGTCGCGTGGCCCAATGGCAAGGCGTCTGACTACGAATCAGAAGATTCTGGGTTCGATCAAGATTCTGGGTTCGATCCCCAGCATCTTTTTGCCTGTCGGGCCGATCACTGCACTTCTAGTCATAAAGCTTATTCTGCATTCCATCCGCTCGGTCCCGTTGTTAGTGCGTCCCAAGTGTTTCGGTCCCGATACGATTTGAATGCCTGCAGCAGAAGGAATGCGAGAGAGTTGCGGGTGGCGGCGGTTAGTGGAAGAGGTTCCTGGATTAGTGGGCTTTTCTTGGACCCAGTAGTTTGGTTGCGGCTGGCCCTATGCCATATTCTTTTCTGACTTTGTTGGCCTTGGCGATAAGGTTGGGAATCTAGAGTGGTCTATATAGGTCCATCTATTGCATACAATAATTCCAACGATAATGAAAGCTGCAAGTGGTTGTATAGCCTCTCGGTGGACCGTGGTATCCAATGACGGCTACGGTGTTCGGCGACATTCATGAGAAAAGTCAGAAAAAGAAATGAAGAACACAATCTATTTAATACCAAGGCCACTAATTAGATCCCAGCCATGACTATGCGAATGCTATAAAGTTGAAGATCAAACCAAGCAGCATCACGTACGTCAAGTTTGCTGGCAGGCTACTCGTCGCTCCATTATCCTCATCATCTCCAGCCTCAGCCGCAGTCGACGAAGCTACCGCCGAACCTGTACCTGAACTAGTCGCAGTGTTGAGAGGGGTTGCACTAATAGTCGGCAACTCAGTCGGGACTTCAGTACCCGCTGACTCTGCAGGCTGATCGAACTTCAGATACATCGTGGGGACACCAGTGGCGGCAGAAGCCCCAGGCACATCTCGTACAATCTCGTAAATATCATCTTCAGCCTCCTCAGAGTTGTATGAAGCGAGAGATATCTCCATGTTACCCCAGTCGTAAACAACATAGGCACCTCGTAGGAAATCGTCCCCGAGTATGATGCTAGTGGAATCTTCGTAATAGACGACTTTGCAGTACGCAACACCGTCGACACCGCTCTTGACTGGGGTTTTTGCGAGGAAGTTTGCTAGGGGCATATTCAGAGTCAGGTCGCCAAACGTGAAGTCCAGCGTTTCCTTGGAGCTTGTGTTACAAGGCGCTACGACACCCAACTTCTCATCCATGGAGAACTTCATGGTCTTGATCAGATGCAGGGTCATGTTAAGACTCAGTCTGCTCTGTACAGTGCCCGAGTCGAGGAGTGCCGGTCGGGCTTTAAAGTCTAGCTCTGAAGTCTTGCCCTCAGAGGTTGTTCCGAAGCCTGTCATAACCACGAGGGCTCTGTCCCGCATATCAAATGTGTTGTCGCCCGCAACAGGATAGGTGACGAGGGGGCCTGTATACTTGGCTTTGTTGACGCCACCAAACAGGAACTCTCCATGCGTCTCGTTGCTGAGCCATAAGCTGAAAGCGGGAGTGTTGATCTCTCCTGCATTGGCCAGAGCATAAGGCAGGTTGGGGTATTTTGTGTCAGCATTTTCCAGGCTGTCGATACCAACGCCAAAGACACTAAAGATAAGACCGTTCGTGGCATTGTACTCGGTCACGCCAACAAATTGGAAAGAGTCCAGAGTGGATGAGCCAAGTGTAAATGTGTCGTTAGCATATTCACCCTTCCAGCTTTGGCCACTGCCGAAACTATTAGACACCTGCTCTTCACCCCACTCGAAACTGTCTGACTTTTCTGGTTTGAAGATGCCACCCTGGCATTCATTTTCCTTGCAAGTCTCGATCTGATTCGTGAGAACAAGCAAGTCAGCACTTCCAGTATCAATTTCTGCGGAAAGCTTCTGCGGCGGGTTTCTAATGGTGAAGTTGGCCCAGTAGAGTAAGCTGGAGCCTTGCTGGTCCACCGTCATCTCAACGACGGCACCGCTGTCTCTTTTCTCGTGACTGGGGAAGGCATCTTTTGTTCGCTTCTCAAAGTTGACTGAGACGATAGATGCATTGTGGCGTTTATAGAGTTGAAGAGCGTTGACGCAACTCAGGAGATTGCAACATAGAACAAGTGAGACCTTTATTGCGAACGAAGTGATGGTTAGAAAGCAAAAAAACGATGAAAGACTAGAAGAAGCTGTACCAAATGACGCACTCTCGCCCACGTTATACAGCTCCTCACAGATATATATTTTGTTTACTTGCTGTTCTCGGCGATCTTCCTCATCTTCACCCCACTCGCCCTTCGATTCGGGACCGAAGTGTTGGGACTTTGGAGATGCACATTAGATTGCAGTGGAAACGGCGCCGTTTCAATTCTTTTTCATTAACCTCCGATCGTTCTCCAACCAGTCATGACATGCAAAACACATGGACACGCTGGCTAGTTCCCCGGGCCGATCCTTGCGACTTTAGGCTCCAGCTTGAAAAAGAAGTTGGGAGGGCATCTTCTCGGTCCCGAAGCATCAATTTACGACGTTGTGATCTCAGCCTTACCGAGCAGGGATCATAGATGCACCTTCGGAAGTGGCGACGGTCGACGTTAGACCCCTGATCCATCTCTTGCATTTTCCAGAGGTCCAAAAATTTGTTACCTACCCGGTTTCGATAGGGCTTGTTTGACTGAATTAACCGTGATTTTTTTGAATGAACCTTTGTGCTAAAGTTGACAATTACCGACTGTGCCCCATAACGCTAGGGGCAATCCTTGCAGTCGGTTCTCATGACCATACCCTGGAGCTTGACATTTGCAGTCAGCGGATTGGTACAACGAACTGACTACAGAAGGGCGGGCTCTATATAACTATGATGTTTGAGATATTGCCTAATAGGTTACACAGAAGAATCAGATACTGACCTGTTGGAAACTTTTACTCCCAGGTGGAGTATTTTGTGGTTTCTTAAGTTCATCTGAGAACCATTGCGTGCGCTAAGTGATGAATCATCACGCCCACTCAAGGAGAGCCTGACGTGAGACAAAGGAGAAAATGAAAGATCTACACGCATGGACGGGCCAACTGTAAGCCCAGGAGCCACATACGCTGCTCGATATAGCTTAGCAGCCCTTGACGAGGCATGTCCAGCCAATATGGAGTGGAACAAACTCATTGGTGAATATCCAAACATCCGGTGTGGTGTATCGGTTATCATTCCGCGTTTTCATTACGAAAAAGTGCCGCGGCGAGGAGGGTTCGACTCCCTCCATCGGAGTTTACTTTTGCATTTTCTGTGCTTTTTTGTTGTTCTTTGAGGCATTTATCATGCATTTCGTTCGGCGTCGTTCCATAGAGTGACGGCTAGGCCTTGGCCAAGTCAGAGAAGAGACACGCCAATAACAATTACGGCCAATCTGATCACATAGCTAATAGCACTGACCAATACGCCACCGATTTGTTTGGATGGGTTGACGGGCTGGACATTTGGAGAGTGAGAATTCACAAGGGTTGAACAAAAGGCTTGCGCTACAGCATTGAATGTAAAAAAGCAGACCAATTATCTATTGCAAAGGGAAAATAAAAAATGCCAATTTTTCGCAACTGCAACACCGAATGCCTTTTATCTGTTACAGCCTAAAAACAATGCAAAAATGGAGGCTGAGGGATTTGAACCCCCGACCTTTCGCAAGCATTTGAAACAATGCAAAGCGAACGTGATCCCCCTACACCAAGCCCCCCGTTGGATGCTGAGTCAGACGCTAACTGAGCACTATGATTGCGAGGCGAGCTGAGCTGCGCAACACTTCACGTAGAACAGTGAGGTCGAAGGTAACTCTCGCGTAAAGAGGACGTGGTCTTGCTGAATTCTTAAGAGAATTGGCAATCATAAATAGAAACTGGCAAAGAATCCCCAGGTTTACTGGCAATACATATTGAGTCAGTTAGTGGCGCTGATGTATGGAACAAGACCTCCGTATTGCAATTAACTGTTTAGTTGAAGTTTGTAGCTGCCATCGCCCTGCATTGATCGATTAGATTCAGTGATAGAATGGTGCCGCCGTTGTGTAAATTGTAGTATTCTTAGAGTGGCCCAGCATAACGTTAGCTAATTTATAAAAAATGTTCGAAAAGAACGAGGTTCTGCATCCTCCGGCATTTCAGGGCATTCCGACGAGTAGGGTTTGTAAGCAATTGTTAGTCAAAGTTCCAGATAAAGAAAAGAGTATGGACCTCGGAGTAGTTCTGTTGCCGACTGTGACATAGCTAGCCGTAAACGACAATCATAGCAGTTATCTTTTTAATCTCGTATTTAATCCCTACTTTACTGGAAGCCACATTGAGTCATCGATGCGGAGCTGCCAACCACCTGTGGAAAAGCCTTTCTGAGATGGTGGCTGACGTGATATTGTTATTTGGAAGCTAAATCGGTGCTTTTGTTGGTGGTGCACCAAGTTGTTGGTTATGCCAAGCGGAGGATGGTGGAAGCGAATCAAAACGCCTCGTTATTGGCAAACACTGAATCATGTTATCCACATGGCAGTGATAGCCCCTCACCCGGGAATGTGGCTGTGGCTTCCTTCTTTGTTCTCGGCATTCACGGCATTCATGATATAAGTCAGAGTGTACGAGAATTCCCTTAAGAACTGTTCAAGACCACTTCTCTGCTTCTTCACCTTTCTCTCAACTGGCCTTTTACTTCAAAGATGCCTTCACACAAGTCTATTCTACTGAAAAACGCTACTCTCCTTGTTCCAGAGGTTCCTGGGGACGATCATGTCATTCCGTTGAAGAACCATTCATTGCTGATTGAGGGCAACAGAATTGCCCGTATTGCACCTCGCATTGATCCCCCATCTGAATCAACCGAGGTTGTTGATTGCTCGGCAAAGATCATCTCGCCGGGATTTGTCGACACTCACCACCATGTTTGGCAGACTCAGCTCAAAGGACGGCATGCTGATCACTCGCTGCTGGAGTACATGGTACCAGGTTGGTAACATCTGGCTGCCTCAGGAGATGGGTAACTAACACTGCATGTACCAGGAAACATGGCATCGCACAGCTACAAGCCTGAAGATGTGTTCTGGGGCCAGCTTGGGGGATGTCTCGAAGCCCTCGAGGCAGGGACGACTACAATTGTGGACCACGCCCATATCTCATACACTCCCGAGCACAGTGAGTATCCTGGGACAATATCTAAGCCAAGCACTGGTGACTAATAGTGATCTCAAGATAATGCGGCTCTTTCAGCAACAATCTCATCTGGTATCAGGTCTATCTTTTGTTACTGCCCTACCGGAAGGGTCAAGACCTGGAAGCCATTCAAAATGGAGGAAGAGTTTCTTCCAGCCTGGCTGTTCGAACAGCTAACATCACTGTGTAAAGCTGGCCCATTTGCCGACGGTCGAGTGACGATGGGCTTCGCGTTCGACTCCTTCTACCTTCCAAAGGAGGTTGTTGTCAACATTTTCAATCAGGTTCGTGGACTGGGTATCAAGACCATAACTTCTCACTATGTCCCAAGCCTTCTCCGTAAGTACACAAGTATCTCTTCCTCTTCATATGTCCCAGTACTGATGGAATAAACGACAGCTGGTTCAACGGTAGACCTACTTGAAAGTTATGGGCTTCTGGACAAGGACATTCTTCTTTCTCACGCAACTCCACTGAATGACTCGGACGCACAGAAACTACAGAGCGTCGGAGCATCGATCTCCTCGACACCAGACACTGAGCTGCAGATGGGTCACGGCTGGCCCGTTTGCTTTCAGAAAAACGCCAGGTCAATCAGTTCTCTCGGCATCGACTGCCACAGCAACAACACAGGCAGCATCGTTGCCCAGATGAAGGTTGGTCTCCAAGCTGAACGTGCTCGCCGCAATGAACGAATACACGAAGCAGGGAAGATCCCTGCGAAAGTCCAGGTCTCTACTCAAGATGCGTTCCAGCTTGGGACAATTGGCGGCGCAAGGGCCATCAAGATGAGCGATCAAATTGGATCTTTAGAAGAGGGCAAAATTGCCGATCTTGTAATCTGGGATACGTTGAGTCCTGCGATGATCTGTGCTGCCGAGGAAGATCCAATCGCTGCTATCATTCTGCACTCCGCTCCCTCCGACATTGATGCTGTTATTGTTGATGGTCAATTCAGAAAGCGAAACGGAAAGCTGGTAACTACTAAGCTGGACCTAGAACTCATGCCCAATATGGAGCAGGAGAGGTCTGAAGTACAGTGGTGTGATGTTGCAACCGAACTTTTGAAGAGCCGTCAGAGCATCTTGGACAGGGAGAAGGCCAGTGGAGCTGATGATCGAGAGGCAGGGTTTGAGAACATATTGAGAATATTCGGGACCGACAAGGACAAGCTGGTTTATTAAATAGATGGCGGTTTAAGGTTGCTTGCTAGCTATAGAAATGAATGACTTCGGCTATCCTCATAATATTGATCCTAGTGCTGCAACGTCTTCTGAACATGCTCCCAGTACCTTGGTGCAGCATGGCGTCGCAGACTCTTGCCCTTCCAGATCATGAACAAAAATGTGCTAGTACATCCAAGAGAGAGGAAACCTGCCATAATAAAACAATTCTGTAGACCCATGTTGACATACCAAGGCGTGATTCCGTATGAGATAGCAAAGCCTAACGTATTGCGAATAATAATGATAGAAGTAGTGGTGTCGCCGCTAATGTCCTTGAAACAATCGACGTTGTAAGACAAAGCAATTGAGCCGCCGGTGACGCAGCTGAACGTGAGTACCATCAATCCAATAGCTAGTCCAGCCCAGTGAATATCCTTGTCAGCACCGACGCCCCAAACAATGAGCCCGACGCAAGACAAGAAGGCCGATAGAGCCAATGGCCAAAGTCGCTGCTCGGGCTCTCGCACACCATTGTTTCTTCGAGCGAGGGAGAGAGTGATGCGATCGGCAATGACACCAGCCCAGAGACATCCAAGAACAGCGCCAATGATGGGGCCGACATAGATCAAGCCGACCATGCTGGTAGACCAGTTGTAGGGGGATGCACTGAGGATAGGGCTAGTGGTGGCGTTCAAGACATTGTACCAACAAAGGTTAATGCCGTAGATGAACCCCGCCCATGCGACGTTGGGGAACAGGACCATGAGCGGAAGTGGAGCCAACATGGACTTGAACATGGTTGCTTTGGTTGGACGGCCATCCTTTCGAGCAAAGAGCTTGAGGTGAGTGGCGAGGCTCTTCTTTGTGTGAACAGTGCCTTGGAGTTGATCACTGTTGACGATAGCACCAGCACCCCCCTTCTCTGTAGGTCTCTCAGGGTTGTTCTGTGCAGAGCCAACATCATTCTCGGCTTGACCCTTCACATGTTCATCTTGATCCTCAAGACCCTCAAAAGTCGGTCGGAAATAGATTGTCTCCTCCATAAAGAAGAAGAGGATAACAAAGCTGACTGCAGCAAAAATAGCACCGAAATGCATAGTCCACCGCCAGCCGTACGCATCGGCGAAAAAGCCAGCAACCACTGGTGCTAAGAAGTTGGAGCCGAACAAAACAAAGACATATAAACTCATCCATGTTCCTCTCTCGTGTGCAAAGAAAATATCAGGAATGCTGACTTCTGGAAGAGATTCGATAGGCGAGACGAAGAAGCCGAGAAGGATACGGTGAGCGTACCACTCCCCAGCAGATCGTGAATAAGCAGTCCAGACCATCAAGGGCACAGCAGCGATAGTAGAAATGAGATAAACGCCGCGTCTACCATAAGTCAAGGCAATAGGCTGCCAGAAGAGACAGCTCCAACCGAGAAAGAGGAACATGACACCAGTGCCTTGAACTAAGTCGGCGACGGAGATGCCCGTGTCTTGGGAGATCTCTACGAGGACAGAGTACTGAAGTGTAGAGGGAAGACCCACGCCAAGGGTGTAGACGAACACCATGGCAGCTGAGATGAGCTTGCGACGTCTGCTCCAATTGAGGGGATCCTCTGGATCGGCGCTGGGACGGGGGACAAGTTCAATGTCATTGCCACCGCTGCGACCAGCATCGACCAGGTGGACAGTGCCGGGGACGACTTCAGAGTAGGCCTGAGCCATGGTGTAAATGATGTGGTTTTGGAGAGGTTACAATGAGTGAAGAGAGACGTTGTGATCCACAGGTAGTAGGTACCAAAGCCTCGGTATATATGCGTGTGGTATGATAGGCACGTTGCTAATCTCAAGATATCACGATCCACTCCATCATGAGATCGGTATCAGTTCTCGGACGTAAGGAGCGCTTCTGGCAATGATCCCTCACGCGGCAGTTCCAGCCCAGATAAAAGCCCCCGATGAACACCTTATCACTTCTAGATTAGACCTCCACCGTCTAGGTTATCTCCGCTAGTCACAGAAGCAAAACGCGGGGTAAAGCATGATAACCGCGCTGACAAGCGTACGTGGAGATTACCGCTATCTTGGATCATCAACTACCGATGCTTCACCAGATAACATTAGGTCTAATGCAAATCGCTTACGGCAAGAGTTGACGAAACGGGAAAGTCTATGAGACCGCGATCATGAACATCATGCGGGGAACTTGTTGGTGGCCAAGGTGATACGCGCAAATACATCTCATTGGTTGCCGCGAAGCTAGGCATCATTCCTAGACCAGCGATCGGCAGGGATGCTTATCATGGTTCGTGAAGTGCTGGAGTCGTCAGAGCCGCTGAATAAAATGGGGAGCTTGATTGCTCGTGTTGTTATTGCTATCTTCTACCGCTCAAGTCGGCATGATGAAAACTCCGCGATTACGTATATAAACGCAGCCTGTCATGACACCCTCTACTGCATCGTAACCCTTATCTATCCTCTAATCAGAAGGTCCTCGCCATCATGTCATCCAAAATCGTCCCTGTCATTCAAACAGTCCCTCTCCAAACAGGTCCGCCAGAGTATGAAGCTCTCCGTACCTCCATCCTCGAAGAGTTCGGCAGTACTGTCCCAGACGAACTTCGTCTTCCAAAAAGCCTCATCGATAACCCGCCCAAAAACGTTACCGACATCCCCAAGACCTGTGGTATCTTGACCGATCAAGAAATTGACATCACAGAGAACTACGACGCTACAGCACTCGCTGCTGCAATCGCATCGCGAAAGTTCACATCTGTCGTTGTCGTCACTGCCTTTGCGAAAAGAGCTATCATTGCTCATCAGCTTACATGCTGTTTAACGCAATGGTGGTTCAAAGACGCAGTACTAAATGCTCAGCTTCTTGATCAATATCAAGACAACACGGGATTGACCTCCGGTCCTTTGCATGGTGTACCAGTCAGCATCAAGGAACACATGCCTGCCAGCAACCATTGGTCAAATGATGGATACTTGGCGACTCGAAAACTCGACAGAAAGGATTGCCAGATGGTCAAGATCCTTAGGGACGCGGGTGCTGTGCTGTTTTGTAAGACGAACCAACCGCAGTCGATCATGCATCTTGAGACCACGTCGCCCTGGGGAAGGACCCTGAATCCTCATAATATCAATCTATCTGCTGGAGGGTCCACGGGTGGCGAAGCTGCTCTTATTGCTCTTCGTGGATCTGTCTTGGGCATTGGTACAGATATTGGAGGAAGTGTTCGTGGACCAGCGGGCTTCTGCGGCATCTATGGTCTCAAGACGACGTCCTACGTGTTCCCACAGAAAGATTTCTTACAGGGTGGTTTCGCCGCTGAACTGAACGTCTTATGCTCAGCAGGGCCGATGTGTACCTCTCTTCGTGACGTTGACCTGCTCATGTCGATCGTTTCCGGTACTCGCCCTTGGCTGAAAGACCCTCGACTCGTCCCTCTTCATTGGACAGGAAGGTTGACGGAAAACAAGCCGTTAAAGATTGGACTCATGATCAATGATGGGATCATCACTCCCCAGCCTCCGGTAACAAGAGCTCTTGAGTGGGCAGCCCGCGAGCTCCGATCCAAAGGGCTCGATGTCAAACCCTTCCTACCCTATGGGATGGCAGAAGCAATGAATGGTATTCGCCGTGCATACTGGCCTGACGGTGGCAAAACAGTCGAAGAGTATCTTTCAGCCACGAATGAACCCATGAGCCCCTTGACTAAATGGATCATCCAAGACGCTGAAGGTCCAGGACTCGATGCCAATGGCGTTCTCAAACTCCGTGTAGAGCGCGATGACTTCAGATGTCGTTTCGCAGAACACTGGGAGTCACAAGATGTGGACTTTGTAATTTGCCCCGTCTTTGTTGGCCCGGCATGTTCTCACGAGACAGCGCTCTACTGGAACTACACCGCGCTATGGAACTATGTTGACTACCCCGGTATTGTGATCCCTACGCCGATCAAGGCTGGTGCGAAAGGAACTGAGAGCTATCCGCCGAATAGTGTTCCATTGAGTAAGGAAGAGGAGCATGTCAGACAATTCTGGGATGAGGGCGATTTTGAGGGAGCGCCTATCAATTTGCAGGTGGTGGCGAGGAAATATTATGACAATGATCTTTTTGCAGCGACGACGGAGATTGACAAGGTCATAAATAAGTAATAATTGAAGGATTTATTGGACCTTTGAAACATGAGGTGTGATTGGTCGATGCGTAGCCAACCAGAGTGATAAGCACATATGTGCGGCCAGCATGTGCCTTAGCATTGTTTCCATTCCCCCAAAACATATTACTGTGTATCAATTTTCCGCTGATACACAAAACAGTCAATATTTGTGTCATGTTAAATCTCCGATTATCGACTTGAATAATATCGCCAGAAGTGAGCGATTAGCTGAGGAGTCCATCGCCGTTTCAAAGGTGAAAATATTATCCTCGATTGCCTTCACCGACTGCCGAACTACCGATTGGCGCCATACACAAACTTCAACCATCTAAGCATCCCAACCGCAAACTGTCACCAATATGCTTGGATCTACGCCCGACAACGGTGCTTCGACAGTAGAGTCGGGCCCATCGGCACAGCCTCAGTATTCTTCTCACAACTACCCTCCACCAAACAGCCCTCCCGGGGTCATTCAACCAAATATACCGACCTATGGCCCACCTCCGCCAGTTCCTCAGCACCAGTACTCGCTTCCCCCTTCTGCACCCTTTGCGGCTCATGCATATAACCCCCCTGCGCCCTTCCCTGTTTACGAAGTCGGGACAGCGCCTGCTCCTAGACAGAGAACCTCAATTGCCTGCAGATATTGCCGCAAGAGAAAAGTATGTTTAACAATGAGGCGAAGTACATTCTATTTAGTAGCAAGTTACTAATACTTTGCAGATCAGATGTAGTGGTAAAGCCAATACACCTGATGGTAAATGTCAAAACTGTGCGAGAATGAGCCAGGAATGCATATTATCAGACATAGAACGTGCCCCAGCCTTTTTGCCTGCTCCATTTGCACCCGGGTCTGTTCCACCGAGGGGTTCTACTTATGGTCCCTTGGGAGAACCGTACGTCCAAGCACAACACCAGGACCTCGACGTCAGTATCTCTAACTACGGATCCTACCCAAGTTTGACGCACGATTATTATCATCAGCATAGCGTCTCTAGTCCTCCCCCACCGGACTATCGGGGTGGTTATCGCGATGTTCCACGTCCATTATATGGACAAAGGCCAAACCACCAGGACTCCCTTAAATCCTACGCCGCCCCGGGGAACTTTTCGCAAGGAATAATCTACAGCTTCAGTGATAGCCGAGCCAGTGACCGCACTGAGCTAGACGGCGAAACTTTATCTGATACCGAATCTGTTGTGCCCATCAACTTAGATACAACGGTCGATGATTATCATGTTTCAGAGACCTGGAAAAGCCAGAGTTCTAAGCACCCAGAAAAGACTGTTGAGACATTACAAGATCGTGAGCTGCAGGCCCCTTGGGCCATCCCGAGTTTACCACATCCTCGAGGCCTTCAACCTCAATCTCCGGCGGTCTCACCGGAAGTATTACAGGATCATGACTGGAAATATCCAAACCTGAAACAACTCAAAGTCAGCATGACAAAGCTAGCTCAGGCCGCAAACGAACCTATCAAGCTACCTGATCCAGCAAGGTTACGAATAAGTTCCCCTACCCCTTCATCTTCCCCAACTGTATCATCTGATATAGACGTTGACTCAATATCTGCGGATTCAGAAGGTAAGCTTGATCGGAACAGCCAAGGGTACTGCGTCTTCAGCCGAGTTTTCAGCCGTCTAGCGATTCTCGGTCAGAATGAAATGACGGCAAGAGGCGAATCGAGTTACAATAGTTCAAAGGGAAAACAAGTTGCAAAGGGTGGATCTGGAAGCTCTTCTGGGACAAACAATGCAGCGAGCACGAGAGGCGGACGGAAGAACCGGCGGCAAGACGGCGATCTTCGAGATGAAAGCAGGGATAGACAGAACGAGCCACCCAAGAAGAAAGGCAAGATAAGTCAATCCCACTGTGACGAACGGTCGCAGTTTCTAGCATGCCCGTACTGGAAAGCGGATTCGAAAAGGTATTGGGATTGTTTCTTGAAGAAGAACGACACGATCGCACACTTAAAGCAACATCTGACGCGCCGTCACACACCCAAGTATTACTGTCAAATCTGTTACCAAACCTTTAAAGATTACGATCTATTTGACTCACACGTGCTGGAAAGATCGTGCACAAGAAGCCCCTCAACAAAATTGGAAGGGATATCTCAGCAACAAAAGAATCAGCTGTCTCTCAAGAGTAAGGGGTCAGTAGAACAACAGTGGTATACAGTATGGTCGATCCTCTTTCCTGAAATGGAACCGCCCGCTACGATTTACATTTATTCGACTCAGTCTGAAGACTTTTGCCGGATTCAAGAGTTTGCGCAACGAGAAGGAGTTGCTATTATGCTGGAGGAACTGGAGTCTAATGGACTTGTAGTGCGACCGAATGCATCTAACCAACTCCTCCAATCGACTGTACAGAGGGCCATGGTGTCGATATTCAGAAGCTACTCTGTCAGGGGCGACCAAAGTTCTGAAACAGAAGAGCCAATTCTCAGCCAAGCTTTGGAGCCAGATAATGGAGTATCGCTTCAGCAAGAATCAACTACTGAAGGTCAAACAAGCCACGATAATCATCCTAGTAGCTCTAGTGATGTAAACCGGATGACTGAAGACGGGAGGGGTAGTTCTATGGTTGAAAGCTTTTACAGACCGAGCAGAAGTACAGAGTCACAATTGCCAACCACAACTTCATGGCTTCCTAGGGTTGTGCAGGATGACACCGAGGATGAGCTATGGGGAACGGCATTTCTTGAGGAGCCAGCATTTGGGGAAAGTTCTTCAGGAAATGATCTACCTATAAACTTTGAGAGTACAGACATGTTGGACCTGGATGCCTTATTGAGAGATGTCATAAGCACCGAAGCATAGTCTATATACGATGGCAAATAAGGCATACTTAGAGAGAAAGGAAAACTCAAGAGCTTAATCCCAAATGATAAAAAGGCTTAGGTAATTTAGCATAAGTTTAGTAGAGATCGATCATAATTCATCTGCAATGGCACTGCGATACCTATTCTCAACATCGACAAACTACGGCGATTCGTCATCCTCTGCTTCACAAATCCATACTCCTAGCTCCTGCGCATGAATGGCAGCTGGTTCAAACAGCGGAATATCCCCAACATCTTCTTGCCTCAGCACAAAGCCCAAATCTGTACTACCCAGTACAATTCCTTGAGCTCCTCTGTCAATAAGTTTATTCGCTTGTTCGATGAACATCTTTCTTGTTGAGTCTGTCACAGAAGTAATTCCTTTCGCTACTTCTTGAAGCATGCCTCTATTAACTTCCTCAATATCCTCTGGTGTTTCCGGGATCAGAATCTCAAAGCCAGCCTTTTGTAGCATAGCCACAAAGAAATCAGGATCGTCAGAATCGAGCATTGAGATTTTAGGCCCGAGCAGGCCAAGCTTCTTCATCGATGGATGATTGTTGGTAATATGGAGTGCGAGGCAGTCCGCGATGTGAAAGAGTGGAACATGAGCCGCCAAGGAGTCATCGAATAGCTTTTTGGCGACCTTTTGTGCCAAGATGGCACAGATCGCAATGCCGTCAACTCTGTCGCTGAGGGATTGAATTGGTTTCTTGTAGACCTTTGTGAACTCGTCCCAGTCTCCTTTCATGGCATGCTGAATCATTTCTTCGAGGTTGGCGCTGTACAGATATAACGGGGCTGACGCTCGATCACCGAGTTTGGTTCTAACGACTTTGTTGATGATGTTGTAGTAGAGGGCTGTGACATCTGGTGTCATGCCTCCAAGCAATAGAAGAGTCCTCATCTTGACTTGCTTATTCTGATTGTGGCATGTTCGAGGAGAGAAAAGATGTGCGACAGGTAAACTTGAGAAGTAAGAATTGCAGCGATTATGACTCAAGTAGGAACATAACAGTGAAAGGGCGCAAATTTGGGTACACAATGCTGACGTCAATCTCACAACCTCGCTTCTTTGATAGCCACAGTAGCCACGCTCTCATCTTTAACGTTATGTCCAAAAAGAACCGATGTAACCTTTTCCCTATTTTATTTATCCCTTTTCGAAATATCTGTCGACAAAATTTACTACACGAGATACATTGTTCATTAGAAGCAATATTCTCTCCCAAGCCCAGTATCTTAAAGAATATTTACTGAAACTCTAGAGGCCCGGGAGAGTAATGTTAATTAATGCCTAAAGCTTATAACGCCTTTACAAAGCATATTAAGCCAATACACTAAAAAATCCCATTTAACTTTAACTTTTAGAAGGTAATATATATATAGCCTTAATAAAGATAAGTCTCGTAATAAAAAATAGAATAATATACTTTTATAATAACTTAATTAGTAACCTTATTAGCAGTAATTAAGGTATAAAAAGCCTTTCTAATCCCTTATTATTAAAAGTAAAAGTAATTCTTATATAAAAAAAAACTATAAAAAAAACCTATAAAACTATAAAAATACTATTATTAAGTAAAAGAATTACTTTCTAACTACTAGCTAATAGTTACTAATAAAACTATAAGAATTACTAGCTATTTATAGGTCTATTAGTTAAAAACTATAAGCTTCTTTAAATACTTATTAAGAATCTCTTTAAAAAGTTTAAGAAGTATTTTATTCTTTTTAAAATACTAAATAATAAAAAGAGTAACCTTATAAGGCTTAAATTAATAATCTTTAGCTATTATTACCTTACCTTTTAGTTTAGGTAAGATTTTAACTAATATAAATTTCTTAATAATTAAAGAAATAAGCTAGGTAAGCTTATTAAAAAGGTTAAAGATAAAATAAAAGGTCCTTTTAATAGGACTTTCTTAGTAAGCTTAAGAAGTAATAAGCTATAGCTATAAAGCTTACTTATTAAGTATATAGTAGTATAGAGAAATAGGTAAAAAGGATATATTATCTAATCTAGCTTTTAGAATAAGTAAATAGACTTTAATATAAAAGCTTAATCTTTTAGATATAGCTACTAATAGAGTTATATATAGTATAAATAAATATAGTTAAAATTATATTAAGTTCCCTTAAAGAGGGGGAAGAGTGATGTTATAGTAAATATATTCAGGTGCGTTCTTACTATTTCCAGTTTATTGTTCTAATCTTTGATCTCGCAAAATTAATATTCCTGCAGGATTAAACCATTCAATACAGTAAACTAGTCAGCCTCATTTACTGGAGCATGAGCACTAGTCTTCATGAGTACGGCGGCTAATTTCGAATGCGTTTGTTTTGCTGTCTGCCATTTAACTAATGAAACCTATAGTGCGCTTATTCCTACAGAGCACTGACTCGCCAAATTGACCAGCGTAAAGCTGGAATGGATTTCTGTCTTTCCATCATTCTTTTAGGTACCTCTTCCCGAGCACACAGTGACCTTGCCTGTGCTAGCATCCTTAGTTCGGCTTGCTCTTCATCACATTAAGACTGTGCACCTTGTCGTGTACCCACTGGAGAGCAGAAGATGCCAAGGTAAGTAAGCCTGATGAACAAACGAAGACTGCAACACGCTGATAGGCACTAAACTGATCCATCATGGGATATGGATACCTATAAGTGTTAGCTGGCGAACCAGACTATATGTTGACAGCTTTTCTTACCAGCCATTTTGGTAATAGCACAACTCAATCCAGCACCAATAAACAACAGCTAAAATGGTACTGGTGAACATCATGCTCCTCGTCGTAATAGTTGCTTGAGGACTGTACAACAGTAAGTCCGGTACCAGGAGCACTGCGGGTACCAGGTGGTATCCAAGATCAGCCCAAGGATTGATGACAAGGTCGGCTGGCATGAGTAATGATGGATCGTGAAATTTGATGGACCAGTATAGGACAGCAATCATGACTTCGAGAGGCGTCGCAAGCAGTATGATAGCGTCTTTGGTTCTTGAGAAGCCATCATGTTTAGTAAGATCTGCGATAAGGCCAAGCGTAAAGGTGATAAGAGATAAGGTGAGGCCCACGACAGTGAGAAGCTGAAAGTACCACCCGAAAGAATCAGAGTATGCCGAGTCCCATGTTGTCAAGAGGTAAAAGCTATAGGAAAAGGAGAGTGTTCCAAGACCATGTAAAAAGGTCTTGGTTGGGCTAGCCTGCATCGGCGAATCGCTTACAATAGTGTATGCCATGTTCCTTGGCTGACATTCAGGAAGTGAAGATACCAAGATGGCGGTCACAGGATATCGCAAATTTATCAGACGTTGGATGCTATGAATAAGACCATACGCCGATATCTATTAATAACAACAAGCTGCAGCAAAAATTTCTAGCAGACTACAAAGTCCACGACTAAGGCTCAGCTCCAGGGGTACAGATAAGATCACAGCAAGGTTGGGTGCCAATTGCATGGGTGTAATCGTGTAGCAGATTTAGTGCTTATTTTTCCGGTGGAGCGAAAATAGCTCGTGTCTCGTGCAGATTCGTCGCCATTCTCTTACATGAGCGGGCTCAAGTAGAAAGCAGTGAATGACCCGATAATAGTAAGAAAAATACACTTGCGTAAAACGTAAGCGCTGTTGGCGGACCCTTTGAACAGTTTAGCAATGTGCTGTTGTGGCTTGAAGACAAGCTTTCAGCTGGCGATACCGAACTTGCAGGAAATGGTGCATCTGGGTGAAATGATACAAGAGACCCGATAACAGTCCGTAAGAGTTTTGTTGTTTTCTACCAATTATTAGTCCAAAGGGGGACCGAAGATAAGATAGCTGCGGCTGAGATCCCAGGTTACATGAGTGGTTTCACATGCCATCTTGTCCAACCATCCAAGTCATCGGAAGAGATTTTACTCTGCAGCATCCCGACTTTTCCAGTACCGCGTGGCGGAGCATCATTACCTCCAATACGGAGTAGCTAAACGAAGCCAATGATGAGTGTGTCTATGCGAGGCCAATGCAGCAAGGGTCATAAAGCTTGTTAGTAAGCGCCTAAAGTGACCTTAGATATCTGGATCACCAGAATATGACTGATAGAAAAGCCCTCAAAATTCGACAGTTTCGGGTATCTCGGGCCACATTTGGACTACTGGGGTATTCGTAAGGCTTACAAGGCGCAGTGCATATGCAGCTGTAGGGCATTGACCGATATTTTTACAAGGTATCTTGCAGAAAGAGAGTGGATCTGCGGAATACAGGCCGGAAGGAGTAACAACATCATCGATCACTTCCGTGTACTACCATTTCTAGAAGGCCGGGAGAAATTCCCTCATTTTAAGTGGCTATTCTTGTACTACATAGTGGCTTATAGGTTTCAGATGTCCCTTTGATTCAGCAATATCAAGCTTTCTGAGGTCCTGGCATGTGAAGAAGACCCGTAGACGCGGCCTGGCCCGTCCGCAAGGCACTAAAATAGTACACATGATACCATGCCAGCTGGCATTTTAGACCCCGATCGTGCATGAGATAAGTTACATCGCGGGTATCATGACAGAGTCGGGTTATTCAGCGGCGCTTATGGGACTTTACCCTTGACTCTCAGGGCTGAGCGAGTCAGCCCCCAAAGATTAGAAGCTGTTCCAGACCTGAGGGCATCATGGTGAAATCTGTGACCATGAATTTTAGACTAGAATACAGATAATGCTGTCGTACATAAAGTAGCTTGGATCCACAGATCGACATAACTTCAAACGATTCACTTGACGATAACCACTACCGCTTGTCGCTGGAGCAATGTTTCTCTCGGTCATACCTGTTTTTTCTGTTGTCCTCTTAGCCTTTGGGCTTAGTGCTGCGTTTAACTACTACCGTGGTCCACTTTCACACCTTCCTGGGCCGTGGTACACCCACTTCACTGGTCTTTCACTGCTATACACAAGGGCCGTTGGAACCAGCCGTCAGTATCTTCGCCATCTTCACAATGTCCACGGTCCAGTAGTTAGGGTTGGACCAAGGGAGGTTTCAATCAACAGCGTCGATGGCTACTACAAAGTGCACGGCGTGGGCAGCCATTGCCTCAAAGCACCCGTCTTTGACCGTATCCGCTTCAGCCACTCGTCTATGCTCTTCACCATGCGAGATCCTCGTATTCACTCCGAACGTAAACGGATCGTTGGCAGGGGTTTCGCGTCAATAAGGGAAGAGCAGGAAATGAAGATTCGTCGACTGGCTAGTAAGGCGGTAGCCAACATCAAAAACGAGGCCGAGAAAGGCCAAGCGGATGTCTACAAATGGTGGCGCTGCCTGGCTGTTGATGTAGTCAGCGAGATGTCTTTCGGAAAATCCTTCAATTTGTTACATTCAGGTGGGAAAGGCCTAACACTATATAAGGCTTTAAGCAACGCTGGTCCTTGTGTTGTGTTCCAAGCCGTACTTCCTCGGAGGCTCATATCTCTCTTCAAGTGGTCTCCTATTACCTGGCTTAGAGACGTTAGTGAAGTGGCTGAAATCATCTTCAATCGAGTAACAGCAGCCCTCGGAGAACTCCGAGTTTCATCCAATTGCGGCCCGAGCATCGCCCGTCACTTGTTGAGTCATGAGGTGAAGGGCAACAAACCCAGTTTGAACGATGATGAGTTGAGCTCTGAGGTGGGCATGCTACTCGTTGCGGGATCGGATAGTACAGCTACAACTTTGACTTATGCGACATGGGAGATCGTCAGAGATCCTGACCTCCGGAGACAGATCGAGGAGGAAGTTGGCAGCCTGCCTGTAGACTTTTCAGCCAAGGATGTTGAGGATCTGCCCCTCTTGAATAGTGTCTTGGAAGAGGTTCTTAGGATGTATAATCCTGCAGGAGCACTAGTAGAGAGACTCGTACCTCCTAATGGTATCTCCGTTCATGACTGGGATATCCCTGGAGGTATAATGGTCTACACAACTGGATGGCTCATTTCTCGACTAGAAGGTGTCTTTCCCGATCCTGATAGGTACGTGACTTCTACCTCTTAAGGTATGGGTGCTATTGCTGACTTGAGAAGATTTGATGCTACCAGGTTCCTGAACCCAACCCCAGATATGAAACGAGCACATGTCCCATTCAATATTGGTGCCCGAAGATGTGTCGGCATGCACGTGGCTCGGATGGAGATCCTTGTCACTTTGGCAGTTCTTTTTCGTGAGTGTAGAGGCCTACAGTTACATCATACCATGAAGGACGAGATGATGGCACAGATTGGAGAGTTCTTTATAGTTCCCAAAGCGGGACGGTGTGCGATCAGCCTTTAAGGACGTTAGATTATACACAAGCAATTTTTATTTTGGCTTCTTCGGTGCTATTTGCATTATTTGACAGGTCTTTTGGCTGTGGCATCAGTCGTTATGCTTTTGTTAGTGGGAGTAAGGTGCGGCATTGCTGTAAATGGTCCTGCCATCGGAAATAACATTTTCGCGGGCCTTTAGTCTCGGCGCGTCTTTCGGCCCGAGCTGTTTCTGGACAACTGAATCCCCGATTCATCAGCAACGCTTCATCCGTTCATCAACAAACGCGATTTATCTTATCTGCAAGTAAAAATGAGCGCAGCGGACACTAACTCTCCGCGTCCAGGGTCTGAATTCTCTCTCTCACGTACAGCATGTGAGAGATGCCGCAGACAAAAGGTTCGTCACGTCCTCTCCCGAAAGACCCTCTGCTGACGCTCGGGCCGACAGCTTCGCTGCAGTCGTCAACGTCCAACCTGCACGCGATGTAGCCGCTTCTCGGTCGCCTGCACCTATCCCGAGCTAGCTGACCGCAGACGTCTCGCAGCTCGTCGCGAATCGGTGCGGGCCGAACACTCCCGTCCTGATGCTGGCCCAGTGACTCCAGAGTCGACAGAGCTCAATGTTTGCGCAGTCAGAAGTCCTTCAGTGACTCCGAGAACCCACAGCGTTGGCTTCGTCGATATTGGACCACCAAGAACAGAACATGCAGTCTCAGGATCTACCGGTGCTAAGTTCGATGACCTACCGCCACGAGCCATAGGGCTCGCGCTCTTGGATATCTACTTTGAACGGTTATACAATGCTACCTTGCTTTTTAACCGTACTCAGCTCTTTGAGTCTTATTTGGACGGTAGTATGCCTCCATATCTATTGAGAAGCATATTTGCCCTGTCTTCATTGTACGCCTCTTCCTCAAATATCGTCCTGCAAAACTAACATGGTCACAGATTTCTTCGTAAACCACGACATCAGCCACCTAGACTAGGTACTCATGCGGTGTCACCCGAGCTTGCAGCGTTTGCCACATACGCTGGCTATGGGGACGCCTGGGCTGAGGCAGCAAGGCGCGAGGCTTGGCTTCTCACAGATCGACCAACCGTCCAAGTGGTTCAAGCTCTTTCGTGTCTCAACCTGTATTGGTTTGCGACGAGAAATCGAGGCCGAGCTCGGATCAATGCAGGTATGTGCAGCAATCTATGAATAGAATTTTTAATCTCCCGAGCTAAACATATCCCGAACTAGTTATGGCTTATGCATCAGCCACTACATTTCGCTCTGCTAACCACTCAACCAACGGGATTAAGACAAAGGACGAGCTACAGCTTATAGAAAGAAAGTATGGCTGTTTTTGGGCATGCTGGTCAACGATGTGCATCTCTTCCTTTCCTGAAGCATATGCAAAAAACGCCTGGGAAGAAGCTTGCAATGTGCCACTTCCTGTCGCATCAGATGCCTTCGTTGGTGAAGGAAATGCTATGCGTCAGTACTGCATGAATGTGGAATGGGAGCCAGAAGCGCTCAACGACGAGCAGAATCCCCCTTCATCAATAATGGCAGAACACATGCGACTCATGGGGGTTTGGTTAGTTCCCTATCACAACCTTCTATGACGCCACTAATGTTCCATTCATTGTCTAGGGTTAAAATCCAGCTTATCAATAGAGACAATCAGGAAAGTCCAGAGGTCATACAGATACTACATTTGTCTCGCTTGGCGAAACGTATTTATGAATCGAACCAGTTTCCTCCTTACCTTACAGGTAATGAGAGTACTGGCCCCGACTTATCCCGGCTGCTAGGACTACACTCATTGTACCATCTGTGCCAAATAGTCCTTCTATGTCCTCTGGTGACTCTTTTCTCTGGCCGACGGGGCATCACAGGAGAAACGACTCAAAACCACGCAGAAACAATCACCAAGCACGCCATTCAGCACGGGCATATGATTCGGGATTATATCGCTAGAAAGCAGGATATATCTAAACTTAGTTCCCATGTCGGCTTTGCTAGCTTTGTGTCGACCTCAATCATCCTCACTCTCTTGAGATCCAGGGCCCGCCGCCATCACGATGATGGAATTACACGGTCCCATGTGTCACAGGCACTTGCGACACTGATCCAGGATAGTATCGATATACTTAGAATTCTCCAGACTTTCTGGGAGCATTTAGAACCAATGGTAAGTCAACCCAACATCTGACTTGGGCAGGATAATATCCTGACATGAACGAATAGACTAGGAGCATCCAGCAGGCTGCCGACCAAATATTGGGAACTTTCGAGCGTATTGGTCAAAATGTTGCCGGGGTTGAGTCAAGAACAATCGAAGTCCCAATGACAGGAGTCAACAGTCCAGCACGCGAGGAAGATGTCATTACAACCACTTATATCGAGTCTCCAGAGTATTCGAATGCCCAGAATTTAGCGAGCTCCTACACAAATACCCATTTTGCAGTTACAGACAGGGCTGTGGAACATGTAACTCAGAGCATGGATGAGACTCCTGATTGGCATCATAATGATCTGTTTGAATGGTGTCAGACAGAAGGACTGCTCGATATTGGAGACGATTTCTTGGATCTTGGCGCTTCGGTCGATTGGAACATGGACTTGAACCTGTTAACTGGTTTCTCCTCACAGATGGCATGATGTCAGTATGTACATATATATATCTATGCAGCCCATGTGCCCAGAGGGTGCATCAAGGGAATTCTTTGGCGGGCAAGATCTTGGCTGATACCCTTCCAAATCCTATCACACGATCTCCCGAACCAGCCCATCCTTCCATAGTAACAACATCGCCGTCTTCCAACCAAACCAATTCAGACCCATTTGTTAAGGTGAAAGGCCGAGTGCCACCCAACACAAGCTCAGCCAAACATCCTGATCTACGAGTTGGGTCGTGATGGCTTCCAAATTCTTTGATCTGCTCCGTGCTGGATGAGAGAGTACCAGTGCCGAGCAAATCACCAGTTCCCAGACCGCATCCAGAGCTACTGTGGTGGGCTACCATCTGAAATGGAGACCAGTGGAGGTGTTTAAGATCAGATCTTCCGAGCAGGTCTTCGGTAACTCCGTTTCCTGTTTTGTATCTTAGAAAGTTTGGAGTCTAGGATGTCACTGATATTTTTGAGAACTTACGAGACAATGATGTAGAAACCCTTACTGCGACATCATCTTGACATTGAAGAAACGGTATTGTGGTGCTCTTTCCTCCTCTCAAACCCAGATCTTCGGTAGTCAGTAGTGCACCAACCTCCTCCAGCGCCTCAACCGTCACGATCCAAGGTGAAATACTTGTCGCTGTGGCCTTACCATTGAATGGTCCCAGCGGAGCCATCTCATAGAATTGTATATCTCTAGCACTCCAGTCATTCAGAAGTACAAACCCAAAGATATGGTCACGAGCTCTTGACGCTGGAGTCGGTTCACCATACTTGATTGGATTGGAGATGAAAACGCCCATTTCCAGCTCAAAGTCAAACTTCTGGCTGGGAGCGTACGTTGCGCCATTCGGCCCAGGAACGATACCATGAGGTCTCGTTACGTTCTGGCCACTGACGATGACGGATGATGCTCGGCCGTTGTATGCTGCTGGTAGATCGAAGAAGTTCTGAGGGACTTCATTGTATCCTGCCATTTTGCCCATCTATCATGTTCGAGTCAGAGTGTAGTAAGATGGTAGTAAAATAGCCTGACATACGGTTTGAACGTGCTCTAGCGAGCACATGAAGTCCGTGAAGCCACCAATCCTCATTGGGACATGCATTGTGACTTGGTCGGCTGCGATGACACCGGTATCATCTCGGTAGAGTATGGAAGATTCATCTCGCAAAGCCTCTTGAATGGCCTTTCGAAGAGAGTTGCGTACATTAGCTGCGAGCGCAGCAAAAGCATTCAGTGAAGACTGTCCAGTAGATCTCTATATTAGCCAGATTTACTATGCCTCTTCTCAGTTTCAGTATAACTAACCGATTCCAGTGCTTCTTTCACGGACTTATCTACGGGCAGGCCGTTCTGGATGAGGATTCTAAGGTCTAAAACATGGTCACCGATTGCCGTGCCCGGTCGCGGATCAAGCTGTACAAGGAGTAATATTAGCAAACACCGAGCTTTATTGAGTATTCCATTTCCTTACATTATCCTCGGTGTGAAAAATACCGAACGGAATGTTTGATATAGGGAATGGCGATCCATTTGGTATCGGAAATGGATATTGAACCATGATTGTAGACTCTTGCGACCGTATTCGATTCTGGGGAGCGGCAATCGGCAATCACGTTAGTGCCGTAAATACGGGAAGAATCCAAGAAGATCAAGCAGCGACGGACGTTTTAAAAGACTTTCAAAGGAATGAGCCTGAAATCACTCCGACAACTCATATAGCATTTACATAAGATCTACGTCATCTGAGGTAAGCCGGCGCAATCCTTCCTCAAGTCGTGCGTGATGTCCGTTCGGGCCGGAGTCTGTTGGAGTGGAGCTTCGGACCTCGGACTCGGCGTTGGAGACGGGGTCACGCTACACCAACTCATAATTCATTCTGTGTCCGCTTATAATAGGCCTGATCACATATAGAGATAATCCCAATGCTTACAGGGAAATGGTTAGTTTTATTACCATTAATTTAGCAGGAATAACTTCGAAATGTCCCATACATCATCTCCAAACTTCATCCTCATCAAGAATGTGACGGTATTGACCGTGGACCCACTGAATGGTACCCTTGCAAACTCCGACATTCTCATCCAAGATGACCAAATGGTTGCGATTGGACAAGCCTTGCCAAACCCATCCGAAAGCAATGTCACCGTCATCGATGGCCAAGGATGCATCGTTACGCCTGGCTTTGTCGATGGTCACCATCATATGTGGCAGCAACTTTTGCGGGGTGTTGCAACGGACTGGTCACTTTTTGACTACACTATCAATATGCGAACCATTTATGGAAGCTTATATACACCTGAAGATGTCTACCTGTCTACCTATATTGCAGCATTGAGTCTGATCAACAATGGCGTGACTTCTGTTCTTGAGCACTGCCATATCATCAACTCGCCAGATCATGCCGATGCAGCTGTAAAGGCACTCCAAGACGCTGGGATCAGAGGAACATTCTGTTATGGCTTCTATGCCAACCCGCCTCTGCCCGATCAGCTCGATCCAAAATGCTTCTCTCAAGCGTCGCGGCTGATCGATGCTGCCAGGATAAGGCACAAATTCTTTGGCCAGAACGATCCAGCTCAGCAGCTTCTCACATTCGGTGTAGCTCCAGATGAGCCAGAATCTATGCCCATCGAAGACACCATCACGCAGATCAAGCAGTCGAGAGAGCTTGGAGCACGCATAATTACCATGCATATCGCTATGGGGCCCTACGACTTATCTCGACGTCAAATTGTGCAGAATCTCACAAATGAGGGTATCATGGGCCCAGACCTCGTCTTCAGCCATGGCTCATCCTTCACCGAGAGTGAGCTCCAGGCGATCAAGGAGTCAGTTGCTTCCATTTTCGGTACGCCAGATACAGAGTTACAGATGGGTATGGGATTTCCCATAGTTTTCGAAGCTTCTGACCGCGGATGTCGGACATGCTTGGGTATAGACATTACATCCAATCAAGGAAATGACTTCATTGCGCAGATGCGGCTCGCACTACAGGCTCGTCGAGCTCAGGAAAACGAACAAGAGTTTCCACTATCCATCAACCGTAAGACAGCAAACGTTCTTCGAATGGGGACGCTGGGAGGTGCAGAGGTGATGAGAATGGAAGATCTCATCGGCTCCATTACAGTTGGGATGAAAGCAGACCTTGTTCTCATTCGCTGCGACGATATTGAGAATACTCCTGTTGGCGATCCAGTTGGGTCAGTCGTGTTTCATTCTTCAGTGAAGGATATCGATACAGTCAACATCGATGGTGAGATTAAAAAACGGAACGGAAAGTCGACCGTTGAGTGGGAGAGGCTAAAGGAGGAGGTCATTCTCCGTGCAGACCGCATCAAGACAGAGGCAGCTAAGATTGATCTGACAGCAGCCAGGAACCGTTGGATGGAAATCTTCCACGTTAAAGACACATCAGAATGAAACTTGGATTTTACTCTCTTTGCAAAAAGAATAAATCTTGACAATTGACTTTGACCGATATGATAAAGAGGAAACTCTTCAACTGATGGACCGATTCTCCGAGTTTCTACTTTGACCTCTCTCTTTTACGCTGCATGTTTCACTCTATACATCTTCACCTTCCCATCTCTCACCAACAACCGAAGATTACTCCAACCGAAGTATACCGACCATCTTTCGCAACCTAGTAACACACAAAACCAAGCTCTTCCCATGCTGTGGCGATCTCTTTCATGGCTTTGACTGCCTTGGTTGGTGCTCTGACCTTGGCTACGACCGGTTGCACGACGGTGCCTTTTTCCAGTTGGACGATACGACCCCATGCTGGTCCCCACACTGAGAAAGATTCTGATTTCAGAGTTGAGGGCTAAGCAGTGATCGCCTCGCCAGGGGTTCCTATTCTCCTAAATAATGAGACCACGTGAATGGAGTCTTATTAGCTGCCTGTAGTAATCTAGGGTATCCGCTCCGCACAATATGATCTGACTCAATTCCTTTTCACCCTCTTAACGCCATCGCCGTTTAACCTCTAAGGCACGGGAAATCGGGCTTTATTTGATCCGGACCAATCATAGCTCTTCCTCTGTTCCCAGCCCACTACAGCTAGCCCTCTGATTGGACAAAGTCAACGGACCCCCTATAACCCCCGACTTTCACAGTTGCTTGAGACGGTGGTGATCTTTGAAGGGCCTGACACCTTGGGTACGCTGTGCTTCTGGGTTTATGATGCTGAAATAGCAGAGCTGGTATTTGCTGGGTGTTGGAAAACCGCATAACACACTACTCTTGATGAGATGGACCAGCACCGGATACAGCTCTACAAGAGCGTCTCGGATCTTCATGTGGACAAGCTCGCAATCCTTCCACTGTTCCAGATCGCCATGATTTACCACAAACGCGTGGACCATAGCCAAGCATTGTTGGTTTGTGTTCGGTGTTCCAACATCATCTTCGACACCCTTGATACCCTCGTGAGATGATTCGCTGAGTTGACTGAGCGTTCTTGAATAGTGAGAGCTTGAGGTACCTCACGATGGGGTCGCGAGACTTGTTGTCGCCTTCCATGTACCACTTTATCAAGCCTCTAAGAGGCGTTGACCGTCCGTATGGAAACTAAAGACCTAATGTGAATAAACTGTAACTATCTACTAAAACAAAAGCATACCGAAAGGGTGACTAGCTTGCAATCTTTTGCGACTTTGTGGATGGAGGAAGCCAGACTATCTGCCCAAGTCATTAAGGTAAAGTCTTTTTGCAGTCAGGGGCGTTTAGTAAATAGATATTAGAATATTTTGTGAAACTATATAGTTAGTAGTGCTTACTGATTTTAAAACCCTCTTTACACTCCTGAAGTTTTTATATAAGTTTAGGATAAATTTAGGATAACTTGAGATAATTTAGGATACTCTTTAGAAGACTTTTTTACCAAGTTAGGCACGACATATTAACTATCTGAGAAGTTATAAGACCGACGTCAGCTGCACTTACTACTTTGGAGCCGTTCTTTCACGGTCTCCCTTAGCAAGAAGTTCGATACACGGATGCTGGTCTTGCACACAATATCCAAGCGATGTCTGTAGGGTTCCTCTAATGCGCGAGGGTACGGGGAGGTCTTTTAGTGAGTTAAGTTAGACTGACGGCATATATTCTCACCGGTCGCACAAATGGCTGTGTATACATCTTCATGAATCGGAGCACAGGTGGGGCTCAGAGAAACAACTGTGCACTCATTGCACTCTGTTGAGAGGAATCTAATGCGAATCAGGCAGCTCCATTCCTCCTTGGTCTTCTCCCAATGCACGGCCATTGATCTCGACCGGCGCCGCATGGAATAAGATGAACACAATCCTAGCCCATTGCTCAGTTCTGTTGAACCATTGGTGATTTGTACCTCTCTGGATCACAAGATCTCCCGGGTGGATCGTCCGAGCCTCACCCGAGTCCAGCAGACATTCCAGTTCGCCATTGATAAGAATGCCGTAGTCGAGACTGACGGTACGATGCATCTGCGACTTTGAGCCTGGAGGAATATCACAGTATCGTAAGATGGTCCCGCCATGCTTTACCAGTCCTGATTTCTGTTTGTTGGCATAGGCCTCCTTGAATGTTGAAAGGTCTTTGTCGTTTGCCAGTGGTACGGGTAGCCCTTCGGTGACGTAGCCGAGCTCAAAGTCGGCAGAGTTTCCCTCGCCTGCACTGACCTTCCAGAAGTTCAACGGCTCATCGAGGTCTTTGGAGTAACATGATTTGCCGCTCGAGTCATGCGTAGTGATGAAGCGGTGGATGGAGGGAAGGGCTTTCGGGGGTTCGGAGTTTGAAGTCATGGCGATTGGTTGGAGGGTTGTTCTTTGGTGTTCGGATATTTCTCAGAGCATGGGAGATCAAGCAGTATCAAATTCCCACCTTATATCTTGTGTAGGGTTCGGGATGTGGAGAATAGTCTCGAGCGCGGGATCGTTCTTAGTGTCGTCCGAAACACGGCCCGATGGCACTGGCTTGACTGGGGGGCAATAACAAAGTCGGCCCGAGCGTTTACAATTTTGGCGCTTGACCATAGTGACGATGCCGTCTTTATGGCCCAGACAATTGCAGGCTTATCGGGGTGAGGTTGTAGTCGTTATACTTTCGGTCGCATTCCTGTACCGACAGGTTCGCAGTTTCTGGTGGTCGCAGAAGGACACACTGGACAACAAAGTCAGCCAAGCAACTTGCCTGTCATCGTGATCGGTCGAGACTTCGTTATTTCCCGATGTAAGTCGAGTGGCAGTGGTCGAAGAGTTCCGGAACAGGTTTACTCGATCCGCTACAGCGTTTGCATCATGCCATGTGTGCTGTGACCTTTCAGCATGGCTAGTCGGACGCCGCAATAAACGAGTCGGCAGCGGCAGTTGTACCTGGCAACCCAAGCTCGGTAGACAGCTTCAACTACAGCCACAGCTGGGCAGTTCTTCTGGGTATGATTGCTGAATCACTGCGACAACGACAAGGAATGTCACGATAGTAGTTTGTCGAAACACAACTGACCATCAATAGCATAGCATTCTCACAAACGCGCGCTGGGACAGTGCCAGTGAAGTGTTCATCGCAACTTGACAAGTATCGGCGAACTACAACAACAACAGGCAGTCGCGAATTGCCTCACTGATCGCTTGTCGGAACAAATCAAAGAAGGAGTCCGAGAAGCTTCCTTGGTCTTTGACGTCGTCGGACTTCAGAGCAGATACGGAACGGAAGCCCAACGCATGAGCAATGACTGCGCAAGTCGTGAATTATTCGTATCAAGGACCGCCGCTGCTGCGAATGGCATGGATTTGGCCAAGATCTTGCCAGGTGCTCTTTCGGCTCTGCGGTATCTGTCGAAGGGTCCGATGTCATCGTGACTTGAGCGCGACCGGCGGAACTCTTATTAAGAATGAAGTGGCCATTAAGAGAAGAAACGCGCCGCTTTGAAGAAATTGTTGACTCGGTTTGCGTCGATCGGCGTCACGACGTTGAAACGCCAGACAGCCTTGCAGTGGTGTCGAAGAGCGCTGGTTGGGAGCGGCGAGGACCTGGCATTCTGGTAGTACGAGTTGAAGCCTCTTGTGAGTCTTGGTAACGGGACGAAGGTGAAGACAGTGTCGAGAGCGAGAAATCGTTCGATCGAGGGAGGGATCCGTTTCAAGGAGCCTTGAGAAGCGACCACGGCGTGGCATTTGGGTCAGCAGGCAGCCACGAAGAGGGTACAGGCGGGCAAGAAGCGATGTGGTTACGCAATGTAAACAAGGAGAGCGGTGCAATCGTCGAAGTGAACTGAACAGGAGACAGGGAAATGAACTGGGGCTCACAAGGGATCTGGTCAGAATGAAGAAGTGAAGAGACAAAGTGCAAGCTCAACGGAACAAGGGCTCTTGAGACCTCATAATGTGAGGCCTTTTCCAAGTGTTGAGGCATTTTATTATCAGGCTCTCGTCGTTGACGAAGACTACCACCGATGGTTCCTACTATAGTGTTCAACGCGGAGGTTTCGCCACGGAGACCACCACGAGGTTTTCGGAGAAAGGAGCGTCAAGAAGACATCGTCGGTTGGGATCGGGGGCGGCGTTCAAAGCTGGGGACGACGGTGCTGTGGGCGAAGCTGAATGATCAGAACCTCTCTCGAGCTTCGGCTGAGGGGAAAGCGGACGGGGCAAGGAGGTACAGGGTTTGCAATGTTGCTTTGTCGGATCCCGTAGGAGAAGGATTCAAAGCGCAGGAGTCAGTGACTTGGGCTGACAGCATAGGAATGTCGCGGTCTGGGGGATTTGCTGGGAGCAGATGGGTCACAGGTGAATAGCGACTGTGTTTGATGTATTGGAATGTTACGCTGAGATCTCACTGTACGGAATGTTTTTCTTTGGGTCAGTACCACCAAGTGACCCTGGTTGTCCAATACGTTTCAGTGATATTGATTGCTAATCTCAAGGTACAGTCACAGTGGTCAGCTCGGGGTAGGACAAGGTATGTGGCGGTAGGGAACAGGTTCAGTTGATTCCCCGCGCTGCGTCTCGGAGCCTGATCTTTGATGTACCCAGCTCTTTTCCTTTTCGCATTTCCATCTAAACATCACAAGCAGTACGGCATCGAAAGACGAGAAAATTGTCCTGCCGCCGCTGCGATGAAAACGGAGTGGATGAAAGGTGAGAAATCGAAGTCAAATGGCCAAGAGACACAGGGACAGCTACGAGGCTGAGGTCGATGACGTGCATGCTGACAACGAAGATCCCAGACTGGGGAACAATGAGCAGCGTTTTCGCCACCGAGTTTCGCACTTGGAGTCTGGATCTGCTGTCGAACGATGGTACAGTTGTCGGACTACAGTCAACAGTCTTGCAGGCGGAGAATCGACATCAAGCGAAATCTTGACCACGACTACGACCGCGACCGCGACCGCAACCGTGATTACGATCAATAGGACACGCGTGTACTGACGAGCGAAACAAATACTTCCCTCCCTCCGATCGAAACCAACCGAGACGGAGCTGCCGCCAGCCCACACCGAGTTGCCAAGCACAGCGAAGATAACACCGTAACCACAACACGAGCCCTTTCGAATACGAGCCGCAGTTGACCCGTATCCGAGAAATAGAATAAACATGATGCAGTGATGATGTTACGCAAGGGTGCACAGTGACATGATCCCGGGGGGCCAAGTTACATCAGCCGCCATCGAGACAGATGCGGCTCTCGCTTGACAACTCACGTCGATCTGCTCTAACCCATCCAAGGTGCCCATGTCTCTTGCCATGTAATGCTACTCGTCAACACGACACATCCATGCCACTTTAGTTCAGTGGGTTTGTTGAACGCTAGCGAATTTCCAGCCATCACGTGAATGAGCTGGGCATGATCTTGACCACCGAGTAACCAGTTTTCACGATCCTAAAGCACCGACGGTTTTAGCAACTTTAGGATAATTTAGGATAATTTAGGATAGTTAAGGATAGTTTAGGAGAGTTTAGGACGATATTTACAAGACCCCTTGACTCAAAACTACCCATTCTTCCTGTCCTTTGTTGTCTCGAACTCCTGCTTCTGCCTCGGGGCCAAGATCTGCGGGTGCTTGGTCGGATCACCTAGTGACAGCAAACACGAGTCCTGGCACCGCGATACACCCGCACCTCTTCGTCTTTAGTCACTCCGCCCTTCTGTACCACAGCAGGAACGCGTTCCACCGGCGAGGCCCAAATGGACGTAGCGGTGGGACCCGGATGGACGTGACTGCAGCCTCAGGCGGTCGCTGTGACGACGGGACTGAGGTGAATGATCGCAGCGGAGTTGAAGAGCCTATCATAGGCTCAGAACTCCGGCCTGTGACTCCGGTCCAAGCGCTAGGCATAGCCTCAGGCCGAGCAGACGCGAGAGAAGCGCGAAGGATGACGTGACCGGCGATGAGGCAACAAGCTCTGGCCCATCACATGACATGCTCAGAGTCTGCCACTGGCAATCCAAGGAGAACGCGACTGTTGACGCGGTTTTAGGGTGCCCCACGCCCGAGATGCAAAAGCCGCACAAGGGGTATAAATACCATCGGGGCTACTCTCAAACTTACCACACTTTTTGGTTCCATTACACCTTGTGCAGTCGATGTCCACAGTCAACAAAAGCCTATCGACATTTTATTCATTTAGTGTCAACTCTTCAATTTTCATCTTGACATTGGACTTGATAGCTGGTTCGACATCGCCCACGTGCCACTCGATATATTCCCACCTGTCAATCTTGCCATCTTGCTCGACACTCTTTCTTCGATATTCACTATCAGAGTCGGTCGTCTGTCTCTTCCATCCCGAATATCAGAGTCGGTAAGTGCTTTTTTGTATCCTATTGGGTATCAAACCATTCTTTTTCTGTCCTTTTAGCCAACTGGTGCAATACCTTCCCTTCTTTCATCTGACTCTATCAAAGCTCTATCATCCTCAATAGCAGCACAAAACACAGGAAGTCGACGTCACAGAGTTCTTCGGCATACAGTGAACTCTGGAAGCCACAAAATGTCAGCCAAGACAAGAAAAGATGCAGTCGGAACTCGGGCGTATAATGAGGCCCATGGAGAGTCACCGTATTCCACAGTGAGGATGATAGACGAAAGACCCAGAGCTTAGGCTTTGTTTCGCTGGATCAAGTTCAGGGCTCCAGGCTTCCTCTTATCCAATGAAAGTCCAGTTTCCTTTATTCAGAAACCACATCCCGTCTCGCTAGATTCAGCTCACACCTTATACTCAGCAGCATCTATTTACTTGCTCAATGTTATGGTTTTGGTTCAGGTCTCACCCTCATTGAGTTACCCCAAACATTCTGCCAACAGCTGGTATGATGTCTCTTTGAAGCATTTCCTTGTCAAACTTGATGAAAACATTGTTATTTAGTGAATGAATGACAAATTTAGTAAATCGATACGGAGAAGGACTTTAGAAGAAGTCCAATGTCAATAACGTTTTGGAAATACATAGAACGGGGGAAAGGTTGTCTGTTTTATACTAGGTTGATTGACCCCTAATGGTCTTTCCGCTAAGCCTTTCTCCCCAGACCGTTCAATGACCCTCGCATACTGGCAGTACGGCGTACAGGTCATTGAAATCAAATTCCGATGTGTCAACCCACAGTGTGTCTTTCCTGGAACAATTTCAGGCTGTGCTTTGATCATTTCTCCATGTACCAATCACTCCTTTCCTTCAAAATGATTCCGGCCTTCAGCTTTGTCACACTCCTCCATGATTCTCCACGATTCATGGTCGGTACAGGAGTATTTCGGCATGTCCTCTGTCGACTGTTAGCAAAATATTAGTTTGAAGGAAGTGAACTGGTGAACTTACTGTACTCCGGAAACTTGGCATTGAACTCCTCCTCAGACATATTGAAAATCTTATCCTCTTCAGCCTCGATCTTCTTATACTCTTCCTCGAACTCCTCCTTGGTCTTGGGGGGCCCCATACCAGGTCGGAGGGGAAGACCACTGCCATCACCGAAGCGGTGGGCATAGCGGGGCTGTTCGTCATCGTTGCCTTCCAGCAACTCTTCATCCTTCAGAGCTTCTGAGATAAATCAGTACGGTATTACTTTGAAGAATCGAGAGTAACAAACTTACTGTATTCCGGAAACTCGGCGTTGAACTCCTCCTCCGACATGTTCATGATCTCATCATATTCAGCCCGCAATTTCTTCAACGACTCTTCGTCCTCTTCCACATTCGGAGGAGGTCCCATACCAGGTCGGAGGGGAAGTCCGCTGCCATCTCCATAGTAGGAGGCATATATAGGATTTTCTTTTTTATCCTCCCGCTACGACCACTCTTCGGCTTCTCCTTCAGCGAAGCGGTGATCCTTTGTCGCCTCTGAAGGCAGTCAGTAAAGTATTTCAAAGGGTTGAGATTCGCAAACTTACTGTATTCTGGATACTGCGCGTAAAACTCCTCATCGGTCATGTTCCAGAGACGTTTAGACTCAGCCTGCCACTCCTTCCATGACTCCTCCTGCTCTTCCTTAGTCATAGGTGGTCCCATCCCAGGTCGAAGCGGGAGGCCACTGCCATCTCCATAGTGCTGGGCGTAGCGGGGCTTTTCTTTGTCATCCTCCTTCATCGGCTCTTCCTCGAGACCTCCCTCAGCTTTGGAGGGTCCGATGCTCGGTTGACGCGGAATGTCACCATCATCCTCGTAGAGGCAAGCATAGTATTCGTGGCGCAGCATAATGTCCGTGCTATCCATCACCTGAAAATATGCTTCTGGGCCCCACTCGTCATAGGATTCATCTGTAGGTGGTTAGGTCTCGAAAGGTTTCAGGATCCTTGTAGAGATGAACTTACCGGAATGTGAAGATCGGACGTCAGATGCGTCCTCTTTCTCACGACTAAACTCATATTTCGGGCCAGCTGTAAACAGTTAGCAAGAAACGAGTTCCGAGGTTCTTAACTGATGGAACTTACTGTAAGTAGGAAAGCGGGCATCGAATTCTTCGGCGGACATGTGGCCAGGAACACGATCACGTATAAGCGACATCTCTTTCTCCGACTCCTGGAACTCCTCGTCGGTCATAGGGGGTCCCATGCCCGGTCGAAGTGGGAGACCACTGCCATCGCCGTAGCGCTCTGCATAACGCTGAGTGCAGGTCTCATCACTTTCCTTAGGCTCAGAAGGTTCTTTTTCTTGCTGCGGCATCGCATGTGTTTCTTTTTCGATCCTATACCATTCTTTAGGACTACCCGCTGTTAATAATTAGCAAAAGCAGATACAAGATTCTTAACACGTTGAACTTACAGTAGTAAGGAAAGTGAGTATCGAATTCTTCGGGAGACATGCGACCATAGATCCAATCCCGTAGAAGAGACTTCTTTTCCCACCACTCAATGGAGTTTCCGTCTTCGTCGAGCCAACGCTCATCCGTTAGACGCAAAGAGCCATCGCTATCGCGGAAGCGAAAAGTAAAACGCCGTCCGTTTACCTCCTTGGAGAGAATCTCCCCAGCTTGCTTGGAGGGCTTCTCGGCAGCCATGTCGTTCTTCTCACTGGCCTTGGAGCTCATCGATTCTTGTTTCGGAAAACTGTCGAAGACTGCGTTAGCATAACACGTAACTGATATTGGAGGCTATCGTGAGCGTATGCCTGCTGGTGACGAGAGCCTGTGCCTCAGTCTAGGGCGCCGGCTCAAACTGAAAAAGATAGGAAGCGAGAAGAAGGGGAGACGGGAACATGAATCAACACGCGAGTGGGCAGTAAGATGGGAAGCCATGGGGATGGGAGAAGACCATGAGAAATCTGACGCAACTTACCTCAGGACTCAGGTGCAAGGAATGGCGCTGAGTTAAAGCGCACAGTTGCTTGCTGTGTTTGGCAAGATTGATGCGCTGCGCCCGCAACTCAAGGATGGAAGGGCGCTCTGATGAAGAAGGAATTTTGATGAAGGAAGTGTGTTGATGGAGGAAGTGTGTCGATGGAGGAGGAGGTTGAGTGAAGGAAGAGGTTGAGGGAGAAACACGAAATTTATAGGGACGGCTGGACTGTGCGTGCGCTGCTGCTGTGACTCCACCATCTGTCTGGCAGTGGTTCAAGCTCGCAGTGCACAATGTTACTTCGTGTTACCTGTGGCGGCCAGGATGCATATCACTCTATGTGCTACATATATTTTGCCAATGGTACGACTAATGTTGAACCATAGGCGGTCCTGGAGGAGGCCATTCATCCCGTGATATGCATCGAGATCAAGTTTGAGGTAGCCAACAGGACTAGTAAGAGTACACTCTAGCTTCACTCCGCTTTGTACAAGCTCGGGCTTTCATGATAGCCGCGGAATGAAGCATCCTAGTACGTTGAGGAAAGGTGGAATGATTGCCAAGTGGCATGCGTGGGATGTCAACAATTGTGTTCGAAGAATCCGGGGTTTACAGAACGGTCACCCCAGCCTCGATTCACTGGCCTTGGCTCCGAGGAGCAAAATCCAACATGTTTCACATTGGCCTAGCACTATAACGTGCCTGTTGTTCCCTTAGTGCTGGAGAACACATTTGTATCCTATGATAGTGCCCTACGCTACTTGCTCGTGCTTCCAAAGAGAGTATTAACCGTCGAACAATCATGAGAACACCCAGTATTGTGCACGAAGATGAACCATAAGAGCGTGCTTAACAGTGAGAGCTAGAGCACCCAATCTAGCCCCAGCAACTGCTTGTGATTGTGAACCACTTCGGTCTAGAACTCACTGCACCCCGCCATCTTCCGGGCTTCCCCCTCACCGAGAACACTCTCATCAAGACCACTGACATGCAAGCATCGCGCAGGTCCTTCTCGAGGCTTCTAGCTTCTTTCCATGGAACTATCAGCATCAAGGTACCTGTCAGGCAACTCAGAGCTTTCAGCAGTTGCCTGGAAGCAGTGTGAGATCATTGAACAGTCGCCCCACTCACCCTGATCACTCCCACAACTTGCAATGCATGCCTTGATCGCAAACATCACACCGAGGGCCAATGACTCATTGACGCCTAACTATGCTACAGGTCACAATAACATGCAGTTGATGCTTGAGCTTTCCAATGGCACTGATCGTGGCCCAGTGGTAATCGCAGTCGCAGTGGCGGAACAGGCTCTCCTGGTGCGTTGATCGATGCAGTGTCAGCAAGCCATGCCGCAAGGGGATTCCCATGAGATGAAGAGCGCAAATGGCGATGTCAATGTCGAAACGCGGTAATAACTGTGGTAACCAAAGCGGCGGGTAAATCCCAGTGGTCTACGGGCGGTCTTGGGGGAAAGGAACTTCCATTGGATCAGCTCGGCGTTGCAAAGAGAACAGCGTCACAGAACCAGAAAGTAGCAGGACATCGTACTTATGGGCTTGGATTTGCGATAGAATTGCTCGTACATTGCGTGGGGCCTGGCAGCGAAGGGGAAACAGGGGATACGTACCCACATAGCTCCTTACTGGGAGAGCCTATCCCTGCCAGGAACTACATACTAGTAAGGCGCTTCTCTATTTCTCCATCGTACCTTGCCGCCTTCAGCTGTTTTGTCTTGCTAGGAACACAATGTGAGGCGCAGGACACGGTGGCTCGTGTCACTTGGGAAAGTCAATGTTCCACGGTTCGATGCGCAGCGCCAGAGTGGTCGACTAACCCCCGACTGGCAACACATAAGAACATCAAGCCCTCCTGTGTTTGCCAACACCCTCATCGTTCGGGTCTGGACCGGCTCCAGCTCAGACTATTGTAAGTCCTCTTTGTGTCAAATCCCGCTCATGGCTCAACCGCTAACCTCCATCAAGGACCTCCAACCTATTCGCTCGATCGCCACGACTACCGTTGCTGCTTCCCGACCACGACCGTCCGAGTCTTACTGCTGCGTTGCTCAGCACACTTTTCGAGCTTAGGTTTCTCTCAATCTTACTAAGGGCCTTTCGTTTGCAGACTCGACACTGCCTCCCAACAATGTGGTCTACCGAATCGAATTGTCCTCAAGATTGAGATATACAAGTGGGCGAGATAACCTGACCGCGAAAGAGAGACATATAAGCACCTTGACCGTCTTCGACACCTCACGATTCTTCAAATCTACGGCTGTGCAGACTGCAATCCTCACTCGACCATGATTCTCTCTCGTATCGGGGAAGGGAAGAGACACGTGGGGTGCGCTCTTGGAGGAACTTTAGACAACTTCTACCAGTATCTTTGATAGCTCTCGCGGACATGATCGTCCGGCATTCTGCCACTAGACTTGACAAGTTCTACCTCATTTCCAACAACGATCGAAGCTTGGCAATACCATGCAGTATTGAACGTGTGATCGCAAATCATTGAATGCATCTCCCATGTTTGCAACACGATGGCTACTTGAAAACCACAATAAATCTCGGGAAACAGTCACTTGAAAAGCAACTTCCGAGTAGTTCTTGGGGCTCCAAATATCGGTTGGTGGTCTCACAGTGAGTGTGAAATCACGCCCGTTCTCGCCCTGTGTTTGCTTACTCCATCCCCACCTAACATAGCAATGTGGGTGGCTGCCCTAGGGGAGGAAAGAATACTCAGGACCTTGATCCTAAATAATAAAAAAGCTTAGGTAACTTGGGATAAAGTTAGGGTAACTTTACTAAATTTAGGATATCTTTTACTGAGTTTATTTTTGATGCCCTATATCCAGGTCTGGGTTTTTTTGCTCCCCGAGGCTGCCGTAGTAAGATCCGGGCTTATTTCCCTTGCTCCGCTGATTCCGTGGAACTCGGATGCCGATAAGATCTGCCGTGGAAATCCAGCGGAAGCTCCACTTTCATGCACCTGGACCAACTACCGTTCACCAACATGCCAGTGTACGCCATGAAGATATAATGAATGAACGAGATCATGGAATAATATCGCAACGCATCAAATCAGCAATGGAGTCCGAAAAAGTCCAAGTCATCATCTGCGGCGGCGGTTCCGCTGGCCTCACAGCAGCAATTTGGCTCGCCCGCTTCAACATCGACTTCAAGATCCTCGAGCGTCGCCCAGGCCCCCTCGAGATCGGCCAAGCAGACGGCGTTCAGTGTCGCACTGTCGAGATCTTTGAGAACTTGGGTATTTCTGAGCGTCTTCTGGAAGAGGCGTATCATGTCATGGAGGTAGCCTTTTGGTCACCTGAGGGTAATGAAGGGCTTGTGCGAAAAGATCTTGCTTATGATACAGAAGAGGGCCTGAGTCACCAACCGCATGTCATTCTCAACCAAGCTAGAATCAATGATTTGATGCTACAAGAGATCATCAGGTTGAGGGGGAACGGAACAAGTGGAGTCTTGTACAATTCTCAGGTTGAGAGTGTGAGGATTGTTGATGATGAGGAGTACCCTGTTGAGGTTGTCACCATGCGCAATGGAGAGCCTTACAAGTATTGTGCAAAATATGCCATTGTAAGTTCTCGCCCTCAGCTTTTCCAGTTACTCTTCTTACAGACTGCGAACAGGGCTGCGATGGCGCTCACAGCACTGTCCGCAAATCTCTCGGCTTCAAAATGGTCGGCGACTCAAGCGACTCCGTCTGGGGCGTCATGGACATCTACCCCATCACCAACTTCCCCGACATCCGCAAAAAGGCCATGCTTCAGAGCAAAAACGACGGAAACCTCATGATCATTCCTAGAGAAGGCGACGAACTTGTACGGTTCTACATCGAACTTCCCGGAACCTCGGCTCGCGACGTCACCGAGCAGGACCTCATCAACAAAGTCAAGCGAATCTTTCACCCTTTCGATATCGACATCGCCCGAACGGTCTGGTGGTCTGCTTATGTCATTGGCCAGCGTCTCGCGGATCACTTCACCAAGGACCATCGTATCTTTCTGACTGGTGATGCTTGTCACACTCACTCGCCCAAGGCTGGGCAGGGTATGAACGTTAGTCTGCAGGATGGCTTCAACATCGGATGGAAGATGGCCCATGTCCTCACCGGCCGAGCACCACCTTCAGTGCTAGAGACATATGTTCTCGAGAGACAGCAGACGGCTCAACAACTCATCGAGTTCGATCGCTCGTTCAGCAAGCTATTCTCATCCGAACACCGAAAAGCGAATGGCATCACAGCAAAGGACTTTCGCGACAAGTTTGTCGAGGCGGGACGATATACAGCTGGTATGGCTACCAAGTACAAGCCTTCCATTCTTACATGTTCGGATGAAGGTGACAACAGTATTGCGTCGGGATTGACTGTCGGGATGAGATTCCCAAGCGCACCTGTTGTGAGACTATCTGATACAAAGCCGATGCAGTTGAACAAGAACCTTGCTGCAGATGGACGGTGGCATGTTCTGACCTTTTGCTCTGGAGATTTCGCGAGAAAGGGATTGCATGAGGTGAGTATTCCAACTTCGTAGCTTTTTCAACAACTAACCTCTCCTCAGGTCGCCAGAGAGCTTGGTAACCTCAGCAAGATGTTCACCCCTGCTGGAGAGCCGTCGGATAAGGTTTTCAGCCATACTCTTCTTATCAAGGGGGAGCGAAAGACTATCGAGATCGACCAACTACCGGAAGTATTCTTCCCTCATACAAGTCCATATAATCTGCGAAGTAAGGGAATCGCCCTGCGTTGACGTGTGATATACTAACAAGACCTCCGACAGATGTTCACCGGGTCTTTGTCGATGATACAAATCCATACATGCTAGGCTGCGGACAAGCCTTTTCGAAATATGGTATCGACGCGGAACAAGGCGCCATTGTTGTTGTTCGGCCTGACTTATGTGAGTCTTCGATGTTCCAACCCTTAGCTCATACTAATACCACTTCAGATACTGCACGCGTTCTTAGCCTGTCTAAAGTCACCGGCCTGTTCACGTTCTTCAAAGGTTGTTTGAACAGCATTGGTTAGGTAGTCAAGACGTAGAACGTCACGAATGCTTATTTGTCCTGCAGCTGCCCATTGCATCCCGAATTCGGAGCCATCGTTGTATTCATAAAGAAAAGTCCTTGTTCGTGTACTCATGCATATTACAAGATCATATCTATCCAAACACCTCGATCATGAAGTGGTACTCCAGCTTACTACCATCTTGCCAACCTCTCAACGTAAGCTCGCGACACTTGTCCGCTAAAATCTCTCCAACAACAGGCGCACCACAGTAAAACACGCCAACCTTGAGCTCCTCGTCTCCTTGATAGTTTTCATCTTCCTTATCCCGTCTGTTCCTCCTTTTACTGGCCCTGAACTTGAGCATCTCCTCATAATGCTCATCCAAGATCTGGTCGAAGTCAGGTCTTCCGAAATGCGTAGGGTTGAGAAGACCGGTGAGAGGAGAGGCTGGGTGCTCATCTGTACGATGCATCTCCAGTAGCCAACGGTATACGTGGGTTGTGAGCTTCTTGCGTTTCGCTGTGACGTGGGTATTGATACGAATGTCGAGATGAGGGTGGACCTCATGCTCGCGATGCCAGTCTTGGCTCATTGATACATCATTGAGTAGATCTGAGAGCCAGAGGAGGTAGTTACGGTCTCGCACCATCCAGTGGAAGTCAACGCGTCGATAGTCATCTGCAAAAGTGGCAGCGCGGTCGGTTTGGGGCTGCTTCTCTTTGTTGATGAGGTCGGGGCCAACACTTCCTTGCCTCGTTGGAGATTCAGGGACGTTGTCGCTGTTCTCAGCATCCGTGCTAGTGATTGATGCTGAAGCGCGGTGCTCAGGAGAAATAGCAGTGACATCGGAGTCATGGCGAGGATGGTCTACTTCGTGGTTCGGACCGCCGTGATCGAGATCATCGTTGTACTGCAGATCAGCCAAGATGCCGGAGAATGGAGTTACTCCAATACCAGCGCCAATGATGATTGAGTGGTTAAAGTCGTAAAATCGTTGGGCAGGTGCACCAAACGGCCCATTGATGCCGACCTCAATCTCAGACTCCCCAGACTCACCACCGAGCTCTCGAAGCTTCGCAGTCCAGTTGCCGTCCGTCTTGATGTGCAACATCATCTTGTTGCCGCGACAGAAAGAGACGGTGAATGGGTGCCACTGGAAGAAGCTGATCTTGGGAACCTGGAGGAAGATGTACTGGCCAGCCTTGTACTTCCAGAGTCGCTCGCTGGGGATGACGACAGTGATCTCGACGGTTTCTTTGTCAAGAACCTTCATCGTGGCTTTGATGCGATGAAAGCCAAGACAGACACGGACGGCGCGCTCAACGAGAACGAGGAGGGTTGGGAAGGCGAGAAAGTATCCGAACATGGGCCACTGGAGCAATGCGGCTGTGCCATGGGCCATCATCAGACCAATGATGGGATACATGAGTAAATGGCCCAGCTGGAAGATCTCGTAGTTCCATTTTCGAACTTGGGGAATGCTAAGTAGTGAGAGGATGTAGAAGAGGCCGAGGGCAGTAATTCCCGTGAAGCCTGGTAGCGAGCGGACGTAGTCGATGTACGGGCGGGGGACCATGTCTGGACCAAGAGCTTCTGCGACAGCGTCTTCATTCTTGGGATCGCTGCCGTGCACAAAAGATCCAGTCAAGTGGCCAATGGCATGCAGCGTCGCCAACAGAATCGCAACACAAGAGATTCGGATATGGAACTCCTGCGACAAGTCCCAGTTGAAGAATCGCGAGATGTGATACGACCTGCGCAGCCACGTCGAAAAGTATCGCGACATGCTGAGAATCAGAAAGAAGAACGTCGGATACAGCGCACCAGCGCAAGTTTTGGCCATGACGACACCCCAACCGAAGGCTTCACGATATCCAGGCGTGGTCTGGTACTTGACCAATTGCCAGATGCCAAACGCGAACTGCATACCAATAACGACTCCTAGAAATACAATCTCCGGCCCATGGACAGCCCAGTATGAGCGAATTCGTCTCCAACCAGGCAAACGCTTAATGTAGCTCTTATCCTCATCCTCCTCCTTCTTCGCCTGCTTCAACGAGGGGATCTTCCACTCCTTCACCATCTTGGCAAACTCATCCCTCGGGATCTTCTCCGCGTCGGAGCCCATCATACTGCGCAGGAACTGATGGCGCGCACGGTCATCTTCGGTATGGTCCCGCTGTATGACGTGGTGGGCGCTCGGTTTAGGGACTAGCTCGGCGTGCTCTTGATCGAGCTTTCGCTCGACTTCGTTGTAGTTTATGAAGCCATCGTTATTGTGGTCGAGATCGTCGAGAAATTCGGAGATCTCGTCGTCGGTTAGGTATTGGATGTTGTTGGATGTACGGATTGGATGGTCGGCTACGATGGATTTTCGATGAGGGTTGGACTCTGCCATTGCAGGGACTGAGTGAAGTGGAATTGACCAGGGAAGATCTGAACAATGGAACAAGAACAACTTCACATCGTGTTCAGAGGGGGGTTGCAAGAAATTTAGCAACTGGAAATAAAACACCAAGATGACGCCCAAGAACAGAGTACGTCAGCGTCGAGCCACGCCAAGTCCCAAGCGTTGAACAACTCAACCCTCAACGCAACTTTAATTTCACGGCGAGCTCCCGTTTCACATGCGATTTCGCATTTAATACGCAGCCAAGGCCTCGAATGCCCTGATTTTCGTCTCGTGGATGACGGCGCCCAGAAACGAGGCTTAATTGCACGCAACGAACTTGACCAATTGGAGTTTTGCTGATTGTGCCCAGTTTCTTGGTTAAGCTTCTGGGGGACTTGGCGATCTTGGCTTTAGTTTGGCTTATCGCGGGGACATGATTGGGTGAGAAAGGGCTTCGCTTATCAGGGACGAGGTAATTACATCAGACCTCTTGAACATGAGATGAGGGTCGGGAAAGAACTCATTGTACAATGGCCTTGTTCAGAGAAAATTATCTATTATGTAATCTTCCAGTAGTAATGACTTTTTCAAGGCTCTCTGAACTATCCTTCCTCTAACCTGGGCGCGACTTACGGGGCGTCTCGCGGCTCCGCCGATGAAAGCCCATATAGGGCACCATACATACATCGGGTCTCGGGTAGGTCATCGTGGCAAAGCACAATAAGCAAACTTCACAAATGAAGATGCCTTTTGCCAGGTCTGCCGGTGCTAAAATTACTGTCAATCTATGAATTTGGATAGTCTACGAGTAGAAATGTGATCTGAGCTCTACTTGACTGGAGTTTCTGGGTGAATGACAACTCGCATTTTGGTTATCTTATTGGAGTAAGTTCCAGTTGGGTGCATTTGGGAACATCTCGAAAGTTTGCCACATCTTTTCATTTTCTATTTACTCCTTAAGCTGCAATGAAAGATAAAAACACCCTGAATTTCGACATTGAACCGATGATCCAGGCTGGTGCTTTTATCTTCAAGATGATTAAGAGTATCTAAACGACTCGCCGTTCACAAACCTGAGATAAATCTATTCTTGCTTCTGTATCTTATCGCATCAAGAAGATACCGTTCTCGGGGATTAGAACACCCATGACTTGGAAAGAGGATGCCAAAATAAACTCAGTAAAGAGTTACTTAAACTTACTCTGAATTGCCTAAATACTTTCATCACTTAGGGTCAAAATCTTGAGAGTTTCGTCCATATTCTCCATCACGTATGAATATTCCCAATCAAACGACTCCCGAGCGCGGAAGAACCGGCGGTGAAATAGTGCTACGACATAGTTATACATATTATGCTAGCTCGTTCATAAAACGCGGCGATCACAATCATTGTGGGAACAACTGCCGGAAACACGAGTCGGAATTCCACAGCAGCGGGGCGAATGAAGTCATGGAGAAGGCTAATTCTCGTATTGAAGATTGAGATCTCCGGTTTTCATGGCCAAAACAGATCAGGGTGGCACTTCTGATTTGGCAATTGAAGATCCGAACCCTGGTTGTTTCATGCAACGTTTAGTTCCAGGGTCCTTTGTTTTTACTCCCTTTGGGTCTTGAAACCGAAGATTCTTTTTCTTTCATTTGGTTACCTTTCAGCCTGTCATTCTAAAGGTGTTCACTTCTTTGAGGCATTGGATTGGCTTGTGTTTTTTACTGTCCCTCGACACATTCTTTTCTTGGTCCTCAATGCAGTACTTTTACCGCCAGAGTCTAATACTAAGCCCCGAGAATGCTTAATACTCAAAACATGGCCTCACCGTGGCCACTAAAGGATGAATTCATAAGTAATAGCGACCGCGACCGCGATAAAGCACCCTGGCATCGTCTCGAGAATCTCCCGGCACCATTTGCGGAACAATATGCCAGACTCAGTCAGCCTTGGCTTCCCGGCTTCTGGATTCGGTTCCCCTATCGCGGCCTTGGCATGTGGCTCTTGGCGTTGCTGGGAACTATCGCGGCTGTTATGATCCTCGTTTATAGCGATGGAGTGCCTGTTGATCATTGGGATGAGCGGATACAGCCTACGGTATGGCTGGCTTTGACATCTGCGTTGTCAGGAGCTTTTCTTGCTTGTGCTTTTACTGAGGGAGCGGCCATTTCTTATTGGAGAACAGCTGGCAAGCCGGTAACTGTGAGTAAACTCATACTGCCAGGAAGTTCGTTACTGATGTAGGTCAGCTGCAACAATTACAAGCTGTCTACGGCTCCTCGACTGGCATCATACAAGCAGCCGTGAACTTATTCACCTGGAAGTCGAAGACACTGGGTCTGGGTATGATTGACATATAATTCTGTAACGTTGGCTTGGGTACTGATTGTGATAGCATCTATTCTCATGACACTATCTGTCCTGCGTGGTCCTCTCATGCAGCGCGCCTCATCAACGACGAATCACTACCAAGCTCAACGAGGAGCCGTGACTTTTCATATCGCGAGACAGCTTCCCGAGAACTATGCGTGCATTATGACTGGTCGCACTCATTCCGCTTCGCTACTCACCAAGAACTTCAGCGACGTCGCCCAAAGCTACAGTCGTCGATCTGACATGGCTGTTTTCGATACTTCCTGCAACAACTGCACCACTGCAGTGGAAGGTTTCGGTTTCGATGTCAATTGCACCGACACGACAAAGGATTTCAATCTCACAATTGGCACGGATAGGGCAAGTATGTTGAGAGCTATGGATGGAGTATATTTCTTCCAGGTGAACGTTACGGAGTATAGTGACTGGGGCGTCAACGACCTGGCCAATGGGTCATTCCTACGATACACGACGCTCTACAAGGACACGGACAAGTGCAATGGAAAGATCAAAGTCCAGACGTGTGATCTTCACGGTGGAATTACCAAGTTCCCCGTGCGAATGGATGGGAAGACAGTCGAGCTTCAGGGAACGTGGAAGGATGACAAGTTTATCGAAAGGAAGTATGTACTACCCCTTCTATACCGCCTAGCTGTTCACTAACTAGAGCCAAGATACATGTTGCCCGCTGATTTGGTCATGCCAGGCTCAGGAAATATCCTAGGAGGCTTTAGCATGATTGCAAAATCGCTCTACGAGTCTCAAGCTTTCATGCGGTTTACGGGCGCTACTGGCTATGATGTCAGCTCAACGGGTTTACCAGCAACCCAGTATCTCACCATGAACGGGACAACCCCGGGATGCGGAGACCGGTGGGAAAACCCGATGGACGACATCATCGAACTCACCCGCGACATCGGCTTCCGAGCAAGTCTGCAGTACGCCAAGTACAACATGACAGACAAGCAAAAAGTCGAGTACGACAGCGGCACGACGACGCTAGTATACGTGACGAATTACGACAAGATGTGGATCGCGATTGCAGTCTCGCTGGTTGGTATTTTCGCCGTCCTTCCAACTTTCTGGGGCTGGTGGGAGCTCGGCCGAGATGTCAGTCTTAACCCGCTCGAGATTGCGAATGCGTTTGGAACTGTTGGGCAGGAATCGCATATTATGAGAAACGTTGACCCGAATCAAAACGTTGGAGGAATTGTGAACGCGGTTAATGATATTGGGCCTGTCAGATACGGTGCATGGGAGATGAGCGATGGTGTTGTCAGACTTGGGTTTGCGGGGGCTGGCTTAGTGAGGAATCCGTCCAAGGGAGAGAGATTTAATTATTAGTTTCTGAATATATTTAATACAAATATCTATAATATTTTCATGAGCCTATTGACTTGTCTTGAGCAAGAGGGCCATCGGAATTCTCAGTGGAGAATGCGAACAGACCCAATAACGACCATGGAGCTGGTCACGTTAAGGAAGGTCAAAGATCGAAGCTTGGAAAAAGGCCACATCCTAATGAACTACGTGGATTTGTGTGTTCATATTTCAAGAACCAACATGAAGAGCTGGCCACCAGAGTGAACAAGGCCATCTAAGTCCGGCACGCCTGCTATTTTTACTGTGCTTTCTCGCCGAGAGTCTCTTCAAGCCGTTTGATGGAAGTTTAAAACCCTCCTTCAGTCCGACGCTGAGGATGCAGGAAAGAGAAAATTTCCAAGAGTTCAGGATCTCGTTCTTGATCTTCAACACCGACTTATAGCCCGTTTTGAACAATCAGCGGGAGAGGTTGGTGGAAGAACTGCTCCAACTGCTGAGAACCTGACGTCTCGACTAGATGGGTATGTGACGGTCGCTCAGGATCGAGAAGGGGGCTTCAAATACATTTGTAGATGGTTGAGTCTTGAACTCGTGTCTTCCTTATCAATTTTAGAAGAACCATCCGTTTGGACTTGACATTGACGGGGAGATCATGCCGTAGTGCCTATTTGATTATGCATTTTATGGTCAGTATTTCCCCTATTATCTAGAGAAATCAATGTGGGACGACTAGCAAGAATTGGAATGGAAACAACCAGCTATCAGGCACGCTTGAAAGATTCTGTCGCTTCCTATTTCTTTCTTGTAAGTTGAAATTACGGCATGATTACTTCGTCAAAGAGAGACCATCACGTTTAGGGATACGGTATATAGGAGCACTATGTAAGTTAAGAGTTGAGATTTTGTGGTCAAGTCTGCTACACTATAATACAAAATGTCTTTCACAATGAGACAAAAACCCGCCCGTCCAACCCTCTTATGCTCAATCTAGCCTAGGTCGACCAGCCGTTAAACATCCAGTCATTTTCCAAGGGAGGAAAGAAAATTCGAGAACTCGATCCTAAATGGAACAAAGACTTAGGTAAGTTAGCCTAAGTTTAGCACAAGTTTAGGATAGATTTAGTATACCTTTTGTGGAGTTTAGTTTAACATCCTCTAATATGCAGGACGAAAAAAGCAAAAGCGCGAGTAACAGCCACTGAGGTCAATGACCCGGTCTTTCACCTCAATGTCCGCTTTGGGATGCGAAGGAAGCCCATTCCATGGCTTGATGTCGTGAAGGTAGAATGGACCGATGGCACTGAGCGGGAAAAGCCAAAATCCAACAGCAGGGGGCTCCTTGCTGTACTCTCGGTACTCCCGCTGTGTGTTGCTGGCGATTCTATACTCATCCGGATCACCGTTAATGCAGATGAAATGTGGCTCATGGTTGTGGGTGAGCTTGAAAATCTCGTTGGCCGTGTAAACATCATTGGGGATTTCCAACACCTGCATCAGATTGCGAAAGGAATAATACCCACGACGGGGGTCCTCGCCTCCGATGCGAACGGCTGTCAACTCGTTTTCGTACAGACCCGATTTATAGTCGAAGAAACCTTGATCATATTCCTCGGTGTTGATACATTTGTCAACAAAGCGAGGGGATTGATTGATGACCCGCAGGTCACTTCCGTATGTTAGGAGCTGGGTGCATTTGTTGGGCACGCGCCCAACAATGGTCAAGACTTCCAATCGACGAATGGCCTCAATGAAAAGGAGACGTTCGTCGTCAGAGATGGGAAACTCATTCTCGTCGTGACGGAGTTCGCAGTCGAGGGCCAAGTTGACGAGGCCGACTTTGTGCTTGTCTGCGGCAAAAACAGCATCAGCAAACTTCTCAAAATGCCGAAGTGGCAAGATGTCGGTTTCGAGATGAATGGTATCCAATTCAGGGCAAAGGAACAGGGTGCCCTCGCTGCTTCCGTTAGGTCCAAGTCGTCGGCAGGGGAGCTGGACACGGTAGAACTTCTTGGCGACGTTGCGCGACTCGGATGTTGTGTTTAGAAGCGGGTGGTATGTCGCACTCTTCTTGATGAAGACGCCGTAGGGCTGGTCATCATCGACATCATCGGCATGGAAGATTCGTTCATGATGACAGTTCCAAATTGAGAACTCGCAGATGTTATTATCGGCCACGACGACCTTGACTTGTCGAGGGTTCGAAAGTGCGGACTCCCAAATCTTAAGGCGCATTTCAACAGGGAGATTGTTGAATAGGTAGAACGTGGTGGTCGGTGGATCAAGAGGCATGAGGATGCAGTCATCCAGCTGCTCCTTGGTATAAGGGATCAGAGCCATGTTTCCCGAGGGAGCAAGACTTTTGCTTGATGGCGTAGAGATTCTGTGTTAAATTCGGGGCACCACACAGTGGTGATGGGCTTTTGTGAGGGTACCCTAGGCAAAGGTTTAGGTCAGGTTAGATGAAAGTTTAGGTAAAGTTAGACGAACGTTTAGGTGAAGGGCAGACGAAAGTTTGGGTATGAGGAGAGGAAAGTTTGAAGAAAGGAAAGCCGGTGAAGAATGGCGAAGGAATATCAGAAAATAAGCACTCGCGCGAGACGTTTTGACACTGGCACAGCCTTGGGGTCTAGTGTATGCATCTGAGATTCGAGTGTTAGAACTTCAGTCTCCTAGGAGTTTTAGTGTCAGCGCAACTCTGCCAGGCATCACGAAAAGCGGGACCACGGGTGAATGGCAGAAGGCGTTTGCCTCCAACTGACAGTGGGAACCTAGTATTTAGTTCTTGTTGGTCACGTAGAACTCGGACTACTGGGGCATGAATCACGGCGCCATACGCGTTGTTCGCGTCAGTTACCTTCCACACTGTCGGGACTCAAGATGCTGAACAGCGCACAACACAAGTGCGCACTCCTGATACCAAGATATGAACATCGGATGAACATTTGATACAATACGATCGATGAGATGAAATACGTAGGTTTATTACACTCTACAAATGTCCGCTGTGGTCGCTTCTGTGGTATTTGGGATTTCCCCTGAACGTGATGTTCTCTCTTTGACGAATGCAAATACAGCAACAGCGTTGATTATAGAGGGAAGCATCACGAGGCAGGCAGCCAAAGGTTGTACAAGAATCGCATTACTAGAAAAAGTTCCATTGACTTGCAAATCCTGTTTATAAAATCCGCTCAGATGGCAATTAGCGTGTACCTGTCAACCGTGGTCAGAGGGTCGGCAAGGATCGTACCTGGTACTTATCGTCTTAGTCAGCCAAACTCATTCCAGGCTCCATCAATGACGATCCCCTCATCCCAATCCCGTCTTGATGTAAGCAAATGCAGATGAACCAAGAAAGACGCATGAAACGAGAACGGCTGTATGATTCGGATGGCCCAAGATGAATTGGAGCTCCGACTCGAGCGCTAGGAAAGAAATGTCCTTTCATTTCTTACCGGCGATAACAGCAGAGCCCAATAGTCGCCGCGAGGTTGAGCTGCGACAATCAAGTGCCAGGTCACATCTCGCCAAATCCATGCATCGCCGTAAACAAGCCAGCAAGAAACTACCACCAGACCAAGCCGACATCGAATTACACAGGGCCAGTGAGGGTATGGCGATTGTGGAGGGGAGAACCAAGAGAAATGATAGACACCTTCTGCTTACCTCTGGACAACTCAGCATGTGCGTTATCCCCGACAGGATAGTGGATCCGCACACCAAGATGCTGCTTCACTACTGCACGCAATCTTTCTGGCCAGGATTCGAGATTGGGTCAGCTGCGTTCCACATTCCACCCTTCGCTCTCGATTACAACACTCTTGTTGCTCAAGGTCCAGCATTAGTGCATGCTTGTCTGTGGCAAGCTGCTGTGAACCTCGCTTTCAAGAGAAACTCGCGTGTTACCGATAAGCAAAGCTTACTGCACTACAACCAAGCCATAGTGCATATCTCGAAAGACATCACGAAACCTGTTGCGGAGATCCCTGAGCAGACTCTTTATGCTATCCTCAGTCTGTGTGGTCCTGAGATGTCACCAGACGATGGAAATGGCATCACCAAAAAGGCGTTTGATCCACCGTTAGCGGAGCTGTCTTGGATCCACGTCTTTGTCAGCAGACTTCTCATCGATTCGCACGCAAAGGCCTTGATGAATCTGGTAGATTTGAAAGGTGGTATTCATAATGTCAAGTACGCTGGTTTCCAAGCTTCCTTCAACTACATGGACCTTGTACGCGCCACGCAGAAGCTTGTCAAACCTCAGCTTCCGGTTTCTCAACTCTACGGTCGTGTCAAGGAGACCCATGATAGAACCAAGTTCTTTGGTTACGCTTCCGATTTTGTCGAACATTCTCCATTTGGGGAATCTTCTGCTACACTTAACAGACTTATTGTGATCGGTTTAGAAGAAGATGTCAGAGAAGTAATATGTGACATGCGAGTTTGGGTCAAGGTCATAGAGGCATACCATCACAACGCCTTGACAAACCCTGATCTCTCACTTCTAGCTGCTCACAGGGATCTCATCCAACAGCGTCTTCTTGCAACTCTCCCAGACGGGTATGATGGCAAGAAGCCCGTGCAAAGAGACGCGTCTAGGTCACCAGAAACTACCGCAGACCACTGGATCAACGAGATCCTTCAGACAGCTCTTCTGATATTCTCATTGGGAGTTACTTGTCCTATCTCCTACGCGCCTCCTTATCATTATGCTGCACAGAGGTTACAGGCACAGCTCATCCTGTATAAGGAGCGAGCGGTATATCTAGGGTTATCTGACCTGTTGATCTGGCTTGGGATGTTGGGAATACTTTGTACGGAACAAGTTGGGTCTGGGCTTCGAGAGTGGTTCGTTGGATTCCTTGATAGGGTAGAGCAGAAGCGCAGAGTCGCTGAGGGCGCGAGGGATTGGGATGAGGTCAGGAAAGAATCACTTGAGCCTATTCTGTGGTCTTACGTCGCCTGCGATACTGCAGCGGAAAGGGCGTGGCGTGATGTCCGAGGAGTCGTGGACGAGACCTCTTGGACTTGGGGCAGGACAACATGGTCAACGATGCTGGGGACTATATGTGGATAAGTCCAGAAGGCTATTAGCAGCTCTTCCACCAAGAAAGTCAACCTCAAGTAGTTAGGCCAAGGATGAAAGTAAACGACAGGCAGCTCACCCCGGGCAGTTTCGGAGTCACATCACGAAGCCTGCGTCCACTTTCAGAGATGTAAGCGTCATCACCATCAATGAGCCTTCCTCATTTATGAGCGCTATTCCTCATCGAGTATATACACTAAATGTCCCTGCATGCGTTAGTGCTTACTCAAGGCGGGTCGAGCCGTTACCTCCATGTCGTCAACCCATTGACCTAAGAGCGAAAGTCGCGGTTTTGTTAACATTTTCGACGATGGCCGCCGGCACATGGGTTAAAGCTCGTATCTCCGGAATTTCGACACCGATGCTTAGTATTTTCTTGAGGAGAAATCGATTTTAGAAGCGCCACAGGTTTGAAAGGATAAGGGCTTGGTGACAACATCTTGCTATATATCTGAGCACTCACCCCCCTTCCAAGTTTTACCCAACTTGTCCCGGCATTACTTCCACCCATTAATTACACTCAGACCAAGCCTCAAAACATCATGTCTCTTGACGGAAAAGTCGTCCTGGTTACAGGTGGCTCCAAGGGAATAGGGAAAGCCGTCATAGAGCGTGTTGCAGCTGACGGTGCGAGCGTTGTCATCAACTACTCCAGCGATAGCAAACCCGTGGAAGAGCTAGTCTCCAAGATAGGTCCCGACAGAGCTCTTGCTTTTAAAGCTGATGTCTCGAACATCGCTGAGATCGAGAAGCTGGTACAAGCGACGGTTGAGAAGTTCGGCAAGATCGACTGTGTAATGGCAAATGCTGCATGCGCCCCCATGAATGATCTCGAGAGTACAACAGAGGAAGGCTTCGACAAGGCCTTCAACCTGAATGTGAAGGGACCTTACTTTCTCGTTCAGGTGAGTCTTTTTGTCTGGCTAGTCCGGCCACAGTCCACCTAACAACCATCAGAAAGCAGTTAAGCACATGCCACGAGATGGCCGAGTCATCCTCGTATCAAGTGGTGTTCTTCACCAATCTCAAGTGGCACCTCGTTATCTTCTCTACGCATCATCGAAAGGCTCCATTGAGCAGATGACACGAATTCTCGCCAAAGACCTCGGACCGAAGGGTATCACTGTCAATGCCATCGCCCCCGGTCCGACGGCCACAGAAATGTTCTTCCAGGGCAAATCGCAGGAACTTATCGACACTATCGCCGGCTTTAGCCCGCTTGGGCGCTTGGGAAGGCCGGAGGAAATTGCTGCTTTGGCTGCCTTTCTTGCTGGTCCAACCAGTTCCTGGGTGTCTAGGCAGGTAATTGGGGCCAATGGGGGTTCCTTTGTGTAAAATGGGACCTTGTCATAATCATTTTACATTAGTGTTATGGACTTTGCAGATTAAATGCGTCGATTTCACTCGTGTAATGCAATGACTGCCTGCAATAAAAAGACAATGAGTGAGATTGGATCTACTATTGAACGTTGAACCTCTGCTGTATCATGAGAATACCGTAAAACGTCAGCAGCACTTTACTACTAGTAGATCTATCTTCACGCTGGTAACAAAATTTGGAAAAGAAATGTATCATAGCTATTACAGGGATGCTTCTTCTTTTAGCAAGTCAGGGAAGAGAAACAAGCTTCAGGCAGCATATCTCAAATACACAATCTACAATTAGCCAATATCTAACTACTAGTTAGGTACCTATGTTCTATTACTGGCCGTGGGTCAGCGGGGACTGTAACAGTAACGGGGGCAGCGGGGATAACGGGGAATGGGAGGTATATTGGCCGATGCTGTGGCCCTTGGAACTGTGGCTCTTGGTGCTGTTTCTCCTGAGATGTTAGCTCCCGGATTAGTTGTTCCTGTGACTCAGCTTCGGTCAATCTCCCAATGAAGCATGTTCTTATAGTCGCCATCCCCATTCCAGCATTTCATCTGTCCCTTGCCAGCCATACGTGCCACACCCTTAATTGTCTTCTTGAATTTGTGATAGGCCCCACCAACGGCATCCCCAACATCCTTAGTCCCGAGGATAACAACACGACCTTGTTCCTTTCGGACTAAGAATCTCATGCTTGCACCCGTGTTGCTGCCCCCGATCAGAATATCGGTGCTGTAGTAAGCGTCCTGAACTCCAATTCTCCAGCCACCCTTGTTCTTATTGGTCCACTCAATAAAGGCATCAGCTCCGTCGGCGAATGGCGAGGGATTGTTAGTTTTCTTTTTGAGGCTTGGTTATGCCCATGTATCCGTGTGCTCATCGAACTCGAACCTGTTGGGCATTCTGTCGTTCGCGTCTGCGTCCTCCTCCCAGCTGCGCTTCTCCAAAGCTGGGATGTCATTTGCACTCTCTTCGTGACCCTTAATGTCAGGGTCGAATGAGTTGTGGACCCAGATAGAGTAGTTACCACAATTCACGTGCTTTCGGATAGAGTGTTTTTATACTAACAAAAGCTCAGCGTCAGTCAATAGTTCATGTCCAGCTTATCTCGGGTTGACTTACTCTTGTTGAGATCCACGTTGTGTCGAACAGCTTCTTCAACGTCTCAAGTGGTCAATGGGATATCACGCCTGGCTCGAACATGTGACACGATAGTGCTGTTACAAGTGGAGGCGTTGTTTTGTTCATTGTTGCCTTGGATAGGAAGGCAATTGATGAGAGTCGTTGGCGCTAACGCGGCGATGAATATGCTTAGAAGATGCAGAATTGGCTCTTTCTGCAGCCTTGTTTCACATCGAGATCTTGTCTCCTAGAATAGTGGAACTTGACAGATGGTTCTTGAGCCATGGCCAATCAGATCTGATATGTAGTCCTTGCTTTCAGCTCTAGACCCCTGTTGTTTTCAGACCCCGCGCTTATCTACCTCTGCTTACGCTCTTTTGGAGCTGACAGTATTCTTCTCTCTTGCAACTTAACGTTTTGCCGTCCTGGCCCAGTAACATTATAACAAGGCCTTACTCTTGATTTTTGACGAGTTTTTCCATTTCCCGACTGTTGTCATAAATCATGTCTGACCTTGAGAGACCAATAGCTCCAGCAGGAGTCGAAGGTATAAAGTTTTCGAAATGTTAATCAAGAGATGATCTGACTTCATTGGTAGATGGGATCCCAGAGATCCCTGCACTGAAAGAAACTGTCAACAAGATACGAGAATACCGAGACATTATGAAAGATAGAATGGCTTCATACTCATACCCCCTGCATCCGTGGCAAGATCGTGATCATGGCTGGGAATCACAACTTCGTGTCTTTCACTTTGACAACGAAAATTTGAGGTCCGAATCTCCTCGTCTGGACCGTAGCAACGATCCCCAGCAGCTCTGGCTGGATATCGAACAGGCTTTAGAGAAGAAGCCCTCTCAGAACTCTCCGCGAAGTTTAATCCTTATGGAAGGCATGGACGCCAGGATAGCTGAGGCTCTGAGTGTCAAGCTTGACATACCTCATGAGTTCTGGACAGCCCACTATTTCCCAGAATCACGGCTCAGGCTCATCAACCCGTCAGGCTTTGACTCTACAGACTCTACATACTGGAAAATCAAAGCTCCCTCGCAACTTTCGATTGTATGGAACGAGATGCTTGATGAGCCTGAAAACTGGTGCTTTGACTCTTACAATGGCAGCTGTCCTCGCACCGGTGAGTTGGTGCTATCCTCAGAGACTGAGTTCGTTGACACGAACCTTTTTATTTCATTTTTGGGTAAATACACTCCAGACGGGTGGATAGGTACGTTTCCGTTTCCGGTAGACTACTTAGATCGACTGAGATTTCTTAAATTAGCGCTCGTCTTAATGGATATGCCTAACGGGTGTCTTCTTCCTCGACATGAGCCAGATCCTGTACTACCAAGTCCATACGGCCTAGAAAAGGTTGATGAGAGTCAAATCGCGATATCTGATTGGGCCTGTTACGTGATATCAGAGTTCAAGAGTTCAATCAACCGACAAGTTTCTCCGGCTCGACTCTCACTATGGGACGTGGCTGTGCAGGCATACGAAAATGAGAAGATCATTACTACTGATGACCCTTTTTCCGCGACTCTCATAATACGCAACTTTGTCTTCTGGAAATGGGAAGATCAAATCAGTTACGAATGGAATCTCAGTCAGACGGTATGGACATCGCCACTGGTAGAAGCACAAAAGGCGCTGGACATCAAAAGCCCCAACCTCCTGATTGAGCGAAGTCGAACAATCGCTGCGGATTACCAGAAACTCCGACACTCGCGTCAGCGTCTGCAAGAAGCGGCATTCCTAGTCCAGCAAATCCATGAGGCTTTTCGCTGCGATGATGCCCACTACCTGGCCTCACAGACTATCGAGAGACTTCGCATCCAAATATCACAAGAGTCACGACGCTGGAGCCAACTTCAAAATCACATGAAGGTTCTGGACGAGCTAATTTCTGGTAACATGACCATGTATGCACAGCGAGCGGCAATGGACGAAGCATTCGCAACAAGGATCCAAGCATACGATTCTTACACGCAGACAAAAGCCGCCAACGAGCAGGCGGCAGCAGCGAATCGTACAGCTAGAAGCTCTGGCCAGCTCGCAAAGATCGCGACAGTTGCTGTGCCGTGCACTGTTGCGGCATCTATCCTATCCATGAATGGTGACTTTGCAGCTGGTGAACCTCTTTTCTATGTCTATTGGTGCGTCGCCATGCCACTCACTGTTGTCTTGTTGGGTTGGGTCGTGCAGAAGGATGTTCAGGCTTGGAGAGATAAGCTGATTAAGAAGGCGAAAAGTGAGAGGGGCGAGAAGGATGTCGAGAGTAGCAGAAACAGTGGTTATTACTCGGACTGAAAGCAGACTTGTTCGCAGGATTGGAACAGTTTAACATAGCGCATGATTCCATTTAGTACTTATCTGTAATCTCATAGTGATAGCAAAGAGTTTTTGAGCATAGCACCAAGTGTTATTATTGGTGGAGAAACTTCTTCAGCTCCGCACAAATGAAAGAGGCTTCTGCCGACGATCGACAAGACAGACGGTTAGTTCTTTTCCCCGGGGACCTTGCGGGTTTGTCTCTCTATCTCAAAAGCATAAGATTGTGCGGAAATTGCCGTCATCATCTCCATGTCGAAGGGCGTGATTTTGGTGTCGGACCGACAATTTCAAGGTTTGTTTCAGGAACAGGTTGGCAAACGAACACCACCTTCTGGAAGCAGTGTATCCAGTCCCGAGGCTTCCATGGAAGCATTGATCGTATACTGAACTGCATAGCCCCAAGTCAAAGTAGTAGGATAATTGTTACTCAAGAATCTAACTACTTTGAGAAGCAACTTATTTCCTAGCTATACCCTCAATATAGGAACAGTGGATTGACGCGTTTCGATCGATATTAAGGAGAAACTTTAAATTTTGCAACAGGATCTTTACAGTCCAACCAGATTGGGGGCAGGGATTGTGTCACAAACTGTAAATGCTCTTCCAAACGTCGATCCTAAGTGAAAGCTGACGTCTTCAGCTGGGAATAGCCTCACAAACTCTAATCGCCATGGTGTTCGGCAACTCTATTCCTGGATCTCATGAGTTTGAAACTGGACCTATTCATGCGTTCGCCATGAAGGGAAGACCTGACATCGGCAGTTGCTGATCAAAAGTTCTATATAATGCCATCAGGATGTCTTCTCAGTCAACAACTACAGCACATTCGTTTTATATTCGCTCATTACACTACGCTCTTTACTCAACAACATGAGATTCACTCTTTTAAACCTCATAGGCCTAGCCCTAGTCACTTCAGCTGTTGCATCTCCTATGGGAAACGACGAGTTGGTAGTGAGAGATGCAATTCTTGAACTAAGTTCTGACTCCTTAATCCTCGAAGGCCGAGCTCCCAGTGGCTCTGCCAACTACCTTATGTACCCAAAGGCCAATGCAGTCAAGAAAGATGTCGAAGCATTCACCAAAAGCCTTTAGTCGCAAGCAGGCAAGACCAAGGTTGACACTCTCACCGATCTGAATGGCAAGCTTCTGGCTTGGTACGCTACGCTGAACGCAAGCCAGGTTGCCGCTATCAATAAAAGCAACATTGTAAGTACATCATCTATAATTAAAGTCCTCCATTAACATATTAAATAAGGTCGGGTCAGTTGCTCCTGATGCACCACTGAAGACCAAGGCAAAATCGACCGGCATTGCCAAACGCGCTCTCAAGACCGACAAAAAGGCTCAGCCTGAGCTTCAGATGTTCTCTACTGCTCCCGGGAAGAAGCCTTCTGGTTACACTTATGATGAGAAGGCCGGTCAAGGCGTCACTATCTATGTCCTTGATGAAGGCTTCAACCTCAAGCACAAGGTAAGCGGCTGCCAACCTGACTAGGTAATGACACGACTGACCAGCTTCGACACAGGAATTTACTTCGTCGCCTGGCACTAAGAGGTGGATCTTCTCCAAGGGCGCCTCTGGTGAGAATGACCCTGACGGCCACGGCTCCTGCTGTGCATCTAAAGCACTGGGTAGCACGGTTGGAGTCGCGCCGAAAGCGAATCTCGTCGCTGTCAAACTTAAGTTGACTTCTTGGTCGCTTCTCAAGGCTTGGCAAGCAGTTGTCTTGGATGTTAAGCAAAACAAACTCCAAGGAAAGGCTGTCGTGAGCAACTCAAAGGCTTGTAAGTTTCCAACATATGCTCAAGGCTGAGGTCATTGCTAATGGAATAGCGATTGGTTGAACTGTCGACCGTAACGAAAAGTGGTTCCGAGATGCACTCGAGACTCTCCTCAAGAACCTGGAGGCTCTTGATGTTGTTGTCGTCAGCTCGTCAGGAAACTTTGGCGTAAGTTCATGAGCAGCATTCCACATGTTGGTCATCCGCTAACATCAGTCAGACTCATATTGATGTCAGCACATACCCATCGCTTTTCGCCGACCGAACTCCAATCATTGTTACTGGAGCTGTTGATAACGAGGGAAAGCTTGCTCGATTCTCCCAGGGCGGTCCTCTCGTCACGACCACCGCACCCGGAGTCGCCGTCAAGTGCGCTGCTATGAGTGGCACATCAGCTTACCAGGCTGGCCAAGAGTCAACTGGAACATCCTTCTGTAAGTGATGATCCTCTACCGGGCTAGTGCTCGACTGACATCTATAGCTACACCCGCCGTTGCTGGACTGGCAGCCTACTTTCTATCACTCGACTCCTTGAGACCTCGACTTCAAGTCCCTGGTTCTGTTGCTAGGAACGTCAAGGCTCTTATTCAGGAGCATCACTACGCTCGCGTCTCAGGTGGACCCAAGGTTGCATGGAACGCTCAAACTCTTGTGAGAAACTGATTAGTCTGTGTGCACTACTACGTTAGTGGTGCAGAAGAGAGATTGAGGCGTTGTTTCAGTCGTTGTATGGAGTTCTCCAACGGAGTTTAACCTCGGCCGGCTACTGGTGGGTTGTATCACAGTAGAAGGCAAACCTAGTTCTTTCAAATTCATCTTACTTAGGTGAAGTCTCATACTAAGCTAGAAGCTCAAAGTTATCATAGTATAGATATATCACAGGCATTGATCTAAACCTTTTGGCATCTAGAGCACTACTACAACACAAACGACCACCATTTTTCATAACTTTTAACAAGGCTCTCAAGCAATCCAGAACCAGATGCGCTCAAGCCAGTTTCTTGGTTGGATAACCGGCCAAGTATGTTCCAAGCGATCAATTTCCGCTTTGCCAGACCAAATATCCATCTCAGAGTACTTGACATACTTGGACTTCTTGATCCACTTGTATCCGAAGATCAAAACAAGAAAGATGGGAATGTTGATGTATGGAGGCAGGAATGTCTTTGCGCTGAAGCGCCCTGGGAAGAAGGCATCAAAGCCGTTGAAGAATGCAACGATGGTACAGAAGCAGAAGGAGAAGTATGCCAGGAATGGTTGAAAGGGTGATTTGAATGGTAGGGTATTTCGGTCGATGCCATGGTGGCTGAGGCAGTAGTAGAAGCGGAGGTAGGTGAAGGAGACGCTGGCCCAGATGATGAGGGCTCCAACACCGCTGAGGTTGCTTAACCAGAAGAAGACCTCGGAGCCGCTATTGCTAACATTGAGATACACCAAAAGCCCAAAGATAGTGGTGACACCAACACAGAGATACGGAACACCGAACCTTTCCCAGGCCAGAATGCGAGGCGCTTTACCATCAAGCGCCGCGGCATAAAGTACTCGCGTGGCGGCGTAGAAGAGAGAATTGCCGGAAGACCAAGCCGATGTAAGTATGACTGCGTTTATGATCGACGGAAGAATCTTGATGCCGCTGTTGCGGATGGCAATGACGAAAGGGCTTTGGGCAGCGCCGGGAGCAGACTTGTTGATGGCGTTGAGAAGGTTGGGGTCTTTGGATGAGACGCAAAGACCGACAAGGAAGATGGATAGGACATAGAAGATGGCAATTCTCCAAAAGACACGACGGATAGCCTTGGGAATGTTGCGACGAGGGTTCTCAGTTTCGCCGGATGCCATGACGACCATTTCACTACCACCGTAGGAGAAGGTTGCAGTGATGAACACCTTGACAAAGGCGAGGAATCGGCCGAGAGCACCATCTTTGAGGTACTCATTCATGGGGCCGGGGTGATTCCAATATCGGAAGCCGATTGCCTCGCCATTTGGACCGCCGCCGACAGTGATGATGAACATGAGGATGATGAGACCGACGATAGTCAAGAGCTTAATAGCTCCAAAGACAAACTCGGCTTCTCCGTATACCCGAACAGGTAGACAGTTGAGAAAGACCATGGTGAAATAGAACAGTGTGATCAACGCGACTTGGGGAACGTTGTGGTGCCAGTAATTGACGATGACAGCCGAGACAGTGACCTCAATGGGAACACCAATAGCAAATTGGTACCAATAGTTCCAAGCAAGAGCGAAACCAAGGGCTGGGTCGACGAAACGGGCAGCAAAGATGGGGACGGGGCCAGGGATAGGCAGCCATGATGCCATCTCACCAACACTATTCAACACACAGTAGATGTTGAAGCCCGTGATAGTGTACGCCAAAAACGCTGAGAGGGGTCCAGCAAGTGACAGAACCTGACCACTACCAACAAAAAGGCCCGTGCCAATGGCACCAGACAAAGCAAGGAACTGAACATGCCGAGACTTGAGCCTGCGGTTCAAAGTACCGACATTTCGGTTCTCGTAATCATCAGCCTTAGCATCGACGTTGTTGGTCGGCAGTGTTGGTTCAATGGTGGGTGACTCCCTGCCAGCTTCTATATCGGGGTTCTTCTTGTCGATATCCATGTTCTGCAGCAGTGGTTGTAGCTCTCCTGGCGATGAGTGAGGAGACATCGTGGAAAGAGGAGGCTCTTGAGGTATTAAGCATAAAAAGTCTCTCTCTACTCGTCATTCGTACTAGAAAAGCTCCGTGGGCAGGTAGCAAAATTGGTGCTTGAGCCGGTGATGATGGTGAGTGCTCCCCACGCTATGACAAACGGTTGTGAGGGTTGGTACAAGGGTTAGTCCAATGGATGGCGATGGACCTGCAAGAATTTTCATGTTTGTGCAGATGCATTTTTGGCGATAAGTTGATGATCACCCGATAATAATTGATTAACATACTACCACTAAATATGAGTTTGATTCTGTTAGTGCTCTAATAGCAAGATCTGCAGACTAAATGACCCTTGGATGCGGGCCCATAACCTAAAAGGGAAGCTCGTCTCTCGGAGCCAATGATCGAGGGATTGAGCCGTGATAACCGGCTTGGCAACTGATCCGAGGTCGGTGATGCACTGATTGATAAGATGACGAGGCAAGGATCTCGCGGAAGATGCGTATCAATCTGCAGAGATCAAGCCATTGTTCCGCGGCTGGCTCCACTGTCTGCCGAAGGTGTTGCTTGTGATTTTAATGTCTCAAGCTCGAGATCTGATAGTGTACGGCGACGTGGGGCTTATTTGAGATTGGTCTCAGGAAATCATGCAGATGTTTCAACCAACGGACAAGAACTTACAAGATGGTGACTATTTGGAACCCAGGTCTCTTCTGTCAATGCATTGGGTTGAGATTACCGAGTCGCGTTGTCGCGTAGTTAGCCAACGCGCAATGCAAGGCCGCTACGCTTCATGCTACCCTATGGCAACCAAGGCAATACTTGTAATTATGTTATAGCGCCCTCATGAGCACATGTGTCAATTGTAGATGAACAATGAGATTTAACAGTTAGTTCATGTAAGCTAGTCTGCGTATCTGCTGAACAATATGAATGTTTTGTTAGAAGTTTCCAACCTTGGAATACAATTCTTTTGTAAAACCTTACCAATGCTGCCATTCTTGAACTTTATACAGTGCGACTTAATTACAGTTCGCGTCATGGTTGCCAAGATCATATAAGAATGATATCGGCTAAGACAACTTGGATTAAAACGATGTTTTTATCTCCAAACTGAAGCAACTTGGGGATGATAACAATGAATCTAAGGGAGAATAAATGCATGCAGTAGTGTCGCGTCCATGATGCGTGCCAGGAGAGGTGGATCTCAACCAATAACACAAAGCCCCGTTGGCTCAGTGGTAAAGCGTATCACTAGTAAACTACCACGAAATGATAAGATCACTGGTTCGATTCCAGTACGGGGCAAGTTATTCAAATTGATGGCGTCACATCACATTGCTTTTTGTCTTTGAGTAATCAACACGTATCTCTCATGTTCGTCTCGAGAGCGTATAGCTTACCATTTTGCCATTCCAAATTATTGGCTGTTTTCTTAAAAATTGAAAGCAGCTACTTCTGCGGTTAATGATAAACATATGTCGTTCAGATTGGTATGACCTATAGTACAAATGAAAATACAGAGAGTCACATATCTCATAGACCCTATTCTCAGAATCAAGCCTTTGCCAATGCCCCATCGACAATTTGCCAGGTATGATCCCTCACTTTCCGAATCTGTTCCTCACTCCAAGCCGGCTTCTCAAAAACCTTTCCCTTCCGACTCACAAACGCATAATTCTTATCCTTAATCTTCACGGCTTCGTCAACACCGTTTAGCATGTACTCAGCACAAGTGTCGGGCGAAACACCCAAGAGAGAGGCTACACCAATTGAAGGGAGTCGTATGTACCAAGGGAGTCCATTCATGATGTTGGTGTTGACAATACCGGGTAGCGCATGAACGAAATGTCGATTCTTTCCCTCGGCCTTTCCCTCGGCTGCGTGGTTCTGAATCATAGCGTCCGTCATGGAAAGACAGTGAGTCGCTGCGTTTCCGAGGCTGAAGTTGTTCTTCAGATCAAGATCATCCCAATTAAGTTTATCAGGACTTCCACTAGTGCTATCAAGCACAATCAAAACCTTGGCGTCGTCTGTAAGTGACGGAAGAAGTTCGCGGATGAGGAGTTGTCGTCCGTAGTAATGAAGCGCCATCTTGCGATCAATGCCCTCAGGCGTCTCTGTTCTCCCAGCGGTTGTGAGAATGCCCTGCGAGAGAACAAGGGTGCTGAACCGATCTTGCGATGCCTTCAGCTCATCGGTGTAAGTTTTGATGGCGCGCATGGAAGACGCGTCTAGTTGCTTGAACTGGATGTTTGAGTGGGGAATGTTCTTTGGCTCGGTGCGGCCGCTGATGATGACGGTGGATGAGGGGGAGTTGGCGGCGAGGCGACAGGCGATGCCGTAGCCGATACCGCCAGTTCCGCCGACGACGAGAGACTTTGCTGCCATGATGTTTCGTTTCTTTGGTTCTGAGATGACTGAGGGATGAACTTGTCGTGGGCCGTGTCTTTATGTAGCTGATGCTGACGCCATATAACTTCGGACTTTATGCTTTTACGCTAAACTCCGGATTTATCTGCCTCTCCGCTCCGCAACCATGCACAAGCCACTCCGCAGAACCAATCACCACTCACTTTCATGAGAGAACAGTGTCCATTTTCGTATCCGTACCGATAAAGTTATGGTTCAAATAATAAGCATCTTTGTTATCCACTTACGCAGTCGCCATTGCGATACATTGACCCTCATCATATTTCACGCTCCAAGCCCAGTCCCTGGTGCATCTTCAGGACTCATCTTAACAGGCATCTTCAACCAACCCTTCTTATCAGCCTCTAGGATCGCCTTCAACCAAGCATTCGCCATCTTCTCATAACCATCATCGTTCGGATGTTTGGAATCGCCAAGATCTTCCTTTTTAATATCGATCGGCACCTCAAGAATATGTTTTCCCTTCTTTTGCCTTGCTGAAATAAGTGACCGCACTTGAGGGTTGAATTTATCTGTATTTGCTTGCATCTCCTTATCGTTGGCCCAAATCACCGGCGCGAGACAGATGGTAACATCTGGTGCGACTTTGAAGATACCGTCGACGATGTCTGCGAGAATGGATGCGGCGATATCGAGATCTATTCCTTGGTCCATGTTGTTTGTGCCGGCGTGGATGAGAACGACATTAGGACGGGCTTGGATCGGCTTTTGCCAGTAGCCGTTTATGTCGGCCAGCATTTTCCCACTGTGACCCTCGTGGTGTCCATCCACCATGTTGCCGTTCTTCAATGTCCCGACCATATTAACTTTCACGCCCTGCTTCAAAATCTTTTGTCGCAACGGGAGACGGTATCCAACTAAGCCTGTGGAGCCGGTGCCTTTTGTGATGGAGTCGCCGAGTGGTAGAACTCGGATGTTGGGAAGTGCAACAGCTGGTGAAATGGACGTTGCCATAAGCACCGCCAAAACGGTAAGCGTATTCCAAATTGGAGAATGCATTTCGAATAAGGCTGAAGTTAGCTGCACTGTAAGATGGTGTTGAGATCTGACTACACGATAGGGCCTCGGGATTTCAGAAAGTGGCGTCGAATGAGAGCATTACCCAAATAAATAGCCTCACCAAGAATCGCCATCTCCCTCTCTTGACATCATCTTAACAACCCTCATATGAGTAGAATGCAGGCCGGTCGGCCATTTGATGCAAGCAAGATCTCGTGGTATAAGCTCATTGGTGTCTTTTCTTTCCGGCAGTACATTAATGCCGGTGATCACCGCAGAATGTGCCACCAATGCAGCCCATTCCATGACGCCTGCTGCATTATACGAGAGTCTTTATCTTGGCTCGCTTAGAGATTCACACGGGAATGGCGGGTCGAGGGCCTTGCAGCTTATCTGACAGGGGTCATGGTCGGGGAAGCTTGCTTTGTATGCTTGATGACGGAACTATTGATCGCGTGGACAATAGCGCTTGATGCTAACTGTAATACTACGAGACTGATATAAGTTGAGGGGTAGGTCATGAGCTTGTCCGGATTTAACATGTCTTACTGGTTTGTGGTGAGTTTTGTTTCTAATCATCGCTGTTGAGTTATTCCCATTGCTATCCCCAACCTCCCCATATTTGATCATCAACTGCAACTGTGCCGCAAGCTCCGCTGTTTCCTTGCTCCACGAGACCTGCCCATAACATAAGTGATCAGCGACTTCATATTGCAGGATTCATAGCACTTGGATTGGCTGGACAGCTATACCACTGGAGATATTGTGATATCATACCATATACTATTAATGACAAAGGTGAATGATGCTTATCAGAATAGAAGAAGATGACTCTGCTATGCGCCCTCACTCTTCATCCTTACCGCCATTTATGTCGGCTTCCGTTAGCCCGGTTAAGCTCTCTCTACTCGCGAAACAGTGAGTTCCTTATCGGCATCATCTCCATCATCAAGCATATCATTTATCTTCGACTGGTTGTTGTGAAACTTGCTAGTAGCTGCTGCCGCATCGCCTTTTCGTCCTGTATCAAAGAGGACGGAAACCTCCTCAATTGTCATATTTCTGATATTGTCAGCGGCAATTCAAGTGCTACAGTGAACAGAAACATACCTTGTCTCAGGGAAGAAGAATAGGATAAGAACCAGATACATGGCAATGACCGCAATGTAGACGATGTAGCTATCTCAGGTCAGTAGTGATTCTACGAAGATTTCCTAAAATGACTCACTATTTCCATGCAATTGCCTCAAGTGCAACAGGATTTACCCATTGATTGAAAGCTAGCGCAACACTCTGAACACTCAGTTCAATACTCAAACCCTTCAGCCTGAGGTTATAAGGCAGAATCTCAGCGCCATAAGCAAACGGTAGTGGCGACCAACTGATGCAGTAAAACGTCTTGAAGAGGTACATCATCGGGACCACAGCAATACCGACGCCGTGTGATGGGTTCTCAGCAAAGGAGCCACTGAGACCAGTTATGATTGTATAAGCGACACACATACCAACCGTGCCTGTGATCCAAAGCGTACGTCTACCAAGACGCTCTGCACTCATGGCTCCTGCATAAGCCCACATAAGAGACCAGATCGCCATGCCACCGTTGATGCCCGCGATCGCGCTTGAAGAAGTGATGCCCACAAGCTTGAGGGCTGGTGACAGGTAATAAGCAATGATACCATTGCCAACCCAGTTGGAACCAGTGCCCATGGTGACAAGAACAAGGAGCCGGCGTCGGTTGCCTGGAGTCTTGAGGAAGTCGCTTTACTTGGAGTTGTTGCTCTCTTTCTCCAACTGTAATGCTTGGCAGATTTCGTCAAACTCGTATCGAACTAGTTCGTCGTTGAGATCGCCGTTGGCATGTTCGTCGGCAAGAACTTTGAGGGCTTTTTCGGATCGGTCGTGGTCGATGAGCCATCGAGGGCTTTCCGGTACAAAAAGAAGGTGTACAAGTACAATAGCTGGAGCAAAGGCTTGGAACAGGCAGGGTGCTCGCCATCTCCACTCGGTATCTGGCCAAGATAGTGTGCCATAGCAAAACCATGCAGCGACGATTTGACCGACATAATAGTTGCTGTAATACGCCGTCGCAACATATGGTCTTAGACGAGGATGTGCCAGTTCCTGAAGCAGTGCAATGCCGGTGATCTTTCCGAAAGGCCCAGCTGCGCCGATAATGACTCTGCCACCAATAAACGTTCCGAGATTCTTCGCAAAAACGTTAAGGAAAGCACCGAGGATTAACAGCACTGAGCCAACAGCTAAGCACCACTTCCTTCCCCAAAGTCCATTGATCCACGACGCTGCAAAGGGAGTAATGATCGCTGGGAGAAACAAACTGGCCGAGATCAGACCTAGGGTGTCTCCGGATGGATAGTTGAAGTATTCTTCCCATTGGGGGATCGCTTGAAGACCGTTCATGAGGGAGGCATCGAAGCCAAGGTAGAAGACAGCGAAGTAGAAACCGACGCAGTGCCAGACATTCTTACGCAAGCCGGAGTCCTTGTACCACGTTGGATGAGTGTTGTTTTTGAGATGAGCATAGTGCAAGGTTCTGGTGGCCTTTGGCCTAAAGAACTCCGCCACTGCCTTGTACATCTTTAAAAGCTTACCGATCAAGGTGATGAAGGAGCTACGACCAGACGAAGTGCGATTTGATGATTAGTTCTCAGTCACTTATATATCCTCGCGACGGAACCCATCGCCTTGGGTCGAAGCTTCAGTCTCTGCGGGGTAGACCTGGGGTAAACCTGGGGTAGCGGATAACCATGACCATGGGCTGATCCTTTCTCGACATGGTTACAAGTTCGGTTACATTATTTGATCCGCCAGTCGACGGATGGCCGACTGATCGAACAAAAGTCCAGGTTGTTAGACGGATTGATGTCCGGGATGGAAGGGTGTATGCTTCCGGAGATACGCCCACTGCCACTCCCTTGCGCCCACATCGTCTACATTAGTCTTGATAATAGTAGTTCGAGGCTAACCCAAGGCTATGGGAACGCTGTAAGGGATTCCTTTGCGGTGTGCGCCGTTCTTGACAGAAGAACTTCGATGCCTTGGTCCGCATGATCCGGATATGCGTATTCAGACAGCTAAGTAAGGAAGAGTAGGAATCTAGATAATGTATGGACAGCAGTGATCAATAAACGACGATTTTAAGGCTTGTAATGCCTAAAAACAAGCTCACGAAGAAGCCTCTTCAAAGGCCTTGCGGTTCACTGCCGTAGTCGGCTCGCCACAAAACTCCCCATTCTCATCCACCACTCTCAGAATATTTTCCATGGCCATAAGCTCGAAATTAATTCTATTCGTAATAGCCGCTCCTCCATTATGACAAGTCAGCGTGACGTTATCCATAGCTGCAAGTTCTTTCGAAACCTGAGGTTCGTGGTAATGAACATCCAGACCAGCAGCCGAGATTTTGCCACTCTTTAGGGCTTCAATCAGCGCTTCTTCATTAACGATCTGACCTCGAGCTGTGTTGACAAGTCTCGCGCCATCTTTCATGGCGGAAAATGCTTCTTTGTTGATGAGGTCTTGAGTATGAGCGTTGAGCGGAGTATGTAGAGTAATGCAATCCGCAATGCCCAGTAGCTCGTGGAGGGATGAATGATATGTCGCTTGTAGCTCTTTCTCGGCTTCTGGAGGCGAGCGAACCACATCGTAGTAGTGAATTTCATACCAAGAGCCAAACCTGCTTTGCGGGCAACTAGTTTGCTGATGTTACCAAGACCGACAATATATGAGTTCTTCATCCCATTGGCCCATCTCACCACCAGTTTGGAAATGTGGACGATATATCGCCGAGAATTGGCCATATCTAGCAACAGTCAACATTCCCTCAGGTAGTGAACGGGTGGCCTAACTCACTTGTTCTCCTTTAGTGCTTTGATGAATGATTCTCTGTCGGGTTCTTCGTTCGCGACAACGTCATATCGCTTCGTAAAGACATTGTTGTAAAAGTCATGATTATACTTGATATCCTCGCCTATGCGGAGAACGATGGGTTTCTTTGATGCCATGACAAACTGTTGAGATGAGTGTCTCTTGGTAACGATGACTTATGGCCAGTTACTCGGTCTTTTGTGTCTTAATCGAGCTATCCGCAATTAGATAGCTGCTTTCTATCAGAGACACTCTTTGTTCACTACGACATGATTTTTATGTCAATTATGCACTGATTACCCGTGTTCTCTCTCGACCAATGGGTTCGCTGATCCTAACACGGAAATGTCACCGAGGCTGTCGTATGCCCGCGATAAATCCGCTAGCATGAGGGGAACTCATGAACGGTCTTCACTTCTGTACACCGAACAAATGCATTCTTGACATTATCCGGGATATACTCACTCCTGCTCTCATGAACATGAGGTTGATCTCATGGATAATAGAACTGATGACAAATAATGTGGTGCTGGTACCATACAGGTAGGTTACAGCTGTCGCTTTCTGACTGACAAAACAGTTGAACGAGTTATTGTGCCGATACCCGAGCCCGCGATTCGTGCTTCGGAAAAGGGTCAATTGTTGACGAGTGGAGATACCAAGAATGTGACTTGAACGGCCAATAGGCATGAAGACCGCAAACTGACGGATGGCCCTTGAGCAACAAGATCCTTGTCTATTTCCGACGGGACTGTCCTATCATTCGTTGTTGTTATTCGGTTATGATAAGTAGTTGCAATCCATCAATTCCTCTCCCGCTCTGAAAAGAAAGAAAAAAGAAAGAGTAGAATGCTGCCTTGGAAGCGAGTTCTGATTGATCGTCAGCTTGAGGGAATGACATCGCAACCAGGAAGAAGTAGTAGGACATATCATGCAGATTTGATGCTTGAAGCGTTTGTTCACTCCCCGCCAAATTCTACTGGAACAATGCTCCAGCATGGAATTGATTGAGCGCATGCCCAGGGTGACATTTGTCTACAATATCCATCAATGTCGAACGAGTGTGCAAATGACACAAGACGAATTGAATAGAGTTCAGTTGACTATACTTTATCAGGCTGCTGTGGTATCCTTCTATAGGGTATACTCTGCTGAATTATAATATTGAAGCCATAGGGCTATAAAACATGCGATATTGAGCTATTAATATACTCAAAACGTGCTACCCCGGAACCCTTTTTACCATGAACCCGATATTAACTTCATGCATATTTTATTCTGGGCCCGAATATTGAGTTGAGGAACGGGCTTTTCTGTAATGGATTCCATTTGTAGGCCCCTTGTAGCTGTTCTAGACTTTCGCAGCCTATCAAGTTGCCATCGTCATGCCACATGGTAAAATGCTGGAAGGGTCAAAAGATAGAACGAAAGTAACCAGTATTAGAGAAGGCATGGGAATAGCGCTGTTCTCATTGTATGAGTAGGAATTGCGCTTGGGCATTGGGTCTCGCCCACCTCGGACATGCGACTGGTTTGTTATTCGTCGAATACAAGAATCAATTACCGCTTATTGACTAGATTCATTTCAAGATGCTATGTCTTGAAGCTCCTCTTCGCGATGGCCTTTATTGAGGTCGCCCGAAATCATGGGGTATATAGCTTATGCCTCGAAGTAGCTAGATCCGCTGAGTGGCGTTCATTCTAGAACCAAACCGTTGGTCCCCTTCTGGCGTTATCCATCAAATCGCAGTCATTACATCTTACGAACTGTCAAATGCGCCCTACTGTACAGCGCCAACGTGGGAAATCTGATGAGAAGTGATATTGTCCAAGACATGCATGAAGTCTTAGAAGGCCCCCGCTATACACATGACTCGCTCAGGCGGCACACCTTTCGTTCCCCGACATTTGGCTCTCGAGGAACCCACACGGCAGACGGGGTCGGCAACGGGGAAGAGTCCGGAAGGCCCTGGAAAATGGATTTACTCCTCACAAGACGTACACTTCGGGCTTAGTGGTCGACCGCCGAGGAAGATGGGCGTTGCGGCATTTGGCAGTGCGGTTCCGGATCCTCAGCGCATAAGCCGGGGTTATACTACGCGCTGACCGATCCTATCATAGCATCATATGACATGTTTAAGTCTCCGAATATGAAATCAAGAATCTTGAACAAAAACCGGATGAACGGTTACGCACGCACAGATGATTTACCACACGTGAACTATTGCGTTTAGCACAATGCATGGTGATTCTTCAGAGAAGGGATCGGCAGTCTGTGCTTTGCAATCACTGGTTATCAGTGGAACGACGCGGAACGACCCCTGGACTTTAGCCCGAGCAATATATGCAAGCTGAGCTAGACGGGCTCTGCCGCTGCATAAGGCTCATGACTAGGCAATTTAATTCGACGCGCCAAGGTCGAGCTGTAACATGAATCCTTGTTATTGCTCAAAAAAGTTGCTCGCATAGCTTCTCGTGGATGCCTCCCCGACCTTGTTGAAACTCTAAAGGACCGGACAACAAGCTTAGTTTGACCAAAACGTGTTCCATTCTCCATTAGTACCCTTTATTCTTGACTATCTTTAGCTATTGTGAATCTATTGCATTGCGTTACCTGTCGTGGCAGCTTTCTGACCCCCCGTTTACGCATTGGCATGACAAATAACCCTGGTCCGTCACCGCATATCCCAGGACCTTGAGCTGAGACATTTATCTCGTCTTGTTATCACCGCTGACTCAGAAACCCTCCGACTTTGTTCACATCCTTCACTTTAGTCGACAAGTAGCGTCAACGCCGCGGGTCAGCACGGACTTTGGTACCAAAAATGATTGCGGGACGGTGTAACGTCCGCGGTGATATGACATTGGGCTGCTAGGTAAATGCTTGATGTTTTTGACAGGCAGCTAGCGAACCCTAGTCCAAGTAGATATAAGGGTAGCATCAATCCCTCCTCGTTTCTGAGATCTGCACACAAACTTTCTCGTCCAGATCGTCTGTCACCATGCGCTGCAACGTCTTGTCACCTTCGCTCTTGGCGCTCAGCCTTTCGACCAGTGTCACTGCTCGTCCTGAGATTCCTTTCATCAGTACACTCCTCGACCCCTTGCAGCATATCGTCAAGTCTGCTTATGCTGGTGATGGACTCAAGGTTGGACACCTTGGCGAATTGGGTGGCATCCCAGGTGTCGACGCCGAATACGACTACGTTGTCGTAGGAGGAGGCACAGCGGGAAACACTATTGGCTACAGACTCGCAAAGGCTGGTTATAGCGTGGCCATTGTTGAAGCTGGGCCTTTTCTTGAGATCGCCAAGCCTATTCTCGCGACATCGCCTGGTGGAGTGACGGCTGGCAGTGGCGCAAGTCTTCTGGACTCTAACCCTCTTCGCGATTGGAGATTCACGACAACGGCGCAGACAGGCGCTGATGATCGCGAGATTCATTACGCTCGCGGAAAGGTTCTTGGTGGCTCGTCTCAGCTCAACTTTCTGGTGTATCACCGACCAACGAACGGTACTATGGCCAGATGGGCTGAGGATGTCGGAGATGATAGCTATACGTGGGTGACAAAGAAGACTTAGCCGAAATTTCACTAACATAAACCAGATGGGAGCAGATGTTGCCTCACTTCCAGAAGAGCCCCTCATTTACACCACCGGATAATGAGAAGCGCAACGTGACAACCGACTACGACGCTTCCGCATTCTCCAAAGAGAAGGGCCCTCTCCAAATCAGCTACGCCAACTACGTCCCCTCTTGGGCCGTCCTTGTGGAAAAGGGACTCAAGTCCCTTGGAATCAAAGGCATCGATGGTTTCAGCAGTGGTAGTCTTCTCGGCTACTCATACACCACAACAACCGTTCAGCCCAAGACCGCTACCCGAAGTGCTTCCGATGACTTTGTCAAGACTGCCCGAAGTGAGAAGCTAAAGACACTCAAGGTGTACACTGAGAGTCTTGCCAAGAAGGTGACATTCGATGATGACAAGAAGGCAACTGGTGTTGAGGTCAGCTCTCTTGGAATTGACTACACCCTCAAGGTCAAGAAGGAGGTCATCGTCAGTGGTGGGGCTTTTCAGTCACCGCAGGTTCTCATGGTTTCTGGTGTTGGACCTAAGGAGCATTTGGAAGAGCTTGACATTCCTGTCGTGGCCGATCTTCCTGGTGTTGGCCAGAACCTCTGGGATCACGTCCTCTTCGGACCCTCATTTGAAGTCCAAGGTCTCGAAGACACTCTCAGCGCTGCGATCAACAATGACACTATTTTCCAAGGCGCACTGGATGCTTATGCTCAGCAGCAAGCCGGTCCTCTGACTTCCAACCAGGTTGAGCTCCTGGGTTGGGAGAAGGCTCCTGAGAAGTACCGATCCAAGTTCTCCAATGAGACTCTCAGAGATCTTGCGACTTTCCCTGATGACTGGCCTGAGATGGAGATCATTCCTCTCAACGTCTACTCTGAGGACTGGTCATTCCCTATCCTGCAGCAGCCCACCGATGGAAAGAAGTACACCAGTCTCAACGGCGCCTTGGTTGCCCCTCTATCCCGTGGCAACATCACTCTTCGAACAAACTCGACTACCGACGCTCCTCTCATCAACCCCAACTTCCTCACCAAGAAGGCCGACCAAGAAGTTGCCGTCGCGCTGTTCCGTCGTCTCCGAGAAATCGCCAAGTCGACTCCTCTGAAAGACACCGTACTGAAGGAGGTGTATCCTGGAGAGCAGCACGAAACCGATGAACAAATTCTTGCTGTCCTTCGTGACACTCTCATGACTGTTTGGCACGCTGCTTGTACTTGCAAGATGGGCAAGAAGGATGATGACATGGCTGTTCTTGACTCCAAGGCCCGTGTGTATGGTGTCAAGGGACTGCGGGTTGTTGATGCCTCTGCTTTCCCTGTCCTCATTCCTGGCCATCCTGTCGGTACCGTGTATGCGTTGGCCGAGAAGATTGCTCATGAGATCATTACGGAAGAGAAGAGTGAGGGCTCTTCATACGAGGTTGATGTTGATGTATAAGTTTCATGAAGCATTCTTTAACTATTTTTTTAATCTTTAGCTAGACTTACCCTATTCCTTTTAGACGTACATAGAAACATTCACTTAGAAACCTTGAATATGAACTGAAGCAATTTCTACCCCTTATGATTGGTCCAAGGTTCAGCCCGTCTCCGTCGTTACTGATCGGACTCTTTGTATGCCTCGAGTCTTGATCCATACAGAATAATCAACTGCGCCATTTATTGTAATTCCTATTGACTGACCCAGCCCTCATCCACAAACTGTATGTGGAGCTAGGTGGAACCTTGCACTGCTTGGTACGAGAAAAAGTGCGGATGGCCAAAAATGAGGGACACCAGATTTGAACTGATAACCTTTAGGAGTCACGATCTCTTCAAGAGAATCTTGAAGATGCTTCGCTGGAATCTAACGCGCTACCGTTGCGCCAGCCCCCCAATGTTGGTTGTCGTCCGGGTTCTTAATTACCTTATGAGCAGAAATCCCGAAGCCAACCTGACAATGAGCGTCACGATCTCAGTCACCATTCACATCTAGGAGATTTATCAAACCGGGGTTAATAGTAATAAAAAGAAATTATGTTTTAATAAAAGACAACAAAAGCAATTAGACTCTGCCAAATTAATTATGGGTTGTTTAGCTTCCCACGTTGAAAGTCAGAGCTTCGGTTTACGCTCAACCTTGTAAGTAAATCAAGGAAAGACCTCTCGTTCTCAACGCAAAGTCAGCCAGAATGACCACCCTCACAAGAACTCGAGGCAAAAATTGAAGGCGGGGCCAGAACCACGGCTAATACGCTTAACTTCGCAAAAAGCAAGTGCTAGGACCGAGCGTGGATCGAACACGCGACCTAGGGATCTGCAATCCCTCGCTCATACCACTGAGCTATCGATCCTTGTAATGGTTGACTGTTGTAATTCGGAATCAGTCTCCATGTTCCTGATTCTGGCAATCGTGCAAGTTCAAGGCCGAGCAGCTTTGGACGTTGATGTCGAGTCAAAGTTGTTTACCCTTAACTGTGTGTAAAGGCACCAATACTTAGAAGCAAGACCTAACACGGAAGCCTAATCTAGAAAGCTACACTAGGCTGCTCGCTACTAACACTTCCCCCCCATCTCAATTCTCCACAAAGTTAAGTCTTGAAATAGCATTTCGCCTAATAACGAAGGCTTTGGTGGAAGGTCGAGTTTTCCAATACGCCTGCCAAATAAAATGTCACATCTATCTTGCATATTATACTATGAAGCTCGTGTTTAAAGCATGTCTGTTTGGCGTCTGAGTTTATCTGTTTGCTGATCATAGCTCCTATCACTTCAGTGGTAGCACATTCCATTTTGTTTCATTGTCTATACTTTGTGGCCGTGATTGGTGCTCCTGTTAGCTTTGGCCACAGACGTGCTTATCACACTGGCAGTCCAGTTTTGCTGAACATCTTACGAATACTGTAAGGTCAGTGACTCATGGTGGAACCAACAAGTCCCAGTGGTATTTGAAGAACAATCAAGCTTTCACCGACCGTGATTAATCCATTGGACTCTTGAAAGCCCCCACTTACTAACTCAATAAATATTGCTTCCATCCTGTCTCTCCTTTCTCTTTCTCTCTCACCACCACTCATCCTCACACCTCTGATGAACAACCTCACTGAAAATGGATGAACTACTCGCCACCCCCCCAAGTCGAGAGGAATCCCGCAGCTACTATAGAGGGCTTCCAGGTATTCCACGTCTGGTTGCGCGATCTACCACGACTCCATGGGACGGTCCATTTAGTGAATTTGATGAATACGGACGAATACTTGACCCTGTCGAAAAGCACGCTGTTGTTACCCTATGGAATGACTCTACAGGTCCACTGCGTCACGAGATTCTTGAAGCCGTGGCGGATATCGACTGGAACGCAATCGACATCCTCCGTTGCAGTTCAACACATTTCAAAGATCGTGACCTTGTTCGACCGGTCATCCTTTTCGTATCGGTAGAGCCCAAATCAACAACGTGGTTAAACGGAAGAGCCGTGGCCCTCAAATGCCGTGACATTCTGCGAGAGCACGGTATCAACGACGTTGAAGTCGAAATCAAGGAGTCCAGAATCACGCAGTGCTGCTCGAGTGATCAGGATCAAATAGAAAGGTAAGACTCATTGCCCCAAATTCAAATTTATGCTGACCAAAGATAGTGAACCGTCAACAGCAAAACTCAGTCCGCACATTCCGACCCTCCAAGAAGAGGGCCACAGAAGGGATAGTATTCAGGTCTCTGAGTTCCTGGGTACCAAGGTCGCCCCCTCTCGAGATCCATCACGTGAAGGCACCAAAGGTCTTTACCTCAGAATCCGGAATACCGAAACTGTGGTTGCTTTGACCTGCCGACATGTCGTCGTCGAACCGGAGGAAGAGAACATTGACGTTTGTCACGACCCTCATAACAGTCGAGGTATTGTTCAGCCTGGAAACAAGACGTATCAAGACACGCCAGAGTTCCTCCGTGACCAAATCAGACGTACCAAAACGGCGATCGACCTTCGCGAGTCCTCCACACCAGTCCCCGACAAAGAGATCGAATACCTTCGTGACTATAAGGTCGAACTAGAGGGTAGCCTAAAGCGGCTTGAGTCTTTCGAGTCAATGGAATCACGAACTATCGGCCACGTCCTTTTTTCACCAAAACTCGGGTTAAGCAGTTCTTCGCCGGCCCATTTCCGTGACTGGGCTTTGATAGAGCTGGATCAGAAGAAGCACCAGACGCCGTTGAAGAAGTTGACAAATAAGGTACCCGAGATGCGTCGCGCAATTGGTCGGTACCAATTCATGCTATGGGAGTATGTAATCCCAGGACGAAAGCGAATGCATTTCTCCCTCGCCGGGTGTGATACATTCACGCAGACTGGTGTGATGCCAGAAGCTGAAATGAGATGCCCTGACTTTGAGTTCGTAGTGACAGGAAAGACTGCTGTTGATGAGGAATTCATGCGAGTATGCATGTATGGTAGCGCTAGCGGAGTAAGCCACGGTGTCACCAACACAGCCAGGTCTGTTGTCCGAAGATTTGTTGGTGGGGTCCCGATGGTTTCCGAAGAATGGTGTATTTTGGGTCCTATTCAACATGAGAAGAGGAAGCATTTCTCTAAGCAGGGAGATTCGGGTGCCAGTATCATGGCAGACGATGGCCGTGTCGTGGCAATTCTGACCTGTGGTGGCAGTGGTGCCCTGGGATGTAACCGAGGAATCCATGATGTCTCGTATGCAACACCTATCGAGTGGCTATTGGAGGATATTAGAGGACATGGATATGATGTGGAGTGGATGGGCAAAGAATTCGATCTGGACTATCTCCATTTCCGTCTATAATGTTCACATTGATTCGACGGTTTACTGGGAGGTGTGAGGAGATACCATTCAGCGGTGGATCATTCTGACAGAGGGAGCGCTATGGGTATCAGGCAGTCAATTGAGAGAGATGGGAAAATTCACTGGAGACTTTTGCAAAGCGTGCATTGAGCGGAAGGACATCTTGGCAATCAATGTAGATACTGCTTAGCAAAGTGTAGTAAACATGATGTCAAATTGAATGGATTGTTGATAACTAAAGTGAGCCGCCTCTATAGCTCAGTGGTAGAGCGTTGCACTTGTAATGCAAAGGTCCATCGTTCAATCCGGTGTGGAGGCACGCAAATTACCTTTTGTCAGACAACTACAGATTTGTTCTGCGACGAGATATCTAGTGTGCTCTTTTGATATTTCGGTCGTTCAGTTGCAATTGCTTTTTACTTTTTGAAACGCACTGTTGTATTGTAGGTAAGATCTGGATCTTATGAAGTGAGAATAGACGGAGTACGACACCTATTGCCAATGATGACAAGACTTCAATTGCTGACAGTGCTGTCCCACAATAACTAACAGGTCCCCGCTGCCTTCAAAGCATATTCCTTAATCGCCGGCTCTTGCTTCACCTTTGGCAAATATGTAACAACTGAAATACCCGCAATGACAATTGCGTTCTCGGTGATCAAAAGGTCTTCCAATCCAAGCCCAGGTGCCAAAGATGAGGCGCAGACTGTCCCCAAGTCCAGCCTGGAGATCTCTCCAGGACCGTCGTGGGTGAGGGCGTCTTTAGCCAGAGCGAAACTGAGGGGGTTTATAAGCATGCTCTCATGCGTATAAAATGAACCCCCTGGCTTCCCAGCGCACACCTTTTGCACTTCAGCATTTGTGACGCCGACGTTTCGTTCGTCGAGCAGGTAAGCCGAAGCGCCGGTGCCCTCTTGCGGCTGAACGATCTCGTCTAGGAAGCTGGAGTACAGGCTTGTAGTTGGTACATATCCTGAGTCGCCGCCGTCCGACCGAAGAGTCTTGATAAAGTCACTTCCAGCTTCTTGCTGAACAACAGATGGCGTGTTGGTAATGCCTGAAAGGTCGACAAAATTGGCTAGAACGGTGCCCTTGTAGTCCGCGCTGATGGCGACATGATCGGTCGTGACTTTGCAAGTTGATGGCCAGTACTTGAACGCCCATTGAGCATCGATATTGCCCTGCGACCAACCGATGATAGCAACGCTTCGCTTTGAGATGGAAGCAATGTAGTTGAGCGCGTATGCAGCGTACTCGGCATTGACCTGCGCATCACCAAAAAGAAGTTCAGGTACGTTGACCCATACGGGATCGGCCCAGTCAACACCGGTAAGCAATGGGATGAAGCTGCCCCGAAATGAGGTCCATCCGGTGGCTCCGGTACCAGGAAAGAGAACCACAGGTAGCTTTTCACCGTAGGTGAATGTGTCTGGGATGTAGATAGCAGACCTGAGCTTGTCCTCGCTTACTGTGTAACGCGCATCGCAGCTTGCCGCCTTTGGGTAGACGCTCTTTGGCGGGTCAGGGTTTCTACACAATGTTAGATGACCATGCTGGGAATGGAAAGCGTAAGCTGGCATACTGGTTGTCATATCCATTCTCTGCAGAGCCAAGGCCATGGGCGTAGCTCAGTAGGTCGTCCGTTGATCCCGAGATGATACCGTTCGCTATCAATCGCGCGCTGTACTCGACGATATTATCGGGTTCTGACTTTGCGACCTTTTCAGTGATAGACAAGGCCTCGGCAACGTTCTTGGGGTTTTTGGTAGGCTCCAGCTTCTGCAGTGTATCAAGTGTCTTTTCCCTATCTCCTTTGTTCAAAGCGTCGCCAAGTTCATCGAGCAGCCCGCTGACTGCCACAGCAAGGGCATTATTAACGCCATTGAAGAGTCCACTCAAAGCTTGCCGTCTGTCAACAAGCGACGCTCCATTCGAATTGTATGGCGCTGCAAGTCCAACGACGGTCAATCCAAAGGCTACAAGCAGTGTCGACAAGCGCATAGCTGATAGATCAGAAGGCAATTGGCTCATAGATAAGAAAACAATGGTCAATGGACTGCCGAGAGATGGTGAAGCTTGCACTTAACTAGAAAATCCCTTTTGCGGGGAGACCTCCACTCTTTATGAGAAGATGCAACAGATTACACATGCAATTATTAAACTCAACCCGCAATAAAGGTAACCTTCTTCTGGCTGTACCGCTTCAAGCGCTGTGCTCGGTCGTACACCCTTTGATCTACGACGCGAGAACCGCGATTCATGTGACTATCCTCAGCACACCATTCCATTTCCATGTTATTCTCGAGATGATCACCATCCGCTGATAGTGGAGGAGTCGGGATCTATAGTCGCTTTGACCTGACTCTGCTGGCTGGCCTTAGTGGTACGCGCTCGGTCCTTGGAACTATCAAACCCCAACAAGTCAAGCGCCTCGGCATAGGCATTGACTCCGCACCGGCAGTTGAGATTTGTAGTGGGATTGCAGAGCTGAAGGGAGTAAAGTTTGCGAGCTGCATTGTCCGTTCACAAGGAATGATAGGTTTCTCGGTGGTTCACCACTATACACCTTCTATAGATAGCTTCGGTATACATCGGCTGTTGCGCAAAATCAAATATTTTCGGAGTAGCAAGGGTTTAAGGGAGACTGGGTTGCCGTTGAAAACGGTGCAATAGACGGCAAGGAAACCATCGAGGTCAAGGCTCATGCTATAAACCTCGTTATTAGCCTTGGTAATAGTCTACATATCTGCAACGCCGCTTCTCGGAAGGCACCCATGGTTAGCCAAGGCATTGAGTCCAGGGCAAGGTCCTTGGCAGCCCATTAATATTTACCCCATGCTAAGGATAGGATAACTTACTTCTTTAATCGCCGGCCTCGAAATTAGGGGGCTAGAACTCGTCCTTATTAAAAATACTAATATATTATTTCTTGGCCTTAAACTTTACCGCTTGCTTCTCCTTTTGAAAGAGGCACTAGCTTATATTACTCTTCTCTTTTTAGGAATAAGGGTAAGCTAAAGGGATTTACTTTATATACTTATAATAAGTCTTAAGCTACTTAAGGCCTATTTAAAGAAATATAAAAGCTATTAATAATAAGTAGATTACTATAAGCTAAAATAATACATAGACTTTTATTATAAAAAATAGGATATAAAGAAAATTAGAAAGTAAGATATATAGTTACTTTAGATAAATAATAATAATAAATAGCTTAAATTTTATCTAATTTTCTATTTATATACCTTAACTTTACTTTTATTTTTTCTTTTTTATATTTTACTTACTAAATTCTCTCTTTGGAATTAACATATATTAATAATATTCTATATTACTCTTATGTCTCAGTTAAATAATTCCATAACACGAATCTATCCCCGAGACATTGTAATTCTCAGCATTTCAGAAGCGCCTTCTATCGTGGCATCTTCCAGCTATTGATTCCTCAGAGACCATGGGGCACAGGGCTTCCCAATTTGACAGATTCTCCATTCTAGTTAGCAAACCATATCTCCGGATAGGCGCCAAGAATGATAGCTTACACTAGTAGCCCTTCTTGACCGTTGACTTAGCCTTATATCTCTAATATATGAATTGCCATTTGTGTGCTTATGCGGGCATAATGCGCGCTTGGCCCTGCAGTAGACTTAAGTATCTGCCGTAAGGTGGGCGTGCATAGGTGAAAGGTCTTCAGTTAAACTCAATTCGAAGGTGAACACCTGATCAAGTACGCTATGGCATAGGCTACTGCAGTTATGTAGATCACAGTCTGGTGACGAATGAGTGCATTATGTTATTCTTGAGAGCGGACTTCCTCCGGAAGCTGTGATATCAGGAATTGGTTAGAGCTTACGACGAGGAAAGGTCCATATACGAAACTTGCATAACGCGGCTGGTATAGAAGCGTCAAAAGGTATAAGAGAAGCTAGTGCTGCCTACGATAAATCCCAGTGGGTCTCCTCATACTAACAAGCTGAAATCCTATTTGCGCCTATTGTTTGGAGTAATACGTTCTTTGGATCTCCACGCACCATCTGTATTTCTATCATTATTCAGACAAAGTCTCACACTCTTTAATTAAGGCTGAGAATTTATTATCAACTTCGCCGCGCACAATTCTCCTCCAAGAACTCTTTCCATCAACATATTACTCATAGCCTCTGTCACGCCAAAGGTCTCACAACTTAAGTGAGACTGCATGGTTGGTTGAAAGCGCCAAAGCAGTTGTTATATAAATTCCGGTACAGATTGGGAATTCTGCCATTAAGACCCACTGAATTTTCTGCAAGTTTGTCGTCTTGTATTCTATTTCTAGTAGAGTGTTTCACGTAGTAGTCGCCCGAGGTTGGGAAAAGACCGAGAATAGCGGCTCGCTCTTTTGCAAAATGCCGCCATGAACCCTTACTAAAAGCTGACACAGCAGCAGCAATATCATGGAAGCAATTGTCAAAATCGATTAATGAGGGTAGTACGGACAACTGAGATCTAATAAGCCGAGCGAGCTTTGAGGCGATTCTCGTTATCGAGGCAGTTGACTTATAAGTGAGTTCTTGATCTATGTCTCTCTGCCTCGTATTGAACTGTTTATTACATCCTTTCAAGATTGAACAAGATTTCACCATGTCATCTCCATATTATGTTCCAGTCTCGCTCAATCATACCGCCCTTCTCCTCTCCGATGTCCAATCTCAAATCCTCCGACGTTTCTCTCAGGAAGACCAGGCTGCTTATCTTGGCAAAGTCCTAAAACTTCTGAACTTCTTCCGCTCAGAGATCAAATCCCGTCGTGCCTCAGCCAAGCCAAAGAAATCCCGTTCCCTCTATGACGATGTGCCGCTGATCGTCCACCATACACTTCCCTTCAACATCAACTCAAACGCGTTCGTGTCACCTTACAATACACTCGCAAGCTGGGTAGCCAAGCTCGAAGCTGGCGGTGCATTTGCCTACGCGCCCTCTGATCCCCATCGTCCTCACTATGCTGTTCCTTCGGAGCTAGTGCCTCCCGGGGGCTGGGGCGGAAAGGATGAGATTTTGCTCGGCAAACTACAACCAAATTGTTTTGGGTCCTCAGATTTACTCGCTTATCTGCGGGCACGTGGGATCAGACATGTTGTGCTGGTTGGGTTAACGACTATGGGCAGCATTCTAAGCAGTGCAAGAGCTGGTGCGGAGCTGGACTTTCATGTTATCTGTGTTGAGGATGGGATTATTGACGATGACCCTGAGATTCATGAGTTCATCATGAAGCGTATTCTACCTAAATTTGTTGATGTTGTCACGGCCAAGGATGTCGTGAACCTAGGAAAGGAAAAGTCAAGTGGCTAGATGGTATTCGACTCGAGACAAGACCATCGCTTCAATTCATAATACATATTCTTATGCCAATAAATATCTTAACAGTATTGACGCCAGCCATGTCTATCATAAAACTTATCTCATAAACTCCAAGCCAAACTATGCATACCTATGTACCAAACGTGGTGCACTTGGCATCTGTGTAACACTTCTCGTATGCTCAAGAGCTGGCGCATTTGATCCGTCACTAATATTTCCACTCTGCAAGGGCGCTCCCCTCTGCCTTCTTCTCCTCTTCCTGATACAAGAGAATATCACGCAAAGGACCAAGATCACAATGACTCCACCAACAGAAGACGCGGTCGCAATGACAGCCGTCCTGTTCCTATCGAACCAACTCCCTGCTGATCCTCCTCCTCCTCCTCCTCCTCCTCTACTACCTGAGTCCTCATCATCGTCGCAGTTTTGTACGTCAACCGGACACTGGCTTGAACTTCCGTCACATGTCTCCTCGGGATCACAGGAGGATGTACTTTCACGGCAGACTAAGCCGCTTGAAGCGACCCGGCATTCGTCAGTGCAACATCCATCTGTGAGTGGATCGCACTCGGCACCGCTACGGAGCTGGCAAGTCGAAGGGTTGCAGCAGGAATCTGCTGGGCATCGATCTTCACCTCCGCAGTCGCATGACTCTCCAGGCTCGACGATGCCGTTGCCACATTGGCTGTCGTTAATGTCGGGGACCTCGTTCTCACTGACAAGGCAACTTGTATCGATGTGCTCCTCGCCAATACCTGTGCAGATGGTGCCAATAGTACAGGGCGAGAACTCCTCCAGACCAGGAGAGCTTTGAGGGTTCATGATGTACTGGTTTCGGGCATCGCAAGTGGTCTCACTCCGGGGACAGCAGTCATCGGAAGGCGAGTATCCTGATGTCCCACAATCGCCCGATGTACAGTCATGAGAAGCTCCAAGGTTATGCGCCAGCTCATGCGCAAAGACCTGCCATTCCGAAGCAGTGCGGACAACCACGTTCGCAGAGGCTGTACCGCCACGACCCCATGATGATCCTCGTGATCGATTACACAGACTTCCGATCCAGGCGATGCCAACAGTTGAGCCGCTTCGACAGGCGCTGAAAAGAGACCATACAGCGTTATCGTCGCGTAGTCTGCCCCTCCATTGTGTGAACAAGTTCAGGCGGTCGTTTATGTCGACGCTTGCTGTGCAGGGAAGATTCCAAGGCATTGATCGCGGTGCGTCAGAAGGACAAGATGGGTCGCTGATGGTCAAATTCTGAATGGCCAGTGCGATGTTCAAGGTGTCTTCGTAGACTTGCGATGCGATGTTAACTTGAGAAATGATGTTATCTCGCGCATCTTGCATGTTGTCGAATTCTGCCGTGTATGAGCAGTCGGCGGCGATGCCTATCAAAGCGACTCTTCGTGAGTTAGGGCATCCTTCTGTAGATCCGATCACATCTCTGGGGTCGAACCAATCGTTGACATCTTGTCGGGCTAGTAGAGGTCGGTGGGTATCCTGGTCATCGTCATCGGGAGCCTGGCGACGTCGATCATTGTATCTATGCGCCTGACATGTCGGCTCATCCGAGGGTGACCTTTGCGAAATAGCTCCTTCGCTTTTATCCCTTGTTTGCTTCCATACTACCATTCGCTCAGATCTCTTTCTGAAATGCCCGTCCTGAATTTGTCGCGCCTGGCGGTAATTCGAATCCAGTGAGATATGGTGATAAGTACCGTCATTTGTGAAAGTGCCCTCAATGACGTGTCGGTCTTGGCGATATCGCATCATTACTCTTGCCCATCCTACTCTTCTCTGTGTCTGTTTCTCAATGTCGTTTACAAATGCTACACCCTTGTAAAGCAACGGACGTTGACTCTGAATATCAGTGATGACACCATGATTGTCTGTGGAATTAATGTGCTGAACGGTAGTGAGGCGCGACACAACATTCTTGGAAGGCTGCAGGTTCAGAGTGATCCTTTGGCGCTCATACGGAACTTCAAATTCGACATGGAACGAAGATGCAGAGTCGAGAGTATGTGGACTTTGAGAAAAGTCCAATTTCTCAATCGTTGATGATCGATCGATGGTATCTCTAGCAACAGATAACGCTTGATGCACATGTCAGTACTCCATCATCATAACATCGACGTCGGCATACCTTGTACGGAATTATGAGAGCAGACCTGAAAAAGGATCAAGAAAAAGGTCAAGAAACTCATAGCTATCAGCTGTCTACAGGAGTTCACCGGCACAATCCCTTTGAAACAGACATACCAGAGTGGAATTTTGGAGAACCATATATGAAGATCTTACGTCGGATCTAGCAGTTTCAGAGCGGCATGGCCCCCATCTATGACACGGGGACTGTACGCGTTCTCTTGGCCAGTTAGCGAAGCCAAGACCTGGGTGCGTCTGGGCGGGTTCGGCTTCTTCCAAGGCAGCTGAGCCACTCTGGCCTCGTAATTAAGGTATTAGTGTGTTTTGTTTTTCTTTGTTACACAGATTTCGGAGTGCGGGTTGTGCGAGGGTTCTTTTTTCACGGCTCTCTCCATGGATACAAGTTTATGTGGTATTGATTTGAGTGTTACTGTCTCAGCCTTGTATTGCTCTGTTATACTGAAACTGTATGTACTAACTGATCACCATTCTGTGACTTTTTTGCATTCATAATGTTTGAGTTTATCGTTATTGTTGATACCCTGATAGTCTCAGTTACATCCTCATATTAAGCTTAAATGATTGTGTGCGGGAAGCCCGGGCTCCGGACCCCGCCATGGGAGGATGACATCGGAGATGCTTACAAGGCGACGCCTCCTAAATCCGAAAGGCGAGAACCTTATCCACTCACAGGGTTTCAATGACGCCTGAGCTGACGTATACCGTCTTGGCATTGAATTGTCAGCATCACAAATTAAGGCCGCGTGGGCATCACTAAAGCCACTTTCTCCATTGGAATTAAGTGTCAGAAGAGTTTAAGCTTAATCTCGGATTATTTCTTGTTTCATTGGTGATTCAAATGGTCATGTCGAAAGAAGGCTGGGGGATAGACCAAGCCACGAGGGCAGACAATCGCAACGTTTACCAGCAATGCAACATGAAAGTCTGGATAAAGAATTAAAAGAAACAGCGGTGAAACCGGCAGAGAGGCAGCCAAGTACCCCTGCAACGTTTATCCTACGGCAGTAGCATCATATGCAAGCTGCTGATGCGCTAAATTCTGCAAGCTCAAAGCGTTAGAGTGTAGGCGAAGAAACGGCATCGCCCGGATGCGTCAGGGTCTCTGCACCGAAGAATGCACCGAAGGAATCCACAAAACTCTATGACGCCGATAAAGTGAAGTGCCTGTGATCCGCGACTGGGTATTCATGTACAAAAAGAATCCTTCGATGGCAATCTGAACTGCCAGACTGGACAATCGTCAGACAAGACATGGTCTACGGTGCTTGGCATGATCGTCGTCATCTTCTTGGTGGGAGATGTCTCGGCGGTCTGAGCGGCCAAGGACGCTTTGTGTCATCGGTCTTCTTTTTGTAAGCAGTGTATGGTAAGAGTTTCGGATACTCGGGTGTAGAATCGCATCGTCACCCGCGAATTTTATGAACCCTTTCTGCTCAATCATTACTGAAATGAGATATGCCATTGTCAGAGCCAGACTGATCTCGGCCGATACCATAGCGGACGGACCAGTCAGAGAATAACACTGACCCCATTTCATGCTCTTATCAGGTGAGATAAGACATCAGTCAAACAATCTACCCTGTAAACAATGCCTTACGTTGAACACTAACTTCCATTGATTGAGCAAAATTATTGGAGATATCTGCCAGGATATATACTAATCTTATTCAAAACACTCTTCCTGATAACTATTGAGTGGGATACAGCTATGTCATGTTACTTATAAGCCCAGTGCGCGATACTTGACCAGAATTCAGGGTGAAATAAGGACATGCGACAAAGGGCTACTGATTTTGGCTGCCGTATCGAATGCCTCCGCAAATTTCTCCATGGGAAAATCACCAACAGTCTGTACCGTACCAATCTTTAGATAACCTGCCTCCAGCAGCTTGATCATGTTGCGCATATCATCCTTGGTGTACATCCACTTCCCCTTGACCGTGATGTCATTGAGCATGATGAACTGAGTCGGCAACTTCAATTCTTCATGTGCACCCATCAAGCTGACTCGTCCACCACGACGAAGCGACAAAATACAACTCTTGAAATGAGTGCTAGTGATAGCTTTGCCAGGAGAGATGTCGAAGAAAGCATCCGCAGGACCATTCTTGGTCAGCTCTTTAACGTCGTTCTCGATGTTTCCGGTGTTCAGAACTGTTCGAATTCGTTCAGGGTCCAAAGCCTTCACCTTGGTCAGAGTTTCGTGGTTGCGACCGACGGCGATAACCTGAGCCCCCATGGCAAGAGCAGCGAGAACAGCAGCGCTTCCGAAAGTCCCAGCAGCAGGGCTAATGATGACATTGTCGCCAGATCTGATGGCTATATCTTGGAGTCCTCCAAATGGAACCGAGATAGTCCAGAGATAGGCCAAATCTGCCATTGAGTATCCGAGACACCCTTCATCTCGGTTGTTTGTGAGCCGATTCTCGTCCAATGGGAAGCAGTTCTCCAGAGGAACTTTGGCGTACTCGGCATAGGTACCGTCTCGCCACTCACCCTCCATGAGCTTATTACTCGCGGTATCAAAGCCCCCGGAGAGACCATGGAGGATAAGGGAGTTGGGATTATCTCGCGCCTGAATAAAGCTGTCGAAAAAGACCAACTGTCCAGGCTTAAGAGAAGTTGCATCGGGCCCGACAGCGGCAACACGGCCGATGGCACTAGAGCCTATGACGAAAGGTTCAGGGTAGGGATAAGGCTTATGGCCACTGTACACTCGGTCTGCGTAGGTCAGAACCCCAGCTGACAGAACACGGATCACAGCACTTCCGGGACATGGCTGAGGAGTACCCTGAGTGACTACTGAGATATCATAAGGATCTCGAGTGGAATGAAGGACAAGCGCTCGGTGGGTTTTGGGAAGTGCTGCTGTAGTTGCCATGATGAGCAGAGTCGATCGTTGCTAAGTTGTTGAAGACAGGGTATTTTATGCTCTGTGCCCAAAGGAGTGGTTTTTCTTTCTCCCTTCTCGTGCGAGGCATGCCCTTATATGCATTTCCTCTTTATAGCCTCTAAAAGAAACTACCCCTTGACTATGGTTGTCCATCTAGTCGACACCAGTCAAGCTGCTACTCTCAGGGCATTCCGCAGGCGCTGGCAAAATACGGTCAGATCAGAAAGGATTCGCTGTACTCCGTAATCTAGCAATAATCAATGGCGGAGCCGGGCCCGGGTTTAAAATCAGTCTACTGCCCGTCATTCCATATCTGATCCTCCCCGGGGCACCCGGACTTAACAGTGTTTTAAGCCCGACGCCGTATAGCGCATAAGTTCCATCAACTCTGTGATTCATAGGCCGCTTTATTTCTCTGTTCATGTCTCCGACCAATGGTTACAAGTATAAATGGCCTCTAAAGCTTCCTTAATTAATGCCGGGCCCGGACGGTTCCAAATTCGCTCGTGCAACACCTGCAAAAGTAAGAAGACGCGATGTGACAAGAACACGCCATGTTCGTCATGCGTTTCTTCAGGCAGAACATGCACTTACCCACCAATTGGGCAGCGGGTGAGACGGACGAAGAAAACAATTCTGGCCGAGATGGCTGGTCGAATTGCGAGTTTGGAGCGCAGCCTTGCCGAGGCGACTACGCTTGGCAATCTGTCCAGCAACAGCATCAAACCACGCACGATTGCAGATGAGCAAGACTCGCCCAAAGACTTGCTATTACATAAGGGTTCAACTGGCCAGTACCTTAACGAAATACTGGTATCTCGAGTCGTTGGTGAAGTGAGCCATGCTAATGCTTTCAGATGATCGTAGCACTAACAGGTTTCAGGACGAAAGTATTGCGACTGCTCTTGCGACATCGCAGCAAGAGCAAAGAGATCTTCCAAGCTCTCCCTTTGATGTAATGGGAATCATGTCTTCTCCCTGCCATATCCAGCATCCTTCTGCATTTCACCCTGGCAAAGCTACTGCCATCGAGCTTTGGAATATCTACCTGAACAATGTCGAAATCATCCTGGGAATGAAGTTGACGCACATCCTTACCGATGAAGTCACAGTTTATTCAACAATAGATGACCCTGTCACTGCAAAACTTGACGACCTTGCATTTTGCTATAGTATCTACTTTGCAGCGGCTGTGTCGCTTGAAGAGCCGACGTCGCTGTTCCTGGATAAGACCCTTGAGCTCCGGCGTTTCAAAATGGGCATCGAACAGGCCTTCTCTCATGGAGACTTTCTTAATCGGCCTACATTGACTGGTCTACGAGCTTTAGCTATATACCTCGTGAGTTTACTCAACCACAATCTAGTCCTAGCCTCATGCCTAATCATCTGGTTTTAAGTCCGCAATCCGCGTTCATAACCGAGGGAAGTCTGTTTGGATTCTAGATGGCCTTGTAATCCGAATAGCTCAATCTATTGGACTCCATAAGGATGGGACTAAGCTTGGGTTGCCACCTTTTGAGTCGGAGCTCCGTCGAAGACTTTGGTGGCATATTATTACCAGAGATAGCAGATCTGGGGAAGACTTCGGCTTGGAAGACCCCAATGACCTGCTGTCGACATCAGACGTCAAGCTCCCCTTAAATATTAATGATGCTGATATCTTTCCTGAAATGGAGGAGTTGCCAGTTGAGCGGGCCGAATGGACCTGTATGACGTTCTCCTTGGTCAATTTCGACTTGGCTAGGGCTATGGAAAAGCTCAAGCCTGGCAACGCGTCAGTTCCAATACTCAGCAAAGAATGGAGAGACAAAGTCGTTCAAGAAGTGTATACCAAGACAAAGGCCAGACTGGAGAACTACAACCCAGTAACACCCCACCAAAGACTTACGGTCCACTGCACAGACTATCTCCTACGGAAGCTCGACTTCGTCACAAACCAACAGTGGCTCTTATCGCAGAAGAGAGGGTCAGATGCCTCTGTGCTAAAAGAAGAAACATTTGTCGCTGCTTTGAACATTCTGGAGGCGAGGACGGCGGGCGATGATCCTTTTCTAGCGCAGTTCGCCTGGGCTAGGAAGGTTCATCCACAATACCACGTAACATTATATGTTCTGTGGTATTTGTGCACTAAGCCGCAAGGTTTGCACGTCGAGCGCGCATGGCTGCTTATTGATAGCATCTTCGAGCAGGAAATGGCTTTGGACATCATAGGTTGTACTGGCGCTAAACCGGCTGTTCTGAAGGCGCTGAGGACCAAGGCCGAAACACTTCGGAAGAAAGCTGAATGCAACACAGATCCTGCCATGCCGACTGACATGGAACATATTGAAGACCCTTTAAAATTTATTGAAGGCTTCAATTTTGATGACGAGGTTTTTGAAGATGGAGTTCCATGGTCATCGTGGACTTCGCTCCTTCAGGGATTTCATGCGGATCAACCGTTATTTCAATAAGCCGATAGGCAATTCTCTTCTGACTCTGAGATGTATCGTCATAGAGGCCTTGGGGAGCAAGAAGATTTAAGACTTTAGAAGAGGTATTAAAATACACTTAGTGAAGAGTCTACGAAGTTTAAACTAGAGTTATTTAAATTATTGTATTACTTAGGACTGGGTTGCTAAGTTTTCTCTCTTCCCTAAAGCAGGTGATTTAATAGCCATTATATAAAAATACGGCACCAGAAACAGCATCACAGTGTGAGGGACTGCAGTAAGCTCATTCCGGACTGTGGCCGTCACGGCATTGCAGAGCCACTTCCTTAAATCCGAAGTCCGTAAATCCGACCCCTTAACTTATAAGGTGATGAATACTAGATGCACCGGAATTTAAGCTGATCTTCCTGTGTAAGTTTACATACTACAAGCGATGACTACTATTCTAGTTACTGGTGCCAACCGGGGGATTGGCTATGCCATTGTGCAAGCCATCGCTACCCGACTCCCTTCATCCACCATCGTGCTTGGGTGTCGCAGCAAGAACGCAGCAAAAGAAGCGTTTGAATCACTAATTGATAGTGGAATTAAGAACAAACTAGGCTACGTTGAGTTGGATATTGAGAACGACGCTTCTATTGAAGCAGCAGTGGTATCTCTGGACCGGGAATATGGGAAACTGGACGGTATGCGTTCTGATCATTGCCTGAACCGGAGGACTGACCACGACAGTTCTCATCAATAACGCTGGCAAAGTCGAGCGAAGGCCATCAGATAATCTGGCTGATATCCGAGCGGCGTCCAACTCTTGCTTCAACAACCTCATTACCAGCAACGCTGTTGTCACACATGCCTTTGGAAAACTGCTAAGAAGGAGCTCTGAGCCAAGAGTCATCATGATCTCCAGCGCTCGCGGCAGTATGGCCAGGACAAACAACAAAGAGGTTCGTGACCCAAGAGACATTATGTGCAAACGCTCATCCTTTTCAGCTCCCTCCTGTGGCAAACATTGACTATTGCGTCTCCAAAGTCGGTCTTAACATGCTCATGTTGCATTTACAAGCTGCCGAGAACCACAGTGAGGATGAACCCAAGATAAAATTCTGGGCTGTGAGTCCAGGACACTGCAAGACGGCTTTTAACGGCTACAGGGGTAGGAAGGATCCCCTAGAAGGAGCCGAGGCAGTCGTGAGGCTGCTTGAGTCGGCCAAGGGGGACATTGAACCTGGGACATTTTGGGAGTATGAGAATGGTAGCTTCCAGCAAGTTCCTTGGTAACTTGGGATATTGTAAGAAGTATATGAGAACAGTAGAGAGATAATAATACTTTGGTATACCTCTTCAACGTCACCAAGAAGGCTCCAGACTATTGAGGGACCCAATGAGCCAATCGCACCCGAACTTCACGTCAATCTTATGCGCACGTCTAGTCTTCATCGCTTGAACTGTTCCAAGGCAAATGTTCTCCAGTGCTTCCGTCACCCGCAAGGGCAACTCTTTAGCAATTTCTCCAAACCATGCCAGAGCTCTCTCAGTGAGATTGCTATCCCGCTCAAAGGCCGCGTGCTGCAGATCATGTAGATTGTTCGCAGTCAGGAGTACCATTGAAGAAATGTAGGTACAGTCGAGACCCTATACACATTAGTACTCATTAAATGACGTCGTGTGGGAGGACTTACCATTCATCCAGCAATATCTCGGCGCAACCTACTCGAATAAGATCATGAAGTCTCGTGCTTCTCCTACCAATGAGATCCAACCGCTTGGCAGTTGTAATGTACCCAGTGCTCTGCCGTGATCACGTAAAACAACGACCTATTGCTCATCCCATGTATGAAGAATGCAGAAGTAAGCATCGATTGAAGGGTTATTACTCGTAGTTGTAATGACGTTAGTAGCGTCGAAATGTGATGGTACTAAAGCTTTCCAGTTGTCATTTTCGAGACGGTCGACATCAGGCAGCCTAGCAAATTAGATGCTGCGGTCATAAGCCTAGTGAAGAAAGCAGGTTGCGCCAAAACCTATCCTCATCAGCAACGCCGGCGTTCCTGCCGATGTGGGAGCAATCGTCGGTTTCGAAGAAGCCGAGTTTCGTCGGGGCATCGAACTCAGAGTCATTGGCTCCTTCAATACCCTCCAGTCCTTCAGACCTTTCCTAACCAGCAATGCCTATGTCTTCAATACATCAACCGAACTGGTGCACCTGAGACCAATCGCTCAAGGCTAGGTATACTGCCATCAAAGCCGCTACCTTAAAGATGTGCGAGTACCTGCAGGACGATAATCCCGAGTGGCGCTTTGTTCAGATTCAGCTTGGCCTCGTTCGTGTGGAGCTGAACGAGAGCTTTGATATTGTTGGCCAGGATGACCGTAAGTCACCCTAAACTTTTGTGGATTACTAGCTGATTGTCTATATGTCGCTTTGCTTGGAGCTCATTTCTTTGTTTGGCTTGCGTCACCGGAGGCGGAGGGAGGTTCACAAGGGCAAATTTGTCGGGTGAGTTTTGATATCGACGAGTCAAAGGCTTGGGCCGATGAGATTGAAGACTCTTTTATTCTCAAAGTGATTCTTGACGGTGTACCCATATGAGGGGCAGACCTGTCAAGATCTGCTGCCTTGCTGGTGCCCGCTCTCAAATTTGACAAGGTTAAAAATGTTCTGTGTTATTCTTCACATAGATTTACATGGTCGCGAAATTGAATCATTGTCTATTCTTTGTGTATTTTATGGCAGGGTATCACTGTATGTAAGGACTATCTCAAACTCTTCCAGATATTACTTAACGAGCTTCGGCTTTTGCCATGAAGCTTGCACGACCCGTTGACTCGTCGAAGACATTATAACCGATATCAGCAGCATTTGGCGGAGTGTATACTAATAAATGTCAGTAAGAGAATCAATGGTAATCGTAGAAGCTTTGGAACTTACTATGCAATGAGACGGCCACTTGGGTAGGGTGAGGGTTGTGCACTCGGTGAAGACCAATGTCGTCTGAGATGTATGTGACTTGATCGGCCTGATGAGTGTTGGCACTTTTGATTGACAGAGGACGGTCTTCGCAGCCCTTCTCAGGCATGTTATAGACAGTTTCTGTCAACTCCCCTGCCAGCACTTTGAGGATACAGTGGGCATTGGCGTGGTCGTGAATTGGTGATCCCTTTCCTGGGTTCCAGACTAATAGGAGCTTTGGGGAGGTCAGCATTGTAGACAATTGTTAATCGAAAATACTCACAATATTGGCTTTGTGATTGATATTGACAATCGCATTGCGTGTGTAGTTCTTCTCTGGGCAGTTGTGATAATAGCGTGCCCAGTCGTTGGGGTTCGATGTGTACTTTTTTGCCAGGGAAATCAGGTAATCCTCGTCGATGTCATCGCAGCCAATGCCGCCCCCCTTTCCTAAATGAGCTTTGACATCGCGGACGAAATCATCCAGAGAGTACACCTCGGGCTCTTCAAAGTTGGTGTAGGAAGTAAAACCTTGGTGAGATGATTGACACGTTGTAAGTGGCAGAGGGGCAAATCTTGTTGACACTGCAGCCATTGTGATAGATTTCTGATGTTTCGTATGAAATGAGTATATCAGATAAAAAATCTTCGATCTTGAGGCGCGGAAGTGTACTTGGCTATCGCGAACTGTTTAGTTACAGGCCGATTTGCACAATGTTATCAACGTGCTATCTATAGTAGAGCCGCATCTTCAATCGCCGAGTCGTCAGTCAAGGGTTAACTTTGTGTCAGTACGTTCGGGGATTCAAGCGCTACATTGATTGGCTAATGACCCAAACTTCAGATAACGGAGATGCCCGCCTGGATCTTGTTCGGCGATTGAAGACCCTGCACGAAAATAGAAACATGCTAACCGTCCATTGAGCCAAGCCACATCGCGATAGAACAAAGGAGATGTATTACCTCCGTTTAAAATGAGAGGGTTATAAGTCTAAGAGTTTTTTGGGATTGACTTTTCTATGAAAACAATGTAGAACGATGAATGGGAAAGAGAACAATGAACGAACAATGGGATTCTCGGCTTGAGATTGTAGATCATGTGGATATCTTCGGCTTATCGGTTGTTATCGACTGGTCAAGACGTGGCCTGATATCAGCTTATCAGTGCATTGACCACTCACAAGCTCGAGTCAGATCATCCTGTCTCCACTCAACATTCCTCAACTTCGTGTTTGCTTCTGTGGTTGAGATAGCATGATACATATGCACATCCATTCAATCATTCGTCTCACCATCCATTTCATTTTGACCGCTGAAGATTGGATCATATGCTTGGGGTAATCTAACGATCTTACATGAGGCTCATGCCGTGGTTGCGCAATCTGTCCTGCTCAAACCCTGCCTATCTTTCGATCGCCGACTCACCCGAATCCACCTCCTTCTGATATCGCATCCGTACCGACTCACCGCAGATCAATCATGACAGTCTCAACAAACGGATCAGTCAAAGCGACCGGCATAGCAAGTCTCGCTTGCGTCGTCTGCAGAAAGCAGCACCTCAAGTGCGATGCGGGGAAACCCTCGTGTTCGCGTTGCAAAGAGACAGAGCAAGTATGCTACTACGAGCCATCGCGACGTGGTGGACGTCGCAAGAAGCATCGTTCGCCAGCTGAGGAGCTTCAGCAGAGGAGTAGACAGCCCGGGATTCAAGCTTCTCCAGGCGATCAGCAATCTTCATATGTGGATTGTGTGACTGTTAATCCTATCAGTCTACCTATTACACCTACGTCGTCTTCCCAGGAGTTACCGTCATCTGGAATAAGTCAGAATACAGCTACCAGCAATGACTTGGTTGGGAGTGTCACCCGACACACCCGACAATCACCTCGGGGCGAAAATGTGCAGACTCAACGACGGATTAGCGACGACCAAACCCCTGCTCAACAGCCTCAACCCCAAAACGATAATGTCATGTCATATCTAACCCATCTTGACCCTAATATCATTACGCAAACCTTTGGCAGCAATAGTTTGGGAAGTCTCAATGCTCCCGTGCAGCCTTGTTCAGATGGAGATCGTCTCCTTCGACTGTACTACGAGAACTTTCACAATGCCCATCCCTTCCTCGTTCCAAGTTCGGTGTTCACATCACGGAACTACCCTCCATATTTGCGGCGAATGGTTGAATTCGCAGGTTCACATTATGCTTCATCGGGGCCAGATGCGCAACTACGCGCCGAAGTCGCGACTGATATGATGTCTGCCATTGAAACCTCAACATATATGGTTCAGTCGCTGTTGATCTACTCTATTCTCCTATTCTTCAGTCGCGACCTAGATACCGCGAACAGAACTTTCGGCCAATGTACGCAAATGGCCATGGACTTGGGCATGCATCTTGAAGACTTTGCATCATCGAGACAACTCGATAATCCAATTGAGGCTGAAAGCTTGAGGAGAACTTGGTGGGAGATTTACGTCACTGACATCTCCATGGCCATTCCTCCCAAGACAATGATTTTGCGATGCAGCAGTACACCACCAAAGGTTCTCTTGCCATGCGAGGAAGTCTTCTACAATGGTCGGTTGGACATTCCCCCATCACACCATGTTCTTGAGTTCAAAAGGCGGGTGCTGTCGACCGGCGATGTTGCTTTCTCGTCATTCAGCTATCGCATCGAGGCTGCGACGATTCTAGGGCGTGTCTTACTCCTAAATCAGTTGAAGAACACAAGTCACGATCATACCCAGTCCATCGAGAACGCTCTCCTGAGCTGGTCAAACCACTTGCCCTCCGGAAAGTTGGAGATCGTTGACTCGTATGGTAACATCGATGAGATGATGTTCCAGGCACATATGATTATAGCGTTGGCCAGCATGCTATTACATCTCCCGCGCAGCAACTTGTACCCGCTGCTAGCAGATATCAAGGATCCCTTCCTGCCGTTTGGCCAGAACCATCCTCTTTCATCATCAACGAGTCTTATCCAAGGTATCAAAGCAACCGACGCTTCAAGAAGGATATCAGATTGCATATCGCTCTGCCCTAATGTCCCAAAACATACACCATTTGTCATTCCAGCGCTGGCACTATGCGGCTTCATCCAAATAGCAACCTCTCAAGGCCATCCCGACGAATGCTTTGAACACCACTACAACCGCGTCACTCTCGTTCTCGGATGTCTCAAGAGCGCCCGGCGCATGTGGCGCATGGCAGAAGCAGAATACGACCGCCTTCGCTGCTGCGCTTCTGAGCTCATCGCCGACGCCATGGACAGGATGAATGCACTGCCTTTATCACAGACAATACCTAACTCATCTTCAATGCCTACAACATCTGACCAAGGAGGTGATCTAACTTTAGTGTCGCCGACGCGCGGGAACGCTGACTCGGGATTGCCACGGTTTGATCCTCTTTTTCTGGATCCTGTTTGTTATGATTATTCGTTGTTCAGCGCTTTGCCCGACTTTCATAGCTCTTAGATTGTGTTTTACTGTTTGGAAAAGTGGAAAAAGGATACCCTGCAAGGCGAAATTGACTCTACTCATTTTTGGCGCATCGATGTGTGATCTTTCCTCAATAAATAATTCCTAAAAGAATGTCTCAGAAAATGCCTTCCGATTGACCATCATGCAGCTACCAAATTTTCAAGGCCATTTCATTGGTCGCAGGGCGTACCTAATAATGCTAAGCGCCAGAAGGCATTTTGCCAGGCGTACTCACAGCCTCATCACAGCCCATTGTCTTTTGACCTTTGGATTTTCCCATAAGGCTCCTCTGACCTATGCTTTGTTTTCGTATCGCTTGAAATCAATTTAATGGGTGTTAGGCACTTGTAGTCCTCTGATACAGTTCCTTTGCCAGTGTTTCCCGGTCCTCGTTTCATCCTCCCGATATGTCCACTCAAGACCTGTATCAGACCCCGCTCGACACCTCAAAACCCGAGATAAGACTACTGGAAATAGTCGAGTACAAAGATGTCGTCTCTTGTAAATTGCACACAGTCACATTTAGCAAACAACTACACTTTGCGGCGCTATCATATGTATGGGGGAGTGCAGCTGACAGGGTCAACATCAACATCGACGGCGTTGAAGTTCCCGTTTCGAAAAGTCTCGCCCGCGCGTTGAAAGAAGTTCGAGGCTATTGGCAATACGAGTTTCCCGATAGAGATCAATCCAAGTTCAGAATCTGGGTCGACGCCGTTTGCATCAACCAAGCCGACGCTGCAGAACGGACTGAGCAGGTCAAGCTCATGCGCGATATCTACTCCTCAGCTGATCTGGTACTTGGATGGCTGGGTTCCGAAGAGAGTGATAAGATCTTGAGAGCTATCACAACCATTATGGTCTTGAATAAGGCCTTCAGGGCAGCAAGATGGGACGTTGATAACCTGATGGATCTGGAGTGGCTGAGAACTTGTGGTCTTACAAAAGAACCAGAATGTGACAAGTTCTGGGCATCCCTAGATGACCTTGCGTTATTACCGTATTGGCGGCGGGTGTGGATCTTGCAGGAAAACGTTCTGGCCTCTACATTGTTCTACATTGCCCCGCGAGTCTGCATCGAGTACAGCTCTCTCATGAACGCGTGCCATATGTTCGAGATACTTTCACTCAAGCTGAGTGAGAAGCAAGCTACGAAACCAAACTTTGTCCCAAGCCATATTTGGATGAAATTTTGTCCACCCAAGGGCACCGGTTTCATCCAGCTGCGAAACATCTTGCGCTTCGATATTGCCAAGACTATGTACAGGGACAGGCTTACAGAGAGTCAAGAAGAGCAACAACGAACGGCGGTTCAACTTTCGGTCTTTGGTGGCACTCTTGAAGCTACGGATCCGAAAGATCACATCTATGGCCTCCTAGGCCTCAGCTCATTACCCCTCAGCCCAGACTACACCAAGAGCGTCAGAGACGTTTACGTAGACTACTGCAAGGCTGTGCTCGATATGATCGGGAACAGTGGCAAAAGAGAACTGCAATTTCTACGAGATGCTGGCTCTGGTGTTTTTCAGGATCCTCTTGGGTTGCCATCATGGGCACCGCAATTTCCATCGAGGGCGACCGATAATCCGACACTGATATTTGACGGAGAGTTTAAGCTTTCTCGTCTCGCCCCTAAAGTTCCACGACCAAGTATCTCGGATGCCAAGTTACACTTATCCGGCGTGAAATTGCAGACATTAAAGAAGATCGGCGGAAACCCAGAGATCCAGAATTTACAAAAGGGAGGTAGTCTCGCCGATTGGGTACAAGACTACATCACTCGTATACCATTCTATCCAACTAAAATCCCTTCAATTTGGGCACTTTTCTTAGTTGTTGCAAGGATGCAGAAACTGGCACTGGATACACCGAGCATGTTGCTATTGCTTAACTTCACGAAGCGACTAGATCTCCAAATTCCGGAAAGCGATCGGCCACGGGGTGTTACCAGATACTTTCAGACGTCTGAGGCAGATGGTCTCTCAGTCATGATAGTTCAAGATGGAGGGAACAACCCTGACATGATGGGGTGCATTTCGCCGTTCTTAGGGGGACCTGATGAACTGAAGGCGAGGATGTTTGACGTCGACGCTCAACAAGTGTTTATGATGAAGCGAAACTACCATACTAAATTGTTCGAGACTAATGCTGGATATTTGGGTATGGGGCCACAGAACTGTAAGGTTGGAGATGTGATCTGCGTTATCGATGGGTATGAGGATCTTGTTCTGCTGCGACAACGCGGAGATGAGTATGAATATGTTGGACCCTGTATGGCTTATGGAATCACGGATTTGTACATCAAGAGGAAGGTTGAGGATAAAGAGGTGGGTATCGAGACGTTTCATCTAGTGTAGGTTGTTGAGCGTATTCTGTAATTAAGATCCATCCACTGGAACTTTACGTGATGCTTTCCCTACGATTATATATACTACCGCGCCACTTTCTATCACAACCCACTACAGCAGGCTCTAGCCTGTTATCTTCCGTAGTATAGTGGTCAGTATGCAAGCTTGTCACGCTTGAGACCCGGGTTCAATTCCCGGCGGGAGAGATCCAGCCACCTGCGATACGCAGGTCATTCTTTTTGCATTTTTCACTACGAAATAGGAACTTGTGTTTGGCAATGATTTATTGCTGTTAAGATAGAATTGGCTTTTAGATCCGACGGTCCGACCGTTTTGTCAACGTCTGCCCGCCGGGCTGGACTTAAATTTAATTCTTTACACTCTGTAAAGGTAAATTATTATACTAGGTCTATTAATCTTAAAGCTTGGGATCCTCTTCCGCCTTTGCAACCGCTTCTACGTTGGACAAAATAGACTCCTCCAAGCTTGTCCAACCAGGTCGGCCAAGATCCTTGAGAAGCTGCTCAGCCTTGTCTCTTGGCTCGATCTCATTGGGGTCCTCTCCACCTGAGAAGTTCTCGGGGAATGTCCTGTTGGGAAAGTTCTTTCGGAGAATGTCAAGGATAGCGTCCCAGCTAAAGCGACCGGCGAAGCCAAAGATACGCTGTTCTTTGACATGGTCGAAGATGGCAGCTGCGACATGAAGTCTGCCCGTGTCCTCGACATCAATGAAATATTCTAAGCTGATGTCAGTACATGAGCTGTTTCGGGAGATACTCGAGACTTACGAGGAACGACGAAGCTGTGGAATGGTGTTACTTGTCCCTTGAAGAGAAGAACTGGGAGGCCAGAGCTACTAGGGTACCCCTGTGCGTCCAGAGTTAATCATTAATCATGGTGAAGTTCGGTAAATGACACTGACCTGGCTGGTAGGGTCGATAGAAGGGCCCCAATTGAAGTTGGGAAGGACTATCATCAGTAAGTCAGTGGTAGCAAGAAATATTTCTGTTGGATATCTTACCGGCGTTGACGACCAGTTCAGGCTTCTCGCTTCGGTGTTCCTTCTGATACTTCCAGATAGCCTGTTCCGCCTGCGCTTTGCTTGCCGCATACACAGCACCACGTCGGTCGGGCGTGTAAGGAGGATCAGCCCAAGCCTTCTTGATGGCACCTTCAGACCAGCTCTCTTCAGTCACCTTGACACCAGGGACATCGCGCTGAGAAACGACGGCCGCAGAGGATGATGAAGTGAAGACGAATCGCTTCACGCTGGGCTCTGCATAAGCGGCCTTGATTGCCGCGACGGCGAAGTCAATGACGGCAGGAATAACATTGTTAGGATCAGCATCCATGGTCATGATTGAGGCGGTATGCGCAATGACAGCAGTCCCTGTAGTTGCCGTGTTAGTCTCATATCACTCTATCGACGTAAAGAACTGGTTTCCTACCCTTGGCGGCCTCAGTCAAAGCTTTCTCATCTGTCAAGTCTGCCACCGCAACGAGCTCGAAGTTTCCTTGGCCATATTGTTTATCAAACGCCGCTGTGAGCCACGAATTCTTCTCGACATCTCGGACAGTTCCGCGGACCTTGTAGCCATACTCGAGGAATTGTTTGGCGACATGAGACCCAAGAAGGCCGTTGACTCCAGTCACGAGGACTAGAGAGCCTTTGGGGATAGCGGGGTTGTCAAGAGGGGCCATTTTGTTAGATGTTGGTTGTCTAAATGATGAGAGTAACTAGAACTGACTCTATCGTGTGGATACTTGGCGCATTTATATACCTCGCTGTCAAAAGATACACCGCATAACCCCCGCTCGGCTGTTGATGCAATATGGCCCTAGTGTGACTGAATTGTCCGCAAGTCCGCTCAGAGTTCAGAGTTTCGCGTGTTTTGGAGCCCTATCCGCGGGCGTAATGCCTGATTTGTGCTGGTGCTGCGCGCTAAGTTTCAATTTATAATCTACCTCGGTCGGCAAGATTGAAACACCCGGGACGGGGTTATGACTACACGAACGAAAGTATTACTCATCAACTCTTCTAGGTCATCATAACCATTTGTAGCATTAATTCTTGCGACTTCGACTTCTTCCCTTCGTATTTTCGCTCCCTCGGCTTTGCCGGGGGACGGGCGGAGCCCGCGGCGAGCGAATAGTGGACTTTTATGCTTTGTCGGAGGGGTTCTGAGTCGTAACAAAAAGCAATATCCCTCAACCAATACAACATTCAGCCTCAACGGGCTGATACTATAGGGCCTCAAGTTACTACCAGCATCGCCGTTTCTTTAGCTTTGAGTATGTCCCAAGGCTCTAAAGGCGTGTCAACACGTCTGAGCAGTAGGGTTCATGTTCCGTTGATCTAGCATTCCTGGCTGCACTGTGTCCAACTTGTCGACTTTCCTATCGTTCTTATCTAACCTCTTGTTAGATAACATGCAAGGAAAGCTCCTTTGTCAAGTGACATTGAACTCTGTCAGCCTCACAATCGAAACCAAGGTCATTCAATCAAGCAGCATGATACTCAATTGACAGCGCGGTCTGACAACCTGTACTTAAACTACACTCTCTGAGTATAGCATCGGACTCCCCACTCGTCATCCTAACCCCAGGAGATCTCTACATCAGCTGAGAAATCTTTGAAAATATTAATAGCTCGCGACTATACTGAATCTGGGTCAGTCTCGTTTCTCCGCATTCAACATCTTCTCCATTTCGCTCTTTGAGTTTTCCCCAATCTCAGATCGTAGGCGATCCCCGCGACCCCATTCAAGTCTTGGCTTTCGATCATTTCCACGCTTATTTACGCCGCTTTCATCATACCTCAAGCCACGACAATTTCCAAGCATGACAATGCATCAGGGCTTGCAATTGATGTAATTTGCAGTCACCAAAAAAATCACCAAGACATGGCTTAAGCTTCATTGCGTCATGGCACGAAGGGTTGCCACATAGGACCTCCTAGAGAGATGACGGTAAATGCTTGGCATTGCAGATGACCTGAAAGCAAAAGTTGACATGAGGGTGATTATATTGCATCATCCGGGTCACCGAATGATCAAGGTGCGAAACTAAGGTGCTGAATATATGGTTGGAGAAGGGAGCGATCTTGTAAAACCATAGCGCTCCTGAAGGGTGGCTTGAATCAATATTCGAATGCCATAGATGATCTCATTCTTAATGGCTTCTTTGCTGGTACTGAATCTTGATTAAGTAGGGGGGTGAGCATGTACCAGATTGGCCAGATCAAATCACATACATGTCGATTTGTCTGGATACAACAGCATTTTCTACAAGAAAGTTCATACAGTAACGGTATATGCTGCATGCGAAGATGGTGGTGGGACGGGATAACATGCGAGTTAGAGATTGGACAAAACTTTTCAATTTAGCTCAAATATCTATCTAAGACTTCATCAAACTAATGTATCGACGGTATGAAATGTACTAACTCGGTTCTCTTCCAGTCAATTCAAGACAGAAAGCAGATTCAAGTCTCTAGAGAGTATACAGATATCGAGGGTTGTACTCGCCGAGCTCAGCAATCTCCTCCTCAGTCTTGCCCTCCATGCGCCAGTCCTCTTGACCCGAAAGCTTTCTCTTGTTAAGGCGCTTGAAGTGGAGGTAGACGGTGGTGTGAATGCAGACAGCAAGGGCGAGCATGCCAATGGAGGCACCGTAGCCGGGACGATAATGTGGCTCGTAATCGTTGCTGAATAGGAAAGGGGCGGCAACACCAGCTGAGTTTCCAATGGTGATAAAAATACCACTGGCGAAGGCACGCTTGCCATATCGTGGCTGGTTGACAGTTATCCAAGCCATACCAGATCCAGAGCCGGTCCAGAGTCCAATAGCAACAATGAAGCATCCAGCATAGCTCATGGCTGTGCTTTGGTTGGCAATTAAAAGAATGTAGCCGAGCATCATAGTCAAGCCTCCTCCAATGCAGAAAAGTCCTCGCTGTTGAGTTCGGTCACTGATGTTGGCACAGATCAGATAGGTAACGAAGCCCACGGCGTAAACAGGGACTGTAAGACCCTGGACTTGCTTGTCGGACCATTGACCCATCTGCTTGATAATGGTTGGCAAGAAGACACTGAAGCTGTACAGGACAGAGTGACTGCAGTACTGAGCAATTGAGAGTGCCCAAATGGTCCAGTCCTTAGCTCCAGCGATGACGTCTTCCTTGTGCATCTCCTGACCAGATGTCGTTTGACCAATCTCCGCTGCTCGCAGGTCCAAGAGGTTCTGTCGGTCCTCCTCAGTGAGGAACTTGGCGGTTGCAGGAGTGTTTGGCAGGATCCAGGGGATGAAAAAGGCTGTCACGACGGTGGGGATACCGTTGATGGTGAGGATCCATCGCCAGGCTCGCCACCCAGCAGCACCCTGATCTTCTCCATCCCAGTTGTCAAGCTCACCGATACCGAGGGCAACGAGACCACCGACAGCTCCAGAGATAGCAGAGATAGAATAGAAGTAGGCATTGCGAAGTGAGATGTGCTTCTTGTGATAGAAGGTGGTCAGGTAGAGCCTGGAAAAAGTCACGGTCAGATGCGTATCACGAAATGGAGAAGTCCAGCACTCACATGATGCCTGGGAAGAGACCAGCCTCAAAGAAACCAAGAAGCAGGCGGCAAGCAACCATTGAGCCAAAGTTGTTGACGAAACCTGTGCAAATGGCCACAACGCCCCAGAAGAAAACGAGACCGGCAATGTATCGGGCAGGCTGCAACTTCTTGATGATGAGGTTGGAGGGAGTTTCAAACAGCTAAGCACAAGTCAGTGGGCTTTCTAGTGAGATTGGTATAGTGTTGCTTCAACTTACACAATAGGTAACAAAGAGAATCGACACGCAGATTTGGAATTGATCTCTTGTGAGACCAAGCTCATCCTCGAGACCGTAGAGACGAGCATTGCCGATACTAACTATATAGAATTGTCAATGTCGGTAGGGCTAAATATTTTAGATCAGACTCACCTCGATCCATGAAATTCATGAGGTAGATCCAGCAGAC